TCAACAATCATAGAAAACCGAATATTTGAAGAAATAATGGAAAATATATATATGAAACTTCTAAAACACCATACAATTGTTCAAACCTTTACATAATTGAAAATCAAAAAGAAAAAACTAATTACATGACAAGCTAGAAAAGAATACTAGCCACTCATGGAGGAGTGGGAAGAGGAAGAAGGTGAGGAAGAAGATCTTATGGAAGTGTCCTTCAAGCATTTTTGAGAAAATCACCTCTTGGAACCCTAACTTCTCTTTCCTTGCAAAAACAATTTTTGAACCCTAATCTAGCATTTTTCTTGCCTATTTATACTTCCGCTGTCTTTCAAATAGGTTTAAAACATCGGGCACGTTTTCTCAAAAAAAGTCAACGCACGTGCGGACAAAGTCAACGCACGTGTGAGAATTTATTTTCTCTCTAAATTCCATTTTTTTACCCATTTTGTGCTCCGACTATGTACAACATAATTGACATTAAACACACATAAAGTATACAGTTTGACGAGCAAGTTAAGTTAAGAGATTCCAATTAATGGCCTCAATGTTGTACAATTCGGCCTTAATCAATAATTTACCATAATTTCTCACCAAATTTATAAATCAAACATAAGAAAGTTATTACCGTATCATTTTTCACCAAATTCATACAGACTTTGGCCTAAGGCCTTGTTTGGAAAGTTGAGTTTATGTTAAAATAGTCAATAAAGATAAAAGGGCAAATTACATATACCCCCTCGAGATTTAGTAAAATTACAGATTACCCCATGGAGTTTGAGAAATTACAGATATTCCCCTGAAGGTTATATTTGCATAACAAATTAGGGGCCAATTTGTTATGAAAATATAAACCTCATGGGACAATTTGTTATGAAAATATAAACCTCAGGGGGTATTTATAATTTTCGAAATCTCAGGAGATATCTATAATTTAGCTAAACCTTGAGGGAGGTATATGTAATTTGCCAAAGATAAAATAAGTTAAAATAATTAATAAAATAAAATATTATATCAAAATTATAATTATTTTATTTTTTCTTTCATAATCATCAAATCAATTAAAAAAATAAAAATAATTATCATTTCAAACATAACTCTTTTTTAATCCAATTAAAATAATTAAAATAATATTTTCAAACGGATTGTGTAGAAAAAAAAATTTGGCCGGACGGGAATGGGCATGGGCTGCACCATCGGACCCAATTAAAACCCTTTTCATGACATGGCTGCACCATCCTTCTTAAGTATGAGTAGCTGCATATCGCGGGCCAATCTACGACCCATTTGAGAAATCTCACGTTCTAGTGTTTGACATAGTCGATCAACATTATCAGGATCTTCCTTTTGGATCTCAACAGAACGTGCTTTTGGCACCTTCAGTCCTCTTTCCCGACATAATCTTTCGTTTTGCACTCGCTCTATAAATAGTGCGGGCCACTTAAGAAGTCTAGCCTTTGCATAACCATATCCTATTTGATTTTCTGATGGATCCTCCACCAAACCACATGGATCTCGATAGTACTTGGGCATGACGAAATGTCGCTTCCCAAACCTATCATGATAAGCACAAGAGGCATCCAAGAAAGGAAATTGTGTTTCATCTTCAGCATCGCCACTTCCCCTTCCCCTTCCTCGTCGTGAACTTTCACCCCTTTGCAAGTTCCTACCACCTCTGCGACCCCCACCCCCTCTTATGAACCATGTAGCCATGCTAATTTTTTAAAACAAATGAATAATAATTTCGTAGGGCGAAATGAGTTGTAAGGTTGTGTCTTCACCTTTACTCGTTTATATAGTTGATTATGAACGGATAAATGAGAATCCCACATATATGCATGCTGACTGTAAGGTAAATGCATGCTGACTGTAAGGTAAATCAATGGATTCACTGTTGCCATGTGACTTTCTAAATTGAGAATCCCACATATATCAATACGAGATGAGTTATCACTGTAACAAAAAAGTCGAGCAAAAAATGGAGAAAACCAAAGCATGTGCACCAAGTCACATCACTTCACAATCCATCTGCATATACGAACAAAATAAGGGCATGCTGACTGTAAGGTAATTCAGTGAATTCACTGTTGCCATGTGACTTTCTAAATTGAGAATCCCACATATATCAATACGAGATGAGTTATCACTGTAACAAAAAAGTCGAGCAAAAAATGGAGAAAACCAAAGCATGTGCACCAAGTCACATCACTTCACAATCCATCTGCATATACGAACAAAATAAGGGCATGCTGACTGTAAGGTAATTCAGTGAATTCACTGTTGCCATGTGACTTTCTAAATTGAGAATCCCACATATATCAATACGAGATGAGTTATCACTGTAACAAAAAAGTCGAGCAAAAAATGGAGAAAACCAAAGCATGTGCACCAAGTCACATCACTTCACAATCCATCTGCATATACGAACAAAATAAAAGCATGCTGACAGTAAGGTAAATCAGTATTTTGATAAACCAATAAAAATATTTCTTTTTAATAAAATAGAGTCAAAATTAAATATTTTGAGAAACCACTAAAAATATTTCTTTTTAATCAAATAGAGTCAAAATTAAATATTTCAGAGAACATGATCTTTTATTTGAGAGAACATGATCTTTTCATGGAGAGAAAATTAAATATTTTTTTAATCAAATACATTCAAAATTAAATATTTTTTTGTTTAATAATTATATTTTGTAGAAATTAGACATTAACAATTTCTGAACCATAATTTGATTCAAAAAATGTAGACATTTTGATTCACAAGCATAATTTCAAAATTCTAATTCCTGATTTCAAATTTAAAAATATAAACATTTCGTCATTTCAATTCTCAATTCTCAATTATATGAATTTCATAATATGACATTAACAATTATCAATTATATGAATTGATGATTTACGAATTTCATCATTCCAAATTTCAATTCTCAATTCTCAATTATATGAATTTCATAATATGACATTAACAATTATCAATTATATGAATTGATGATTTACGAATTTCATCATTCCAAATTTCAATTCTCAATTCTCAATTATATGAATTTCATAATATGACATTAACAATTATCAATTATATGAATTGATGATTTACGAATTTCATCATTCCAAATTTCAATTCTCAATTCTCAATTATATGAATTTCATAATATGACATTAACAATTATCAATTATATGAATTGATGATTTACGAATTTCATCATTCCAAATTTCAATTCTCAATTCTCAATTATATGAATTTCATAATATGACATTAACAATTATCAATTATATGAATTGATGATTTACGAATTTCATCATTCCAAATTTCAATTCTCAATTCTCAATTATATGAATTTCATAATATGACATTAACAATTATCAATTATATGAATTGATGATTTACGAATTTCATCATTCCAAATTTCAATTCTCAATTCTCAATTATATGAATTTCATAATATGACATTAACAATTATCAATTATATGAATTGATGATTTACGAATTTCATCATTCCAAATTTCAATTCTCAATTCTCAATTATATGAATTTCATAATATGACATTAACAATTATCAATTATATGAATTGATGATTTACGAATTTCATCATTCCAAATTTCAATTCTCAATTCTCAATTATATGAATTTCATAATATGACATTAACAATTATCAATTATATGAATTGATGATTTACGAATTTCATCATTCCAAATTTCAATTCTCAATTCTCAATTATATGAATTTCATAATATGACATTAACAATTATCAATTATATGAATTGATGATTTACGAATTTCATCATTTCAATTCTCAATTCTCAATTCTCAATTATATGAATTTCATAATATCACATTAACAATTATCAATTATATGAATTGATGATTTACGAATTTCATCATTCCAAATTTCAATTCTCAATTCTCAATTCTCAATTCTCATATTTATGATTTATTTAACAAATTCAAAAAATTAAAAAAATTCCAAACCCGATTTATGATTCAAAAGCATAAAAATTCAAATGCATTACAACACTTAATAATGTGAACCCTAAAATGACATCCTAATTTGAACAATCCTAATAATGTGAACAATCTGATATCGAACCCTAATTTCATCACCACAACCACACTGACAAAGCATAAACATTCATAACCATATTCAATTCACAAGCAACATCCAAAAATTCAAAAGCAAAAAAATTCCACAAATTCAAAACCATTCGCATTTCTGATTTCCAAACCCTGATTTCTGATTTCAAAAAATTCCAAACCCTAATTTCATAACCACAATGATAAAAACCCTAACACATTTAATAATTCACATGTAAAACCCTAACATTGACAAAAAAATACAACACATTTACAAACACAAAAACTAAATACATAAAATTAGGGTTAATGTCATACCACGGAGAGAGAGAGAGAGCAGAGACAGAGAGCGAGAGCGAGCTGAGATGGAGGAGCGAGAGCAGAGAGAGAGAACGAGCGAGAGCAGAGACCGAGCGAGAGAGCAGAGAGCAGAGAGCCAAAAAACCTAAGTCTGAAAATCTGCAAAACGTATGCAAATGAGGGGGGGTTTGTTCGTATATATGAGGACTTTGAAAACGCTGATCTAAAAAGCGATTTCATTTAAATGAAATCGCTATTACAAATAGCGTTTTTTTGGGAACAAAATTTGAACTGAAATCGCTATTAGAGATAGCGTTTTTTGTGGGGAAAATTTTTTCTTAAAATCGCTATTACGAATAGCGTTTTTTGGCAATTTTGAAAAAAGCGCTGTTAGGAAAAGCGTTTTTATCCGCAACCAAACAAATACTAGAAGCGCTATTTGTAATAGCGACTTATTAATCAAAAGCGCTATTTGTAATAGCGATTTTACTGTTCATCTACTTTTGCGGTTCTAACAGTAAAAGCGCGAATAGTAATGGCGCTTTAACTTAATTTTGGAATTCCGTCAGAAGTTGGTCTAGTTTTGAAAATACAATACAAAAATAGCTTATATTGGAAAAAGCCTCCCATTATTGGACATTGACGGGGACTCCGCGTGTGAAGAAACGCAGTCGCAGAGTGACGAGAAATGAAAGAAACACTAACCTGAAACAAAATAAACCCCCCAACTCAATCTCATCATCCCCTCTTTCTCTTTTCAATCTCTGTCTGTGTCTCTCCCCCCTAGGGTTAGGGTTAGGGTTAGGGTTTCCCAACACCGTTGCCAACGATGATGTACGGTGACCCTCAGCAGCAGCAGCAGCAGCAACCACCACACCCGCAACACCCCCAACCACCACCACAGCAGTACCAGCACCATCCTCAAGTTGGGGAGTTTCCGAGGGGTCCTCCTCAACAACAACAGCCACCGCCTCCCCCTATGATGCGGCAGCCTTCTGCTTCCTCTACTAATATGGGTGGTGCCCCACCGGAGTACCACCACCACCCCCTTGCTCCGCCCCCTCATCGCCCTTATGATGGTCAGTCTCAGTCCCCCCCTTCCTCCATTTGGTTGCTGAGAAAACTCACGGAGAGTAGTAGAATTGTCAATTTTGAATTTTGTGTTGCTATTATTTGCAATAGTCAAGTAGCTGTGATTAGGAAAAGCTGACTAGTGTACAAACATACTTAGCAGATTGTGTTTGGAGCATGAATTTGGAAAAGGTAAACATGTAAATGTAGTTATATTTTATTTACCTCTCTCCTATCTTTTCCCTTTTAAAATCTCTACTCAAATCTATGCTCCAAACACAGCCTTAATAGGAAAATAACTTAGTGATATTCAGATAAAAAAGAATATAGTGAAAATGCAACTAGTCTCTGAATACTCATTGTATTATGTATTTGACATGTGTGGAGTATCATTTTTCCACGGTTTGGAATTTGACCTTCCCTTGTGTTTTCCCATTAATTAACTAAAACAAGTGCACTACGTCTAGTTCAACACTCGCTTTGGTAGCAAGTTTCTATTGGCTGGTTATGTTCCCAATCCGTTTAGGATGTGGTCGGGGGATGTGATGAAATGTGTCAAGTTGTCATGTTCATGTTCATGTTTGACTTTTTAAGGACTTCTTCTGTTAGTGTTATTTGTATCATATATTGTGTCTGTGTCGTGTTTATTGCCGGTCTCTATGCTACATAGAGTTGATCAATACATGGTCGTTACATTTTCTGAATTCAAGGATGAAGCATAAAGCAAATTCACTTATGGTTTGGTGGGAACATTTGGAGAGGAGCATCAACGGTAAATATTTTGATGTAATAAAAAGCAGTTCTCATGAATAGACAGTAAGGGCATGCATGGGTCTGTTTGGGTTGATTTTGGGAGAGATTATCGACTGAACAATTTGAGAATTTTTGCAACCCATTGCCAACTCACCCAATGTCAAAATTGGCATGTTGTTTGAATATTTTGGCGATTTCAAACTAGCTATTCGAGCAGGCTAAGTGGGTTAAAAATACAAAAATGGGGAGAAAAAAATATTAGTGTACACAACTTTATTTATTTATTTTTATCTGTGTCAAACAAAAAATTCAAATCATGGCACAAAACCTACTAATTAATCGAATGTATGATGCTATTTAAAATCATGTTTTTAAAATTACTATACAAAAAATCAAATTAGGAATAAATATGGATGAAAATGAGGGGTGAGTGTCATTTGATTAATGATATTAAGGTTAGGGAGAGATTTTGTAAGCAAGTGTTAGCTAATTTTGGGTATACATAATAGGCAGGGTGGGTTGTTTTGTGCAGATTGACAAATTTTAATGTGCAATCCAACTGCCCCTCTAGTTGTTATCAGCAAACCTGCCCAACCCAACCATCTCACCTTCGCAAACCACACAGCTTGGTTTGCGTTGGTGCGGTTTGGTGTTTTTTTGCACACCCCTAATAGACGCTAATACAATTGACTATGGAAATTAAGTAGGTTATTGCCCCCATATGCTTTATTATTAAGACTATCTTGTTTGATATGTTGCCCTTGAGTTTCTCCAAACTCCAAAACATTGCTGCCCCAAGCCTCCAACCCATACGTGTACTACCATTGATGTGCCTCTTAGTTGTGTTGCTATTGTGAGTATCAAAGGGGAAGTGAAGCAGTTGTCTGATAGATTCACTGTTTGGGATAAAAAGGAAGCCAATATTTGTTTCCCACATGTGCATGTTATGCTATGACAATTTTGGTGAACTAGCTTATAGTTATTGCTAATGTTTGTTTTTTATTCCAATCCATATTGCAGTTCATGGTGACAGTTTTGCTGCAAAAAGAATAAGAAAGGTTGGCCAGAGGAGAGCTGTCGATTATTCTAGCACTGTTGTGCGGTATATGCAGGTAATATATGCTACAAATAAAAGTCTACATATCTTCATAAATATCTTTTTTCTTTAAACATTCCTACTATTGTTTTTTGCAGTACCTTTCCTAGAAGTGGCACTTCTGTTGAAAATCTCAGATTTAGTTTCTGTTGCCACTTCGATCATCCTTATGTTTCATGGGCTGCTCCTTTACATGGCAAACTTCAAAATTTTCAAAAAGATTTAAAATGGAGTATTAACTAGTCTTTTGTGTTTCATTTTCCATTAATTTCATTTTCTTCTTTATTTTATTTTAGTTTTTCTTTTATTGTTTTAATTACTTGTAGTTTTGATAATCTTGTATCTCTACCATGCAGATTCGTATGTGGCAGCGGGATTCGAGGAGTAGGAAAGATTCCAAACACCTCTTATGCATGTTATTTTTTGTTACTGAGGGAACATGCTATAGTGGCCTTGTTTGGTTTGTGTTTTGAGATATTATTTCAAAAATAATTTTCTGGAGAGATTTTAGAAAATTTGAAAATTTGTATGGTTGTATATTTTGGAAATAGTTTTGGAGTTTGGGATGATTTGATATTTTTTTTTGTAATTGAATAGTTGAGTGTGAAAGAAAAAGTGATTGAGAAGGAGAGGGGAGAGGGGAGAGAGGAGAGAGAAAAAGTGATTGATTGATTGATGTGTAGTAGAGAGAAAAGTGGTTTTGGAATTTATTTATTTTTTTAAAAAAATTTCAACCAAACATATTTTTGGAATTTTTTCTCCAAAAACATGTTTTGAGAGACAAACCAAACATGCCCACTGTGTTTCTCTTTTCTCTTGTGTGTATGGATTCTTTCATGCATAGGAACTGGAATTGGATTATAATCACTTCATTTAGTGGTTTCACTGTGCTTTGCTTCAGTCTGGACTTGGTTTCTATTGTAGCATTTATAACCCACTGTGATCTTGATCATTGGAGCAGATGTTGCCAACAGTCGCCTTTTCAGATAATCCATCCACAAGCTTCGCTGCTAAGTTCGTTCATACATCTCTAAACAAAAATCGCTGTTCAATTAATCGTGTTTTGGTGAGTTTGATTAAAACTAGTTGTACTTCTTATATTTGTCTTCTTCCTTTTCTATATTGGTCTTTGTGTAACACTGAATAGCTTGTTGTATCTTGTGCTTTATCGCCAGCCTGTTTATTCATCTGAGGTAGTTCTACTATGGGCCTTTGTATATGTGTGTTCTAATATGTATGCCCTTATGTATCTTGTGGCAGATTTTGTTTTTCTTGTCCTTGTACACTCATTTGTAGTATTTTTGCTGTAAAATGCTTATAATCCTTAAGTTGTAGCTAGTCCACAAGTTAGTAGCATGTACATTTCTACATAGTAGTCTTGGTTGTGTTGAACATGTGCCTAACATCAAGGCTACCGGACACTCCAAGCCACGTGTCTAACAATTATTGGACATGTTCATGATTCAATGATAAATGTCCAACAATTATGTGCAAGAATTTATTTTTATTTTTATTTTATATTCCTTTTACTTTGAGTTTTTTCCTTCTAACTTATGCCAACCCTTGGCTTTCCTTAAAGTGGACTCCTACTGGAAGGCGTCTTATCACAGGATCTCAAAGTGGGGAATTCACTCTTTGGAATGGCCAATCATTTAATTTTGAAATGATTCTGCAGGTATGCCATTGTAAGTGTTACCTTCTCAATTGCCATTTTATGGAAGAAGTCAAATTGATATATGTTTGAACATCTATTGATGTGCAGGCTCATGATCAAGCAATCAGGTCTATGGTATGGAGTTACAATGAGAATTGGATGGTCACCGGTGATGATGGGGGCGCTTTAAAGTTAATATACGTCCTGTTACTATTGAGGCAATTTTGTATGGCATTTATTTTGGTTGATGAAACAACTTTTTGAATTGATATGTGAATATGGTGGCACTTGGCAGGTACTGGCAAAACAACATGAATAATGTGAAGGCCAATAAATTTGCTCATAAAGAATCAGTACGTGACTTAAGGTAGATACTTGTTGTTCGTAGAATTGGTTTAAGATTTGAATTTCACGCATTTATTATCCATGATGCATTTCATGGCTTCATGTTTGTTTTTTGAGCAGCTTTTGTAGGACAGACTTGAAGTTTTGTTCTTGCTCTGATGACACTACAGTCAAAGTTTGGGACTTCGCCCGATGTCAAGAAGAGCGTTCACTATCTGGTAATGTCTCCTGAATGCGTCAAATGTTTGAAACCAACACTATGCACATAATTTACATGTTGCAGCGTCTCACATTCTTTCTATTGAAACAACACAGTAGCATGCCCCTTTTCTGCCACTCGGACTAATGTCAAACATGGAGGATTGTTGCTTATTTGTGGTTTTTATGTGAATTTGTGTTAAGTGTGAAACAGCATGATAATCATGGAAAAGGTTTTGAGCCTCTGGTTTTGCATCTTCGGCATGTGATTCCCAGACTTGTGTGTCAATTTATATGGATTCCCATTGCATGCAGAAAACTTAAAAACAAGCTGGACCATGCGGTGCAAGTTTGTGTGGGGGTACGTTCTTAATGAGAAAGCCAACTCCTTTTAGTGGGCTCCGTCACTCTTTGAGGGTTATAGTAATCAAATTACCATTTTGATTTCCTAATTTTGCAGTTTGTAATGATGATAATAGGTAAGCTTGTCAGGGCCTTCATGGACATATTAGACAAGCTACTATTTGTTATAATAGTTTACTTTTGTTCTTTGAGACATGGGGATAATTTGCTTTGTGGGTATTGTTGGAAGATGTGCTTTAGGTGGACTCATGAACAGTCTCTACTCATTTGAAATGGGTGTGAGGAAATTGAAGTTGTTCAGTTAGGTGTTATTCGTAAGTGGTTATGGAGATATGTATTGGATAGATGTAATTTGTGGAGGAAGGTTGTGTCTCAAAACTTTTAGAAGTGCTTGGGCCCTAGGTAATCAAATGTCTGATGAGTCTAAACATTGTCATGGCTGGGGATATGGAAAGGATTTAGACTTGCAAACACATTGATTCTTCAATTGAGGATGCTTAGAGACTACAATTTAGCGTGATTCTTGGGGTGGGGATGTACCTTTTTAAATTCATTTTTTGGACCCCTTACATGTTGGAATTGGCATAGATGCTTTTTTGTTGTAGATTGTTTTAGATACAAGTTAAGTCTAAAGAAGGCTAGGTAGTATGTCCTGGAGTCCTGGACCAGCCAATAGATCAGAAGAACAAAGTCCAATACAAATAGGATATACAGTTTGTTTTGTCGTCCTATGGTTAATTTAGGTATATAATATAACTGATTTAGAAAAAGAAAACTTGTACATTTTAAAGTTAATGCTTCATCTATGACATATTTAGAAAAGAAAGCTTTATATTTTAAAGAGAATGCTTCAGGTATGATGTTTTGATGAAAATAGAACTTGTCATTGATTTAAGACTAGCGTTCCATATTCTAACTCTCAAAGTAATAGAAATACATAATCTCAGAGAATATTCTGAGTGAAATATAATTTGTTTGGCAGTTAATGGCATTTTTCATATTACTACTACTAATGTAGGTGCCTATTTATGTGGCATAATCATATTTGTATTCTATGACATGCTGCAAATTGTGTGCCACATATCAGGTCCAGTTCTGTAGGTGGGGCAATATTATGGCTTATAATACTATAGAGCTTCTTCTGTTCAAATTGAAGGAGATTCTCGTTAAATATTTAATTGCATAGAATAAGAGTTTGAACATGGGAATTTTGGAGTGCACACATTATTTTTGGATATTTTTGTTTTCATTAATAAATTTGAGTTAGTTGTCTTTCTTTTGAATTTAGTGGTTAGTATTTTGTCTCGTACAGTGGTACTCAACATGACCCGAGCATTATCAATAAACCATACTTCTGTTTGTTCATTTGTTTTGTTTTTGTTTTTGTTTTTTCGCTTTAAAAGGTTTCTGCTTAGTGCTTTCTACTCTGAAAACTGATAGATTAATATTGTTAAAATCTTGTCCTTTATATGCTTTTAATATTTCACTTGCTTCTTTTCTTTGGCAATTTTATCTACTATACTATTGTGTTTTATGTATATAAATAAAAATTTGTGGTGCATTGGATTGTCCAATATGCTAGTTTGTCTGTAGTTTTCTGTGATATTTCTGTAGTAGGTCATGTATACATATGGAAAATTATCTATCCTCTTTTTGCTTTGGTCTGTTCTTTTGCGCTATAAGAAACATAATCGTTGTGTGTGAAATCATATATTAATCAGATCTTTAAGATGACCATTCAATAGCTGCATGTATATTGTTACAATGCTTTAAGTGTGCATAAAATAACCTAAGAGCTTTTCATATGTGGTTCAAACTCAGGCAGGCCATGGTTGGGATGTAAAGAGTGTGGACTGGCACCCAACTAAGTCTTTACTAGTTTCAGGTTTGTAGTTTTACAGTTTTTTGTTGTTGTTAAGTTCTTGTTCAAATCTCGTAAGTGGCATGCTTCTTTGTTTTTGCATTGGACACTTCTTAGGTGGAAAAGACAACCTTGTCAAACTTTGGGATGCAAAGGCTGGGAAAGAGCTTTCGTCATTGTTAGTACAAAATTTTTGGTCATTAAACACAATAGTTATCTTTTTGTCAGTTCAATTATTTTGAGGAGTTGTTCTGGTTATTTGCAGTCATGGGCACAAGAACACTGTTCTTTGCGTCAAATGGAATCAAAATGGTAACTGGGTGTTAACTGCTTCGAAGGATCAAATTATCAAGGTAGGCATCTTCTTACTTCGCTTCCCTAGCTATTGCTCAAATTGAATGGATTTGAATTCAGATTTCTCCTGTTGATTGTGGATGATTGGGTAAGTAATTCAGTCTGCCTACACACTGCATTTTCAGCTGTATGACATAAGGGCTATGAAGGAGCTTGAATCATTTCGTGGGCATCGAAAAGATGTGACTGGTTAGTTTATTTATTTATTATATTTATGTACGTAACACCTCACAAAAATATGTGTAGTAATATTTGTTTAATTGAATCTTGACAAGCTTGGAGTGTAGCCAATTAAATATTGATGAGGTTACATTCACATTCACCAGAGCTGCTGTTGCAAATATTAGCTTTTGCTGAGGCTCATTGGCAGATATTCGATGATAGATTTGGTATTTGCAATAAATGTTTGATTCTTCAACTATTGAGGAGAGACTTAATCGTTGAGTTGTCTTCTAATGATGTAAATTCTGTAGTAGAGCTCCATTGGATCATTACCCATGATTGGATAATAGTGGAAGCACCACTTGCTTTTGATAAAGCTGATTTGGAAAGTGCAGTTACTGATGCCAGTCCCTTGGATATTGATGGCTTACCCTGGAGAATATTAAATTTCTTGGCTTTCATATTAAATTTAGCAGGCCATTTTGTTGCTTTAGCTTTTGTTTGAAATCCTTAGCAGTGATGAGATAATTTTGCACCATGTCCATAGTCTTTTGGCTCATCATAACTGACTTACACAGGATGTTGATAGAGAATTCTTATGCAAGAATTGGCGTGGATGCTGAGGAACAATATTTGCTGAATATAGTTGATGCTAATGTTGGGGAAGTTTATAAGTTTGTAGCCTCAAAAGTGTTTAGAGTGATATACTGATTAAGTAGATGATCTGAAATCTTTATAATTTGTTGGATACCCGGGCAAACAGTCAAAGGTCCAAATTAGCTGAATAGTTAGAATTCCTGAGAAGCAGTAGCGGCTGGATGTCCAACCAAGCTGATTAGTTGAATAATAGAACTTCTATTGTTAAGCTAATAGTTGTACTAATGGCTGGATGACCAACCAAGCTGATCTTTAGTTAACAGCATATCTTTGATTGTGCGTATGGAAATTCCCTTTTGCATTTTTTCGATATAGTTTGCACCTGGTTATGTGTGTACCAAAATTACTCACTCACTTGATCTATTAAGCTAATTCTTTTGTAATGTATGTTTCTGACACTCATGTTTTTTTTGTTTTTTTTTTTTTTGAATATTTGGGGGGGGTTCCTTTTTCAATTTTGTTAGCATTGGCTTGGCATCCATTTCATGAAGAGTATTTTGTTAGTGGCAGTTTTGATGGATCTATTTTTCATTGGCTAGTCGGGTAATTTCTTTTCCTCATTCAGAACAGTTATTTATATGTTGCACTAAATTGCTCATTTTATTTATACGTTCCCCATCATAGGATCTTTTATGCTCAATTGTAGTTTCATGTGATAACTGTCACATACTTAGAAAGTTAGGGTGAATATTTAAATGCCTCGTTACATTACATATTATGCAAAAATAATGTTCGGGAGAAGTCTTAACAGTGGAATTGTTGTTGGATGTATTTCTTTTTGTTGGGAGCCTATTACTATCTTGTGGGAGTTGCATTCTGCCTTATATTATATATGGTGTTTTATGAATTTTACCATTTGACTTACAATGACAAAAGGCAGTCCTAGTGCATGGGGCTCCTGCCACTGTATGATTTGGGGAGGTTCAAATGTATTCAGCCTTGCTTCCATGTGTGGAGAGGCTATTTTTGTGGTTTTTCAGTTGATTGTATAGTTGTGTTTCTTTATAGGGCTTTGTGGCTCTGACTTTTTATGGGACATGATTGTCCTCTTTTGAAGCCTTTTTGAAAATTTATTGACTTACCAATAAGAAAAAGAAGAATCTCCTTCAATTTGCTCACATGAGAATCATCAATTGTCACTGTAATTTTATAAATGAATGTCTTCTCAACTCAGTTTACCTTATCATTTGACTATATTGTTGGTTAAACCTTAAATTATCATGTCTTTTCTAACTGACCTTAACCAATGCCCTAATTTGACTTCTTTGAACAATGCTCAACTATTTTAAATCCATCTTCTTACTTCGCTTCCCTCCCCACGTTATTCTAAGTGATTGCAAATGTTTGCAAATTATTCTATATTCTTGAAAAAGTGTTTGCAAATTATCTGTTCTTGCCAGTGCCACTTATCCACCTCGACGTCCTCCTCACAAACCTTTTTACTGTGATTTGTTAGGTATTTGATGATCACATGATACTGCAGCTCTTCTGGCTCATCTCTGTTATTTAACTTCTAGACTTTTTGTTTCACTTCTACTGAAGTTATACCATTTTCATTATGCAGTGGCTCATCTGAATTGTTACTTATGAATTGAACCCTTGTTCTAGAATAATGCTCTAGAAGTCCATCCATAGCCAATGCAATTTGATAGGACGCTAGAATCTGTCTGGGCGGAAAAAATTTGAAGTTCATTGTGATTGGAAAATTCCCTTGTCATTTCCATTTGTTGCTGTTCCAAATTACGATTGCACATCTTATTGGTTAGAAGGCATCATATCTATTATGGTCCTGTCATTTCTGAAAGACACTTTATAATCATTCTAGGGATCCTGGTCACATTTTACCCATATTGCTAGTTTGGTCTAATTATTATTTTGAGTTCTTGGTTCACTCATTTTGTGTAGAATTATGGGATGTTGTACTTTATTTTTTCCTGCAAAATTGAAGTCAGTTTCTCTCATGACCACTAAACTTTTCTTATGTGCAGCCATGAAACTCCTCAGCTTGAAATTCCCAATGCACATGATAATAGTGTTTGGGATCTTGCATGGCATCCTATTGGATATATTCTTTGCAGGTAAAAATTCGATCTTCGTATTTTTAACCATTGTGTGGTGCATAGTATTTTATGTTCATTGAGATAATTTATAGAATGTGCACACATTATTGGTATTATCATTATATTGTTGTCTAGATTAGGTATCCTGACTGAAATCGGACTCCAATCTTACAGTGAGTTGAAGCCTAATGTGTTCTCTTTCATCTAAGCTTAATTAATCATGATGATAACAACATCACCCCCCATCACCCCACATGCCCGCAAAGAGAAAACAATGATAAATAAATAAATAATTGAATAGAAAACTAACTACTGGGAGGAATTACTTATTGCCTCTTACTTTTTGGTACAAGTCTGGTCTTGGGGGTGGGGTCAACCAATTTTCATCCTCAAGGACTCTAGGGCATGGTTAAATATCATATTTCTTAGAACTTCTTTCATTTTTTTAGGGTAAAATGGTATTCACAAATTGACATAGCATTTTATGCATAGAATGGAAATCTTTTGCTTAGTAAACTCTACTACTAAAACATATTTGTTTGGTATTTGCTTAGTCATGTCTAACTAGTCAAGCGCCTGACATGGGTTCTTCAAAAATTTAAAAGAGGTCCTTGTTTGTGGGCTTGTTATGCTCCCTCCCTCAAATAGAGGCAATTAGTTTGATATTATGTATCAGTCGTGCTATTTTGGCTATAGTCGTTTTGGTGATTTATTGTTCAAGTGTTTATTTAGCTTTGTTAGCTGATCCAGTTAGTGAATTTTTATCTCTTTTCATGCAGTGGTAGCAATGATCACACAACCAAGTTCTGGTGCAGAAATAGGCCCGGCGATTCAGCTCGTGATAAGTTCAACGTTGGTCACAGCCAAGGTTTATCATTTTCTCCCTTAGTTATTCCCCTTTCCCTTCCCCCTTTTCTGGGTCTCCATAAAGCTGTCAAGCACACAGTCTATGAAGTTCCACTTGTAGGATTGTCTAGGGCCATGGAATCAAGGCATTCGTAGAATTTTATAGGAAACTGCTATTTTTGGCAAATGCGCTGAAGCTTTTGTCCATTATTTTTGTATTCTTCAGTGTGGTGAAAAGAGAAGTGTTTTGAAAATGTACTAATAAACTGACAGAAGCTTAAATTGAAGGGAATTTCTACTGTTATATATAACTGTTTGTTTGTTTCCAGGTTACGGTGAGCAAAATCCCACCCTAGCTGGTTCTATGCCTGGTAACTTTCCAGGACCTGAGCACCCCACAACTCCTGGGCCATTTGCTTCTGGGTTGACACGAAACGAGGGAAACATTCCAGGTGTTGGTGTTGCAATGCCATTGATGGATACATCAGTTCAAGGAGAGCAGAAACTGCCTCCGGTAGTTTCAATGCCTTTAGGTGCTCCTCCGCTCCCCCTTGGTCCACATCCTTCTCTTCTCGCAGCAAATCAGCAGCAAGCATATCATCAAAATGCTCAGCAAATCCAACATCACCAGCCACACCCACAGCAAATGCCCTCTATGCCTATGCCACCTCCAAATTTGCCTCAACTACAGCCTCCATCCCGTCTACTACTTCCACATCCTCATTTACCTCGTCCTCCACCCCAGCTACCCCCTCTTGGTATGCCTTCAAGCATCCCGTCATCAATGGCAGGATCAATGCCCATGCCTTCAATGCCAACGTCACTTCCAATGCCCATGCCTGGTCAAATGGTAATTATTTGTGCACACTCTACTTTTATCTATTTATGCTCTTGTTTTCATCTATGTACAAGTGTTTTTTATTCCCTTTACATAGACGATTATGCTTGTAAATTTTAGATAGAATGTCTTCTAGAAACCAATCAGCTTTATTTTGTAGTGACATGAGGGGCATATGCCCAAACTGAACCAACTTTGGTTGGTTCCAAATTTTTGGACCCAGAAATGTGTCAACCCAACCCAAGTAACTCGAGTTGGAACCATGGCTCCCCCTTAATCTAAAAAATTTGTAAGTACTAGTTATGAAACAAAAGTTTATGCAGAATTGAATAGTTATTAAACGATGGGCCTATTTGAGTTTATTATGAGAGTTTTTAACACTAGAAAAATACTTGCTGCAAAAATTTATATTACATAATTGAGTGTAGCAATGTTCACCATAATAAATAGAATCAACCAATTATATGAAGACATGTATACCATATGTAAAATTTTATGTAATATATATATATATATGCTCGGTTCTTGGATTGGTTTGGGTTAGCATTAGGCTCACTTGAGAATTGAATCAACCTAGTCGGATTGGCCATTTTTAGACCCAGAACCGAATCGTCTCTTCAATAATTGAACCTACCCAACCCACGGAAGCCGGGTTGGTTCGGTTCACGGGTTTTTGGGTTGTTTGCCCACCCCTACCTGCCCCTCTACATTGCTCTGCGGAAACTATGATTGGAAAAATGTATAATTGGAATGTGCAGGTGAAACCTTGTGGCAGCCTGGCAGGCACCTGCTGCAGTCTAATTTTTACAGTTAGTGCAATTATCGTTGTATGTGTAGTGCAGTGTGTCGTTTAACATGACAGTATAGCCCCCCTTCTTTTTTTTCAACTGGGAGCCAAATTGTACAATGGGGAATCTCAATGAATTCTTTCTAGCAGAAAGAATTTTCAACACTTCTTAATTGATACTAGTTTCTGCCTGCAGGTGATGCCGGGTATGAATCCGATGGTTCCTCAAATGCAACAGGGGCATTTTATGGGTATAAATCCGATGCACTCGCAGTCGGCACCTTCAGTTGGAGGGATTCCAAATGGGTTGCAGGGCCCTTCAAATGCAGGTGGGGCCCAAATGTATTCGCCAGCAGGTGCATTCAACCGGCCACAAGGTGGGCCAGTGCCACCAATGCCAGGGCTTAATCCCTACCAGGTGAGACAATAGTTGTTTTTTCCTCCCTTGTTATAAATTGTCTTCTATACACTATCTATCAAAACATAAAATAAATTGTTTATGCCAAGACTGAAAATATTAGGGTGTTTATGCCGCTGATTGCATGTTTTCTGTTAACTGAAAAATTTTCATCACCACTTCATTTTAACCGTATAGAGGACTTGTAGGAGCTGAAACTGTAATTTATTAGATGATAGTTGTAGAGATGTTGTAATCACTTTTGGCAACGCTCTAATGAGAAGAAACTTTAAGAAATTTCTTTGTGATAAATATTGCATTGATGCCAAAAAAAGGGAAGTCAGGGAATGCACATTTGAAGCCTGTAAACTAGTAGTAGTACATCCTCCTGGCAAATAGATGGAGTATAAGTTTGAGTTGGTATTTCTTCTTTGCTTGACAAGCTAAGTAATCAAAAAGGTCGCATTGCTAGTGCATTCCATCATTTTCTTAATACAATTTGAAGTGAACTATGTGCTTCGTCTGGTTTACTGTTAGCCCAATGTATTTGTTTTTTGGCTCAAGATATAATAGTTGTAGGGCATCTTTTAGATGGCTTCTCATTTAATCTTTCTTCTTCTTCTTCTTGTACTTTTTTTAGGTCGTCTTTTATTTTTGGTAGAGCACCACTCAAGTCTTCTTTTGGCTGCATCTTACAAGCTTGTTAAAAAGCCATATTGTCATTTGGCAGACCTCAAAAAGCAAGAAAAATGTAAAGTCAATTTTGTTCATTTAAAAAATAATAATAATAACAAAAAAAAAAGCCCATGACTTTTTGCATTATAATGCATTACTATGAAGAGCAAATTGGCCATTTTGCATTAGAAAACCTAAAAGCTAACAAAGTTACCAAGCATGCTTAAGCTAAAAAGCCATAAATGTGCCAAGCAACTCCTTTGGGAGTTGATTTTAAAGTCATCTAATTGACTTCGAAATAAGCCCATGTTAAAAACTTATGTTGTTTGGCACAATTGTGACTTTTTGGCTTTCATAATGATCTTTTGGCTAAAACATGTTTTAACCTTGATAACTTTTTAACTTTTTAATGCAGAATGGCCACTTTGCCCTTCATATTAATGTGTTATAGCCCAAAACGCTTTTCTTTTTATTAGATAAGCTTTTCTTTTTATTATTATCTAAAAGTTAGCTGTTTTTGGCTTTCTGAGGTATGGCAAAGTAAAAGTCCAATGAATTGGCTTATTAGCTCATGCCAAAGCAAATAAACATTATTTTATTTTTTAACCAATGAGCTGGCTTATTAGCTCCTCCCAAAGGAGGCTCATTACAAAAACTCATAAATCTGGACTTTGCACAATAACAGTTCGTGCTGCTATGAACCTATAAGGTAGACGAATTCATTCACTGCTGCATTGTTAACCACTATTGATTTCGTTAATGGGAATTTGATGATCTATAAATTGTCCTTAACGATCTGTTCATATTTGAGCGTGGACTGAGAAACACCACACACGGTGCAGGAACTACAATTCTTCCTCAAATTAGTAACCAAATTTCCTTACATTCCTTTGTGATTGGCTGTAGACACATCTCATTGCCTTGTATAGTTGTTGAAACATCTTTTAGATACCAATTATAATATCAGAATTGCATTATAATTCAAGAAATTTTCTGTTTGTTTGGGATGGTCTTGTTGGTCCAACTGATGTGGATTTTTCCTACTACTGCTTTGTTGCAGCCTGGGAATCCTAATGCAAGTGGCATGGGGACAATGCCATCAAATTTTGCTATTCCGTCTGGTATGCCTCCACCATTGCCTCCAGGCCCGCCACCTCATGGCCAAACACCACAGTAGATAAGATAATTCCTGTAGATTAAGACTTTGTTGCAGCAAGTAGGGCTGTCGGTTAGAAGCAAAAACATACATCTCTCTCGTCTCTATTGCATGCTGTTTATCCTTTTGGATGTAACATTTTTGTTTATTGTAGTTTCCCCATTTAAACTTCCTCCTTTGTTTTGTTTTTGTTCCCTGTTTCATTCCCTCCCCTCCTTTTTATATTTATCATATGTTCCTATGAAACTGATTGAAATGTAATGAATGTTTGCAATTGTTTTTTATGTGAAATTTACCAGCAATTATATGTTCATAGATGGGAAGCAAACATCTTAAGCTTTAAATTTCTGGGTTGATGACTCATATTGGATTCAAAATGAAGATGATATGGATTTTCAAAGTTTACTCATAACTGTTTGGGAAATTGAGGTTGCACACTGCATATTTGGGCCAACTTTGAATTAAAAAAAATAAAAACTGTATTAATTGGCAGGGATTCAATTTTCCAGGCTTATGACATTTATTTATTTTTCTTTTTAGGGCAAATTATACTTTACCCTTTTATGTTTGGCCATTTTTTTTATTTTGACTCTTTTTTTTTTCACTTTGACCCTTCATGTTTTAAGTTTTTTCAAATTTATTCTAAAATTAACTAATAGAAAATGATACATTTACAGTTAAGTGGCATAAAAATATTTTATGTTATATAAAATTCACACTTGTTATACAAATTTAAATTTTAATATAATAATATATTTTTTATGTTATTTAAGTATTAATGTGGCATTTTCTATGTAATTTTAATTAAAAGTTAGTTTTAGAAGTAAAATGAGAAAATTTTGAAATATGAATGGCTAGAGTGGAATAAAAAAAAAAAAAAGTGAAAAGTCAAAATAGGAAAATGATCAAATATAAAAGGGTACACTGTAATATAATTTTGTTTTATAAGTTCTATGTTAACTTAAAAAGTGTAAAAAATAATTATATGGAAACTGGTAATACTGCTTTTAGTTTTTATGTTTCTATTATCAATTTTTTATTAATAAAAAATTAGAAAAAATTCATTTTCCCTTGTTGTGATATCACTTAATAGCACTTTATCTCTGAGTCTTTGAAAAATAGTCACATGTCACTTATGTGATTTTGGACTAAAATTTAACAATTAATATCGTTAAATATAAATATGAAATGACTATAATACTTTCAAATCTTATATTTTTGTTATTTTCTCTCTCATCTTTCATACACATAATTTATAATGTCTAAGTATTAATTCAATTAAATATAAATTCTTAATTATTTATTGTAATTCTTAATTTTTTTAATTCTAATCTTAATTTAATTATATTTTAAATCACAATTAATTCTAAATATGACTATTTATATTTTAAATTTTTAATCTAATTTTAATTTAATATTCTTAAAAATAGTGTGCATAATAAACCTTTCATTAATTTGAATGAAAAAACTAACGATAATACTTTACTCCATGAGTACTTTCGAACTATATTTAAATGATAAGAAGTCAAATATTTCAATCCCAAACCACACTTTTACCCTAAACAATTGTACCAAACAAGTCAATGTAAGGTCCTTTCAACCTTTCCCTTCTCTCCTCTCTGGGTGGATGAAGTTTTCAAATATAACTAAGAAAAATGCTTGGGAGCACTAATTAGTGCTCCCACTAATTAGGTGGCAGTGGGTCCCGTTATTAATGATGTGATGTTTTGGTCTTAGAGTTGTATTTATTTATTTTTTTTACTTTTTTAATGCATTAATGTTATTAGTGGTGATGTTTTTAGTGGGATGAATCATTGTTGTATAACTAATGGATGCGAGATGTCACCACAAAAATCAACCCACGCACTAATGGTGTATCTATCGTATGGTTATGCTAAGCAAAGTCATTAAGTCTATTTAATCAAATTCAGAACATGTAAAGGCATGTTTGGTACTATAAAATCATACTTATTACCGTTACTGGTATGACGTGATCATATTTAAAAGTAAATTTAATAACTACATATTAACTCATAATGTAATAAAAAATGAAATTAACGTGATCATACTTAAAGAAAATTTAATAACTACATATAACTTAACTCTTAATGTAATCATACTTAAAGTAAATTTAATAACCTATATATAACTTAACCCATAATGTAATGAAAAATTAAAGCAAATTTAATAACTACCTATAACTTAACTCATAATGAAAATGAAAAATGAAATTTACTCGTTAGCAAAATCTCTAGTTTTTGCGTTAAAAAATTAAACTTAAAAGGAAGTTTAAAGTTTTATTTATTTTTTGTTTTTTAAATTTTAAATTCGTTCAACTAAATGATTTTAAGAATTAAATAAAAATTGAATTAATTTATTTTAAAAAAAAAATAACTAACAATGAAAATAAGTCAATTTTATTTTAAAAGTTGACAATATTTGACTCATTTACACTCTATTTGTTTGGGCATAAAATATTTTTTTCGTATTTTTTTGTGTTTGATATAATGGAAAACAAAAATCAACAATTTTTTTTTTATGATTAATGAAAAATAAGCCTATCCTGGTAGAAACTATTTTTACTTTTAAAATACATAGAATATTTTTCAAATTAAAGTTTTAACAATATATGCACGATGTGATTCGGATGGTTGGAAAATAAAATTATAAACCAAATTATAAATGACAGATTGACAAATAACAAAATTGCAGTTTGGGACCGTTTCAATTTGTTAGTTGATTGAAAAATAATTTTAAATAATTATAAAGTATTTGCATAGTATATAATACTAATTTGCAAATAACACAAACTAATTTTACATAATATTTTTTATATATATAACTACTAATTTGTAATAAATTTTACATCTTAAATCTTTCTCATATTCATTTTTATTTTGATATTACATTAAAAATTAACCACGGCTACCACCACTAAACATGAAAAAATATTTTCTTTATAAAATATTTATAATTTCTTTTTATAAAAAGTGTCTTTTTCTTTTTCCAAACAAACGAAGTGGTAGTCAATTTGAAACGTCCAGCTTGTCTCATATTTGAAATCATGATTGGACCATCCAATCCAACCTATAGACCTATTTTTGGGCCACATTTTGATAATCTAAATTGTATAATGTGTAAAACTCGTTAAATGCTATATCTCTGTAAAAAGTCAAATTTATCGGATATCGATAGCTATTTGATCAAATCAAATTTCTGTCAATCGTTTATTTTTTCACTATCCATTTTTTTATATAAATCTGATACGATCAAATAACTATCGATATCTGATCAACATGATTTTTTTAAAGAGATATAGTATTCAACGATTTTTACACATTAAACAATTTAAATTATCAAAACAGGACTAAAAAATGAACCCATAAATCGGATTGGACTGACCAATCTTAATCTCAAACATGAAACAAACCGGACTCAATTTAAACACACTCTTTATCAGCGTCAACCTCCCTCATCACCCCCCATCACCCCACATGCCCGCAAAGAGAAAACAATGATAAATAAATAAATAATTGAATAGAAAACTAACTACTGGGAGGAATTACTTATTGCCTCTTACTTTTTGGTACAAGTCTGGTCTTGGGGGTGGGGTCAACCAATTTTCATCCTCAAGGACTCTAGGGCATGGTTAAATATCATATTTCTTAGAACTTCTTTCATTTTTTTAGGGTAAAATGGTATTCACAAATTGACATAGCATTTTATGCATAGAATGGAAATCTTTTGCTTAGTAAACTCTACTACTAAAACATATTTGTTTGGTATTTGCTTAGTCATGTCTAACTAGTCAAGCGCCTGACATGGGTTCTTCAAAAATTTAAAAGAGGTCCTTGTTTGTGGGCTTGTTATGCTCCCTCCCTCAAATAGAGGCAATTAGTTTGATATTATGTATCAGTCGTGCTATTTTGGCTATAGTCGTTTTGGTGATTTATTGTTCAAGTGTTTATTTAGCTTTGTTAGCTGATCCAGTTAGTGAATTTTTATCTCTTTTCATGCAGTGGTAGCAATGATCACACAACCAAGTTCTGGTGCAGAAATAGGCCCGGCGATTCAGCTCGTGATAAGTTCAACGTTGGTCACAGCCAAGGTTTATCATTTTCTCCCTTAGTTATTCCCCTTTCCCTTCCCCCTTTTCTGGGTCTCCATAAAGCTGTCAAGCACACAGTCTATGAAGTTCCACTTGTAGGATTGTCTAGGGCCATGGAATCAAGGCATTCGTAGAATTTTATAGGAAACTGCTATTTTTGGCAAATGCGCTGAAGCTTTTGTCCATTATTTTTGTATTCTTCAGTGTGGTGAAAAGAGAAGTGTTTTGAAAATGTACTAATAAACTGACAGAAGCTTAAATTGAAGGGAATTTCTACTGTTATATATAACTGTTTGTTTGTTTCCAGGTTACGGTGAGCAAAATCCCACCCTAGCTGGTTCTATGCCTGGTAACTTTCCAGGACCTGAGCACCCCACAACTCCTGGGCCATTTGCTTCTGGGTTGACACGAAACGAGGGAAACATTCCAGGTGTTGGTGTTGCAATGCCATTGATGGATACATCAGTTCAAGGAGAGCAGAAACTGCCTCCGGTAGTTTCAATGCCTTTAGGTGCTCCTCCGCTCCCCCTTGGTCCACATCCTTCTCTTCTCGCAGCAAATCAGCAGCAAGCATATCATCAAAATGCTCAGCAAATCCAACATCACCAGCCACACCCACAGCAAATGCCCTCTATGCCTATGCCACCTCCAAATTTGCCTCAACTACAGCCTCCATCCCGTCTACTACTTCCACATCCTCATTTACCTCGTCCTCCACCCCAGCTACCCCCTCTTGGTATGCCTTCAAGCATCCCGTCATCAATGGCAGGATCAATGCCCATGCCTTCAATGCCAACGTCACTTCCAATGCCCATGCCTGGTCAAATGGTAATTATTTGTGCACACTCTACTTTTATCTATTTATGCTCTTGTTTTCATCTATGTACAAGTGTTTTTTATTCCCTTTACATAGACGATTATGCTTGTAAATCTTAGATAGAATGTCTTCTAGAAACCAATCAGCTTTATTTTGTAGTGACATGAGGGGCATATGCCCAAACTGAACCAACTTTGGTTGGTTCCAAATTTTTGGACCCAGAAATGTGTCAACCCAACCCAAGTAACTCGAGTTGGAACCATGGCTCCCCCTTAATCTAAAAAATTTGTAAGTACTAGTTATGAAACAAAAGTTTATGCAGAATTGAATAGTTATTAAACGATGGGCCTATTTGAGTTTATTATGAGAGTTTTTAACACTAGAAAAATACTTGCTGCAAAAATTTATATTACATAATTGAGTGTAGCAATGTTCACCATAATAAATAGAATCAACCAATTATATGAAGACATGTATACCATATGTAAAATTTTATGTAATATATATATATATATATATATGCTCGGTTCTTGGATTGGTTTGGGTTAGCATTAGGCTCACTTGAGAATTGAATCAACCTAGTCGGATTGGCCATTTTTAGACCCAGAACCGAATCGTCTCTTCAATAATTGAACCTACCCAACCCACGGAAGCCGGGTTGGTTCGGTTCACGGGTTTTTGGGTTGTTTGCCCACCCCTACCTGCCCCTCTACATTGCTCTGCGGAAACTATGATTGGAAAAATGTATAATTGGAATGTGCAGGTGAAACCTTGTGGCAGCCTGGCAGGCACCTGCTGCAGTCTAATTTTTACAGTTAGTGCAATTATCGTTTTATGTGTAGTGCAGTGTGTCGTTTAACATGACAGTATAGCCCCCCTTCTTTTTTTTCAACTGGGAGCCAAATTGTACAATGGGGAATCTCAATGAATTCTTTCTAGCAGAAAGAATTTTCAACACTTCTTAATTGATACTAGTTTCTGCCTGCAGGTGATGCCGGGTATGAATCCGATGGTTCCTCAAATGCAACAGGGGCATTTTATGGGTATAAATCCGATGCACTCGCAGTCGGCACCTTCAGTTGGAGGGATTCCAAATGGGTTGCAGGGCCCTTCAAATGCAGGTGGGGCCCAAATGTATTCGCCAGCAGGTGCATTCAACCGGCCACAAGGTGGGCCAGTGCCACCAATGCCAGGGCTTAATCCCTACCAGGTGAGACGATAGTTGTTTTTTCCTCCCTTGTTATAAATTGTCTTCTATACACTATCTATCAAAACATAAAATAAATTGTTTATGCCAAGACTGAAAATATTAGGGTGTTTATGCCGCTGATTGCATGTTTTCTGTTAACTGAAAAATTTTCATCACCACTTCATTTTAACCGTATAGAGGACTTGTAGGAGCTGAAACTGTAATTTATTAGATGATAGTTGTAGAGATGTTGTAATCACTTTTGGCAACGCTCTAATGAGAAGAAACTTTAAGAAATTTCTTTGTGATAAATATTGCATTGATGCCAAAAAAAGGGAAGTCAGGGAATGCACATTTGAAGCCTGTAAACTAGTAGTAGTACATCCTCCTGGCAAATAGATGGAGTATAAGTTTGAGTTGGTATTTCTTCTTTGCTTGACAAGCTAAGTAATCAAAAAGGTCGCATTGCTAGTGCATTCCATCATTTTCTTAATACAATTTGAAGTGAACTATGTGCTTCGTCTGGTTTACTGTTAGCCCAATGTATTTGTTTTTTGGCTCAAGATATAATAGTTGTAGGGCATCTTTTAGATGGCTTCTCATTTAATCTTTCTTCTTCTTCTTCTTGTACTTTTTTTAGGTCGTCTTTTATTTTTGGTAGAGCACCACTCAAGTCTTCTTTTGGCTGCATCTTACAAGCTTGTTAAAAAGCCATATTGTCATTTGGCAGACCTCAAAAAGCAAGAAAAATGTAAAGTCAATTTTGTTCATTTAAAAAATAATAATAATAACAAAAAAAAAAGCCCATGACTTTTTGCATTATAATGCATTACTATGAAGAGCAAATTGGCCATTTTGCATTAGAAAACCTAAAAGCTAACGAAGTTACCAAACATGCTTAAGCTAAAAAGCCATAAATGTGCCAAGCAACTCCTTTGGGAGTTGATTTTAAAGTCATCTAATTGACTTCGAAATAAGCCCATGTTAAAAACTTATGTTGTTTGGCACAATTGTGACTTTTTGGCTTTCATAATGATCTTTTGGCTAAAACATGTTTTAACCTTGATAACTTTTTAACTTTTTAATGCAGAATGGCCACTTTGCCCTTCATATTAATGTGTTATAGCCCAAAACGCTTTTCTTTTTATTAGATAAGCTTTTCTTTTTATTATTATCTAAAAGTTAGCTGTTTTTGGCTTTCTGAGGTATGGCAAAGTAAAAGTCCAATGAATTGGCTTATTGGCTCATGCCAAAGCAAATAAACATTATTTTATTTTTTAACCAATGAGCTGGCTTATTAGCTCCTCCCAAAGGAGGCTCATTACAAAAACTCATAAATCTGGACTTTGCACAATAACAGTTCGTGCTGCTATGAACCTATAAGGTAGACGAATTCATTCACTGCTGCATTGTTAACCACTATTGATTTCGTTAATGGGAATTTGATGATCTATAAATTGTCCTTAACGATCTGTTCATATTTGAGCGTGGACTGAGAAACACCACACACGGTGCAGGAACTACAATTCTTCCTCAAATTAGTAACCAAATTTCCTTACATTCCTTTGTGATTGGCTGTAGACACATCTCATTGCCTTGTATAGTTGTTGAAACATCTTTTAGATACCAATTATAATATCAGAATTGCATTATAATTCAAGAAATTTTCTGTTTGTTTGGGATGGTCTTGTTGGTCCAACTGATGTGGAATTTTCCTACTACTGCTTTGTTGCAGCCTGGGAATCCTAATGCAAGTGGCATGGGGACAATGCCATCAAATTTTGCTATTCCGTCTGGTATGCCTCCACCATTGCCTCCAGGCCCGCCACCTCATGGCCAAACACCACAGTAGATAAGATAATTCCTGTAGATTAAGACTTTGTTGCAGCAAGTAGGGCTGTCGGTTAGAAGCAAAAACATACATCTCTCTCGTCTCTATTGCATGCTGTTTATCCTTTTGGATGTAACATTTTTGTTTATTGTAGTTTCCCCATTTAAACTTCCTCCTTTGTTTTGTTTTTGTTCCCTGTTTCATTCCCTCCCCTCCTTTTTATATTTATCATATGTTCCTATGAAACTGATTGAAATGTAATGAATGTTTGCAATTGTTTTTTATGTGAAATTTACCAGCAATTATATGTTCATAGATGGGAAGCAAACATCTTAAGCTTTAAATTTCTGGGTTGATGACTCATATTGGATTCAAAATGAAGATGATATGGATTTTCAAAGTTTACTCATAACTGTTTGGGAAATTGGAGTTGCACACTGCATATTTGGGCCAACTTTGAATTAAAAAAAAATAAAAACTGTATTAATTGGCAAGGATTCAATTTTCCAGGCTTATGACATTTATTTATTTTTCTTTTTAGGGAAATTATACTTTACCTTTTTATGTTTGGCCATTTTTTTATTTTGACTTTTTTTTTTCACTTTGAACCTTCACGTTTTAAGTTTTTCCAAATTTATTCTAAAATTAACTAATAGAAAATGATACATTTACAGTTAAGTGGCATAAAAATATTTTATGTTATATAAAAGTCACACTTGTTATACAAATTCAAATTTTAATATAATAATATTGAGAGGGTAATTTTTGGGAAAAATTGGGCCGAGCTCCGAGTTTGGCTTCGAGGCCCAAAACGCGAAAGACTAAGTAAAAAGGCCGTAATGGCTACTTCGGCCTAGGGGCAAGGTTACTCCGTGGACTTGGTCAACAGGATTATACGAGGAGAATTATTTCCTCCCCGTACAAATATATTTTTATGTTATTTAAGTATTAATGTGGCATTTTCTATGTAATTTTAATTAAAAGTTAGTTTTAGAAGTAAAATGAGAACATTTTGACATATGAATGGCTAAAGTGGAATAAAAAAAAAAAATTGAAAAGCCAAAATAGGAAAATGATCAAATATAAAAGGGTACACTGTAATTTAATTTTGTTTTATAAGTTCTATGTTAACTTAAAAAGTGTAAAAAATAATTATATGGAAACTGGTAATACTGCTTTTAGTTTTTATGTTTTTATTATCAAATTTTTATTAATAAAAAATTGGGAAAAATTCATTTTCCCTTATTGTGATATGACTTAATAGCACTTTATCTCTGAGTCTTTGAAAAATAGTCATATGTCACTTATGTGATTTTGGACTAAAATTTAACAATTAATATCGTTATATATAAATATGAAATGACTATAATACCTTTAAATCTTATATTTTTGTTATTTTCTCTCTCATCTTTCATACACATAATTTATAATGTCTAGTATTAATTCAATTAAATCACAATTAATTATAAATTCTTAATTATTTATTGTAATTCTTAAAATTTTATTCTAATTCTAATTTCATTATATTTTAGATCACAATTAATCCTAAATTCTTAATTATTTATTATAATTTCTAACATGTTAATCTAAATTAAATTAATTACATTTTAGCTCAATTCTTAATTATTGTTTATTTTATATTTTATTTAATTATATTTTAAATTAATTCTTAATTATATTTTAATTTAATTGACTTTATTTTAATTAATATATTAATCTAGTTTTAGATGTAGAAAAGAATGAAGACAAAAATTTTTTTTTTGTTATATTAATTTTATTCTATTTTTTAAAAAACAAAACCTATTCTTAAAAATAGTGTGCATAATAAACCTTTCATTAATTTGAATGAAAAAACTAACGATAATACTTTACTCCATGAGTACTTTCGAACTATATTTAAATGATAAGAAGTCAAATATTTCAATCCCAAACCACACTTTTACCCTAAACAATTGTACCAAACAAGTCAATGTAAGGTCCTTTCAACCTTTCCCTTCTCTCCTCTCTGGGTGGATGAAGTTTTCAAATATAACTAAGAAAAATGCTTGGGAGCACTAATTAGTGCTCCCACTAATTAGGTGGCAGTGGGTCCCGTTATTAATGATGTGATGTTTTGGTCTTAGAGTTGTATTTATTTATTTTTTTTACTTTTTTAATGCATTAATGTTATTAGTGGTGATGTTTTTAGTGGGATGAATCATTGTTGTATAACTAATGGATGCGAGATGTCACCACAAAAATCAACCCACGCACTAATGGTGTATCTATCGTATGGTTATGCTAAGCAAAGTCATTAAGTCTATTTAATCAAATTCAGAACATGTAAAGGCATGTTTGGTACTATAAAATCATACTTATTACCGTTACTGGTATGACGTGATCATATTTAAAAGTAAATTTAATAACTACATATTAACTCATAATGTAATAAAAAATGAAATTAACGTGATCATACTTAAAGAAAATTTAATAACTACATATAACTTAACTCTTAATGTAATCATACTTAAAGTAAATTTAATAACCTATATATAACTTAACCCATAATATAATGAAAAATTAAAGCAAATTTAATAACTACCTATAACTTAACTCATAATGAAAATGAAAAATGAAATTTACTCGTTAGCAAAATCTCTAGTTTTTGCGTTAAAAAATTAAACTTAAAAGGAAGTTTAAAGTTTTACTTATTTTTTGTTTTTTAAATTTTAAATTCGTTCAACTAAATGATTTTAAGAATTAAATAAAAATTGAATTAATTTATTTTTTAAAAAAAAATAACTAACAATGAAAATAAGTCAATTTTATTTTAAAAGTTGACAATATTTGACTCATTTTATTTTTCTGTTTAAATTTAAAAAAATTCTAAGATCATTTACACTCTATTTGTTTGGGTATAAAATATTTTTTTGTATTTTTTTGTGTTTGATATAATGGAAAACAAAAATCAACAATTTTTTTTTATGATTAATGAAAAATAAGCCTATCCTGGTAGAAAATATTTTTACTTTTAAAATACATAAAATATTTTTCAAATTAAAGTTTTAACAATATATGCACGATGCGATTCGGATGGTTTGAAAATAAAATTATAAACTAAATTATAAATGACAGATTGACAAATAACAAAATTACAGTTTGGGACCGTTTCAATTTGTTAGTTGATTGAAAAATAATTATAAAGTATTTGCATAATATATAATACTAATTTGCAAATAACACAAACTAATCTTACATAATATTTTTTATATATATAACTACTCATTTGTAATAAATTTTACATCTTAAATCTCTCTCATATTTATTTTTATTTTGATATTACATTAAAAATTAACCACGGCTACCACCACTAAACATGAAAAAATATTTTCTCTATAAAATATTTATAATTTCTTTTTATAAAAAGTGTCTTTTTCTTTTTCCAAACAAACGAAGTGGTAGTCAATTTGAAAGGTCCAGCTTGTCTCATATTTGAAATCATGATCGGACCATCCAATCCAACCTATGGACCTATTTTTGGGCCACATTTTGATAATCTAAATTGTATAATGTGTAAAATTCGTTAAATGCTATATCTCTGTAAAAAGTCAAATTTACCGGATATCGATAGCTATTTGATCAAATCAAATTTCTGTCAATCGTTTATTTTTTCACTATCTATTTTTTTATACAAATCTGATACGATCAAATAACTATCGATATCTGATCAACATGATTTTTTTAAAGAGATATAGTATTCAACGATTTTTACACATTAAACGATTCAAATTATCAAAACATGACTAAAAAATGAACCCATAAATCGGATTGGACTGACCAATCTTAATCTCAAACATGAAACAAACCGGACTCAATTTAAAAAGTAAAGAAAAATGCTAACATATATATATATATATATATATATATTTTTTTTAAACTAAAAAAATAATAAACTGAATTTAAAAAAGGTTAAAAAGGGTTTCATAACTCTGAGTAAAGCCTGTAAAGTTGAACCGAATTTTTTTAATTTGTTTTTTGGTTGGAACAGAACCGGACTTCGTATACAAGAAACGTTGAACCATCTTCAATCTTCCACTAATTCTTCCATCTCCATTTTTAGGCTTCACCAGGTCTCTCTCTCTCTCTCTCTCTCTCTCTCTCTCTCTCTCTCTCTATGTATACATATGTGTTTATATATTTGTATTTATATAGATTGTTGTTGTTGTTGTTCTCAGATTCTATCTTCAGTTGATCCATTCCATTCGGTTGATCCCATAGTTGAACCACTTTGCTGTCAATTATGATATTAAATAAATCATAGATCTTGAGAAATAAACACCCAACTTACACTTACATATAATTGATAATGTGGTCATCATATTTTTTATTTATTTATAAATAAATAGCTTTTACCAGGTATAATCTAGTCTAATCTTTATAGAGGAAACTGTGTACTAGTTTCCAACAAAATTGACAAAATCTTAAGACTAGATTGACAACTCTTGTGAATCGTGATCCACAATTAATCTTTTTTTTTTTTTTTTTGGGAACAATGTCAAAGATACGCAGATATTTGTGTATTTAGACTCAGCCCGGATCAACAAAAAGATATAATATTATTATTATTATTATTATTTTACTGCATCCCATTTCAATTTAGATTTTTTCCACCAGTATGATGATTAGAATTTAATCTTTTACCAAGCCCAAATTAAGGAAGAGGGTTGTATGTTAGGTATCCTGACAGTCAGCATGTAAAAATTCCCGTAAAATCCCTTATGAACATGAATCCTATAATATTTCAAACAATTTGAAATAAATCAGAACATTATTTTGAGAGGTTTATTAGACCATTTTATACTGGAATCACGGTGGCACTCTTGCTGCATGGAATCTTAGAAGAAGGCTACTTCTTACCCAGTTCTGTAGTACCCAACACATTTATCTCCATATCTTGCCATACTAATTACCATGGCCAAATGTTTCTTTATAGTAGTTTTTCTTTGTCCCCTCTTTTTTTTTCCTTCTGTTTTTGTGGTGAGATTTAGGCAGTCATGATTGAATTGAACCTACCCACTGTGGATGAGCCTTTAACAGGAAGCTTCTTCCTGTTTCTTGAACAATTCCATTTCCGGATAGGTGAAACTGTGAGGGAAAAGAACATGAAAACCTTGTATATTTTAGTGGATTGATTTGAGACTCAGAGAACTACAACAGAAGTTCCAGTAAAGACATATGAACATGGCTGCCATTACAATTATTAGTATCATAAGTTGCTTCGCATTTGTTTACCCTCTTCCTCACTTTAATTCCTGCATACCATGTTATTTATTATTAATGTCATTTCCCAGTGGCTTTGCCTACTGAAAATTGCGCTTCTTCTTATCTCCGGCACTTGGTAAAGACTTAACGGCCTATGTCCTGTTTTTGTTACGTGCACCATTTCTGACATCCATCTTTTTTTCCCCCCCTCCTAGTTCCCTTTTGTCTCATCTTCTTTCTAAATGGTTTGAACAATGATACAAGCATCCAATGTAAACTGTTAAGATTTTTTATATACTTGACAATAATGGAATGTTGTGAGAAGTTTTGAAAAGAGTGAGGCAACCTTATTTATATTCACATTTATAGCTTTAGCTTCTATTCTTGGCTCCTTGTCGTCTGTCATGCTGATCTGTATATCATATGATAATCTTATCATATTTTGGGTGGTTGGGTTTATGTGTTTGTGGAAATACTTAACTTCTAATAAAGTTCTCTTGAAGATTGCATGTCTTTGCTTAACAGGGTTTTCGTCATGCAGGAAATGGGTTTTTGGACTCTACTTGAAGGCTTTCTGCTCCTAGCAAATGCTCTCGCAATACTAAATGAGGAGCGGTTTCTAGGTCCAAGAGGGTGGAGCTTCTCAGACTTCTCAGGAGGCAAGACAAAGTCATTTAAGGGGCAGCTCATAGGTCTTATTTACGCAACACAATACTTGAGAGTTCCTCTGATACTCCTCAACAGTATTTGTATCATTTTGAAAATGGTGTCTGGATGATGTTGCAGCACCAAATAGTGTTAGATCGAGTGTGTGTTAGTCTTAGGTGATCTTGTCACATATCTTGTATTTCACCTTGGAGGTATCTATTCTGATTTTTGTTCCATTCAAACAGTGCTGTTTCATACTGCTTCTAGATTTTGGCATGAACTAATGAGGATGATGTCCGTGGTCCCTTTCTCCCTTTTTTTTTTTTCAATCGGAGTCCATGGTGATGACCAAACCTCTTCTTTGACATTTCAAACACAGAGTTATGTTGACTTTTACAAGCTTGCAAAAAGCCTTCTTCTGGGTTTATGATGGTGGTTACTTGGCAATGGCCTACTTTGTGCTTTGATAGTTTTGCCCCTTGTGAGGTTGATTGGCATGGTTTAATAATTTATCCAATAACTGGTTGGCTTATTCGGGAAAATAGGTTTAGCGTTTGGCATAAGGTATCTTAATATTCAATCTTACTCAGACATTAGGGATAGTTGTTTCTATCTTATATTTATTGAGTCATTTTGTCACTTTTTTATTGAAGAGATGGTGACATGAGTTGTACTTTTTTTCTTTTTTTTTTTTAATTCAAAAGAAAGAGTTCAGGGACACAACAGAAATACAAAACAAAGCAAAAGAGGGCTAAACAGGATTAAGGCCTTTCACAAGAGGCCCCAACTATGTCTACAATTAGCAGACTTGCAATTTCATTTGGGGGGTTGTCTAAATCTACCAGATTCTCCACTTGATTTACACCCATGTTTGCAAGTTGTTCTCTTCCCAGAGGATGTAAGTATCAACACAATTGTATCTATGCATTGATGTCTTCTAGTAAAGCTCTGTATGGATAGTTGCTAAGAGTACCACTTGCTCTGAATCCATTTCAGTTGTAATATCTTGCATGCTTTTCTTCAAGATAATAGTAAGGCCTTTATAAATTCTCCAAAGCTCAGCTTCCTCACTTGTAGTTGACTCTAATTTTCCATGGTATCCAAGAATCCAAGCTCCTCTAGCATCTCTGAATAGCCTACCATACCCAGCAGGACCAGGGTTTCCTTTGGAACATCCATCCGTCTTGAGCTTGATTTTTCCTGTACAAGGAGGACACCAGTTATTTCTACAGAATAAAGTTTCACGTGTGAAATGAGCAGTTTGGAAGGCATGATGAATTTCTGTAGCTTGTTGATGAATTCGTCTCGTAGTTTCTTGAGCATAGCTTTCTTGTTGTCTGAACACCACACTATTTCTAGCCTTCCATAATCTCCACAACGCAACCACAAAAACAGTATCCCAAGAGACATTTGATAACTCTTTGCTATTGCTCTTTATGTTGTGTTGGAGCTAGATGTCCAATAGCATTAGATACTCTCCAGCTGTGATTAATTAAGATTTCCCAAATCTCCACAGCTTTCTAACACTCTCTCAGAAGATGGTTCAGATCTTCATAGTAGAGTTGGCATCTGGGCAAGTGTCAATGTCGGTGAGACCTCTAATCCTCTTTTGATGGTTGGTGAGCACTTTGTTAAGCATCAGCAGCCAAATAAACCCTTTCAATTTTTGAGGGATTTTCAATTTCCAGATCCAACTCCAGTTGGATCAAACCATTATCCTGATTAGACGCTTGATTGATAATCAGATTATAGGTAGCCCCAACTAAGAACCCATCACTAGATGAGCCAATCTAGTGGGTGTTGTCTACTAGCTCAGTAAACTGTGGAAGGTGTACCTGTTGTATTTGTTGTAGCGCATGATGTGGTAAAATATTTTCAACCTCAGACAGATGCCATCCTTATTCCTCATTAAGCATATTAGCAACCTTAACATCCTCATTGGTATGTGGTCCTGGAAAAAGAGAAGTTAATGGCCCATCCCCGCACCACCAATCTTTCCAAAAATAAATGTTCTTCCCATTCCCAACAGTCCATTTTGTGCTCTTTTTCAGAATATCTCTAGTCTTCATAATGTTCCTCTAGGTCTGTGAAGCATTTTTATTTGCAAGTCAGTTAGCAAAAGTGTGCTTGTGAAGGTATTTGCCTATAAGAATTTTCGACCAAGCAACCTCTTTGTCTGACTTGATTTTCCAGCCCAGTTTGGCTAAAAGGGCTATGTTCTGGTCTTCAACTCTTCTAAGCCCCATACCTCCTTCTTGCTTGTTCTTGCAAACTTGCTTCCAATTGACCAAGTGAATTTTCTTCCTTCCTTCCTGGTCCCCCCATAGGAAATTTCTATTCAGCTTATCAATTTGTTTGCAGATGCTTTGAGAGAGTTTAGAGGTTTGCATGGTGTAGGAAGGTATGAAAGATGACACAAATTGGATCACTGTTGCTCTAAATTTAGATTGTACTTGTGTAATGACTCACATGCATTTGATTAATTAGTTTAATGACATCTTTAGGTGCTAATTGATTATGTGTTTGTTGTGAAATTGCTTGTCTAATTGTGTGAATTATAAGGATTTGAATTTATATTTGTTGTTCATAGGAAGACTTGTTGAAATTATAACTTTAAACTAAAATTGAGGGTCTTAGAGGCGTCAAAAACCAAAACTGAGTAAATATTTGTGATCATTATAATTTTTAGCGCCAAATGAGAGGTTTAGTAAAAATTGATTATGAATTAATTAATTAGATTTAATTAAATTCATTCAATCCTTATATATATATATATACACATAAGAGCCTTAGTTGTAGAGTCTTAGACTTAGACTCAACAAAATATCTTGCTGGAGAAAGAGAGAGTTCTAGAGAGCTCCGAGAAGAAGAAGAAGAAGAGAGCTTGAGGAAAAAGGAGGAAGAGTGGAGCTTTGATCCCCATAAATCATCACTCTAAGGTAGGATTTCTCTCCTAATTTCTTAGATTTGAGTCATTTACACTCTTATCCTCTTGAATTTCAGCTCAATTAAGGAAGACATCATGCTTAGTTAAGGGTTTTGTGGTGTGAGAACTCATATGATTATGGATGAACATAAAATAGATGAATTGTGTGAATGAATTCAAGATTTGAGCATGCATAGCATAATTTCATGAAAATCATGATCACAAACTTGTTTTCTTCATAGCCTCTCATGATTTCCTTTCTAAGCTTGAGCTTCAAGTTGTATTTCTCAATTCTTTAATGTTTCCAAAGACTTTGGTCTTTCATATGGAAATTGAGCTTCAATTTGGAGTTATGATTGTTATTTCAAGTGAGATATGTTTAATTCAACATGTGTTTTGAAGAGTTTTGGGTCTTGAAATGTATAAAATTGAAGTTTGTGGTTGCAAAACTCAGCTCAAGAATTGACACAGATTTTTGGACTGGAAATGAACCCAGACCGCACGTGCGGCCAGACCTCCTCTATTCCACGTTGCATTCTGCTAAAATTGCACGTGCGGGCACATGTGCAGTGGAGGTTTCACACATGCGCCAGTGCTCCCACACGTGCGGTTTTCAGGGCGGTTTCGGATTCTTTTTCTTTTCGTTTTTCGGACTTCCAGGCCTTCATTTGCATGGCTTTCACATGTTTTTCACATTCATACGCATATCATGAGCATGGATTAAATTAGAGAACAAATTGAACTAACCGAATGAACAATTAGTGAATAAATTGAATCGATTTAAAAATCGACTGAATGAATTAAACGTATTTTAAGATGTTGTGTTTAGATATGTTTTTGTAGGTTGATCCGTTGAGGTGTATTATCTGACCAAGCACGGTGAGTAACATTATTGTAAGGATATGTTCATATAAATTATATCTGAAATGTTATTTGGTTGGTATGATTCCTGAAATGATATTATGTTTAAGTGAACGAATGTCCTATTTTTTGAATCTACTATGGCATCCAAGGGAAGTCCCAAGTCATGGGGGACAACATGTATACGGATCCATGATATATATGTGATTGCGAGATCTCATTAGCCATTTAATGAAGTGGTGATATGTTTGATAATCGGTATGAGGAACCGATTACTCTAGTCAAATGATGATATGTTATGTTCTGTTGGATGTACCATTATTATGTTCCAGTATGGTATCCGGAATCGATTACTCTCGTTAGATGACGATATGTTATGTTCTGTTGGATGTACCATTATTATGTTCCGATATGATATGCTCTGCTTTATGTTTATGAAATGTTTGGGATTCGTTTACTAACCTCTGTACTTTAATGTTATTCATTGGGTTTTAACCCATTGTGTGTGTATACATATATAGGTGGGCAACTTGAAGAGCAAGCCTAGAAGAACTCCTTAGCGAGCCACCATCTGAAGCCCTTTGAGTTTGTTTTGGTGCTTCTGAGTTAAGGCTAAGTCTAGTTGGTTTTGGCAAATGTTATGTACATGAAGTTAAAGTTTTGATGATATGGATATATGTATATGAAAGGTTTGTACATGACGTATAAATGTTTTTTTGTACATGTCGGTATGCATGTATTACAGGATGTCTATATTGGCGTAATTATGTGTTGGTTCATATAGTTAGCACATTTCAAATGCCTGTTTGTTTTAATTATATTATAAGCTTCCGCGAGCCCTGATTATATTATATTTGAATAGAAAGGTGTTTGATAATCTCGTATTACTGGCTGGTCACCTCACCGACCCTTACGAAACGGGATTCGGGTCGTGACAACTTGTGTCTCTCCCTCTCCCTTTATTTTTTTTAATCTTTTTTTAAGGCATGATAGTCTTAAGAGAAGCACAAATAGACCGAAATTTTTTATTTTTTATGTGCTTAGATTGTACTTGTGTCTCTCCCTTCTTTTTTTTTTTTTTTTGGCTGGCTTAGAAATGGCAATCTTAAGAGAAGCACAAATAGACCAAAGTTATTTTTTTTATTTTTTGTTTTTCTCTATTTGTTTCTGCCTCAAAGTCCTGTTTTTACCTTCTCTATACCTTCTGTGTTGAAGATGCATTTATTGGAGATGAGTAAATGATTTTTGTTGGGTTAATTACACCAGTAGTTCTTTAAGTTTGTCACCAATCTTGCTTTGATCTTTTTTTTTTTTTTGATTCAAATCTTGCTTTGATCGTTGATTTTTTAAATTTGGACAAATTGAGTATTCAAATTTTAAACATTGGACCAATGTGGTCCCATGACACAACTGCTGATGTTTTTTGTCTCTTTTTTTTGTTTTTAAATATATAAGAATAAAATAAATACTAACATATAGTATACGTATTTTTTAAAATAAGAAAATGTATTTTTGTGAGTTGGAGGAGTAGTTGGTGGGAGAGAATGGTCAAAGGTGGTGTTGGGGTTGCCGGAGAGATGAGGGGAGTGGGCAGAGGTTGTTATGTTTGTTTTTATAAAATTTTAGAACTTTTGAAAATTATAGTGCGTTTGGTTTGAGTTTTTGTGATTAAGTTTTTTGAAAATTGAGTTTTTTTGTTTTCGTGTTTTTTTTTATTTTTAGTGAATATTTTTAAAATTGTAAACATTTTTTTTATAACTTTTTTAGATGTACTTTACTTAGATATATCTAAAAAGAAAAAAAAAAAGTGAAAAAATATTTTTAAAAATTAATAAATACATGAAAATATAAAAAATATACTGAATTTTCGTATTTTTATTTTTGTTTTTGGTATTTAGTGAATTTTTAAAAGGTTTTTTTACATCTTTTTTATTTTTTAGATATATTTATGTTAGGTATGTCTAAAAAGTAAAAAAAAAAAAATTGCTTAAAATATTAAAAAAATTCAGTAAAAACAAAAAAATACAGAAATTTAGTGAATATTTTTAAAATTGTAAACATTTTTTTTATAACTTTTTTAGATGTACTTTACTTAGATATATCTAAAAAGAAAAAAAAAAAGTGAAAAAATATTTTTAAAAATTAATAAATACATGAAAATATAAAAAATATACTGAATTTTCGTATTTTTATTTTTATTTTTGGTATTTAGTGAATTTTTAAAAGGTTTTTTTATATCTTTTTTATTTTTTAGATATATTTATGTTAGGTATGTCTAAAAAGTAAAAAAAAAAAAATTGCTTAAAATATTAAAAAAATTCAGTAAAAACAAAAAAATACAGAAAAAAAAAAAAGAGTAAAATTTTTTAAAAAGTGTTTTTGGAAAAGTGTAACCAAGCAAATCTTAGCATCTATTTGGCAACAAAAACAGTTATCAAATGTATTTTCATTAATAATTTTCAAAAAACAGAAAATAAAAAAAGAAAACATGAGTTAACATTCAATATGTGGGCAAGTCTCAAGGAGAGGCGTTTTTTAATATTTAAATAATACTTTATATTGGTTTGTATTGCAATTATAATGTTAAATCCATTTTTCTCTTCTATATGTGAAACTAAAAATTCAAGGAGGTTTGTTGCTTTGAGGAGTTTTTAGGGCAATTTTAATGTTACTCTTTATTTATTTTTTTATAGTTAAAGTATAAAAAATGTATCCTACTTGTTTTAGTTGACCATTTTCTTGTCGATGTGCTATAAGAGCATCTCTAATGGTGCTATATGACTTGCGATTGTTATATTTTGCCTTAAAACTTCTAAATTTGTACTTCAATGATAAGGTATATGACTGGTTATATATTAGCTATAGGTAAATATTATGTCAAATAGAACATTGGTTTTACCATTGGAGTGCAAATATAGCGCAAGTTTTAACATTGTGTCCAACCATTGAAGATGAGCATCCATAGAAAGGAGAGAGATACAAGGATTTTAGTTATACGTAAACCATAAATATGTATGTTCATATATAATATAGATATATTCAACTGTAGAGATAAAAAAATCCTAAAGCTTTTGTCCCAAAATATATTCAGAATTTCGAGATTTGGTGTGCTTTTTGGAGTTCAATAAGTTTGGCCACATATATGATTAAAATTTTAGTTTTGTGGTTTAAGCCTCCGTTGGCAAGTGGGTTGCTTTTTAATTTTTTAATTTTTTTATTATTTTAGTCTGGGCTAAAAAATTTAATTTGTGAAGAATTTTTTTATTTTTTTGACTTTTTTTTAGAGAATAGTGTAATAATTATGAGTTGGATGTGATATTTTGTTTGTTGTGAATAAAATAGCCTATTTTATTTTTTATGGCTAAAATAACCAAAAAAACTCTTGCCAAAAATCCCAATTAGTTCTTGAATGTTATTATATATTTGTTTAAGAAAATGAATAACCGTAATGAAAAATCTGTTTAAGGGTTTTTGAAAATAGTGTAATTTAAGATTTTTATTTGTTTATTTGAATGTGCCTTAAAGAGTAATTTGGGAAAAAACGTAGGGTATATCGAAAGTAAATTATAACCCTAAATAATTTAATAGTGTATTGAAAAGTTGGACTGACTTAATAATTTTTTGAGTATAAATAGGATCTCTATGTGTTTTTTATGCCTGTGTTATCGAGGGCCTTTAAAAAATGAGTTCTTGTTAGGGAAAATTACCAAGAAGTCTTTTTTGATAAAAGTGTAGTCTATTTTGTCCCAACCTTTTGTTTATACCTAAAAGTCCTATAACGTTATTATTCTTCTCTGTCTCTCTTATTCTCTGCCTCTTTTGCTCTTTGTGATTTCCGATGATCGTTGACGGATAACCATATCTTGCTTCTTCTCTTTCTCTATCCGATATATAGTCATCGACAACCGACGACTACCATCGATTGGGATTCACCGGCAACCACCGACTGCTGACTCCTTACTTCGTCCTCACCGATGGTAAAGAAAATATGTTTCCGACGAAGAAGATGAGTAGATCTACTTAGTTTGATGTAGATCTACATAAGATCTGAGTAGATCTACATCAGATTTGGCTAGATCTAAACAAAAAATAGTTGCCGAAGTACAATCATCTCTATATCCACCATTTTACTTCGATCTCTTATTTTTTCTACATTTTTTCTACTATAAACTTCTCTTTTTCTATTCTAATGGAGAAAATTTTCAAGTTCTGAACAAGTTGTTTTCGAGTTTTAGTTACAGGCGGTGAAAACTGTAAAATTTAGCAGTTTCAAATATTTTTTCTTGTGCTGGAATGAATCATGGTTTAAAATTGTAAAATTTTACAGTTTCAAATTTTTTTGGTATTGGAATGAATCATGGTATAAAACTGTAAATTTTTACAGTTTCATAATGTTTTTCAGTTTGATTAATAAGGATAAATACTTAATAGATTTTTGCTTTGAAACTGTAACATTTTACAGTTTGAAAACTTTATTTTAAGTTTGATCAATATTAGAGATTATTTACTTAAACCTTACAAAAATTGAAAAATAGCATATGTTTTTCTCATTGTTGTTGTTTTTTGTCGTTTCATTTTTTTTTCTTTTAGTTTATCAATATTTAACACATTTTGCTATGTGTTTTTGCTATAATTTCTCAATTTATTTATTTATTTATTTTTATTTTTTCCCGACAATATTCTAAACACTTCGGTGAGTCTCCAATGATGTTCTTAACGTCTAGTGAAAGTTCTGAACATTCCGGCGACTTCCATTAACATTCTTAACACTCCGGTGAACTTCCGGCGACTTCCCGGTGATGTTGAACATTCTAACGAGTCTCCGGTGACCGCTTAACGGAAGTCCGAAGGTAGTAAGATGTAAATTTAAAAAAAAAAATTAAATTTTTTGGTAACAATTACAAATATATAGGATTAATTGGTGTAAATGTTTTCTTTGAGAATTAGATTGATCTTAAACTTTTTATAAAAGACTTATTGGTAAGTTCCCATTTTTAAAATTAGGTTTGACCATTGGGGCCATTGGATAAATGTTCCTTTCAGGACGTTGGAGGAGTTTATTTTTGCTTTACATTTTGACAACTTTCTAAGTAGGTGGACCAGTGGCGACTCTAGGAATTTTTGTTAGTGGTGTCAATAAAAAACTTAAATATCATATATCTTATAGAAAATTCACATTAATCATTATATCACCTATGGAGAAAAAAATCAACAAATTAATTTAAATTCTAAAATTATAAACAAAAATATTTCAATATATTGATACTATTGTTTAAGCAAAAAGACATGCTAATATCTAATATGGGTTCAAAATTGGTGGGTTCAAAAGAGTATGACTTAAAACTATGGGTTCAAAATTGTATTTTAGTGGGTTCAATTACTAATTTTTTTCCTAAAATCTAATATTTATATAATAAATAAATAAATAAATTCAGCCAGGGGGTTTGGGTGACACCCCTGACCAAGCCTTGGAGCCGCCCCTGCTTTGGACAACAATTTTGTTTGCTACATTTTTAGCCTTGTATCTTAAAATTTCAAAGACTTTAAAAGAGGAAAAAAATATTGAGGTATCAAATATGGCTTTAAAAGAGGAAAAAAATATTGAGGTATCAAATATGGCCAAAGACTAAGGGTTGTTTTAAGAATCGGTTATTTTAATTGATTTTTTTTATTTATTATTTTTTTTTAAAAGATATTTTAAAAAGTATAGAGAATATATATTTTTTTTAGTGATTTTTTTAACTATTTTAGCTTATTGCCAAAACAAGCTTAAGGGTGATCGGCAGATGAGGCTGTCGCCAGTGTATGCGGCCAAAGGTCATGGTAAGGAGTGGTGGATGGAAGAATAAGGCCAAGTTTGGCATCCTTAAAATAATCCATTTTTTTATCTTTTTATTTTTTTCCATCACATCACCTCTCTACTTTTCTGCACATATTTTCGTAAAAAGACAAAAAGTGCACTTATTTAGATCATCCCAAACACCCCTTAAACGAAAATTTATTATTATTTTTTGTACATCAGGAATTAATGAAATTATTTTCAAATAAAATGAAAGTCTTTTTATATTTGACAAATTGAAAAAAAAAAATATTTACATTTTTTTAAAATAAAGACCGTTATCAAACATAATTTTGTTTATAATTTTCCAACTTGAAATAAAAAAATGAAATAAACATAACCTAAGGTTTTGTTTGGAAAGTGAGTTAACTTTTTAGCTGCTAAAAAGTTCGTACGGGTTGGGTTTTTTCAAAAAAAAAAAAAAATTGTGAGGAAAAAAAAAATGATTATGATTTGAATATGAAATTTTATCTTATTAATTTTTTAATCTATTTAAAATTTTTATGACTATTTTAACATTTTAATCTCTCAACCCAATATGTCAAGAGAGGGCTAAATACCCAAGTTAGGGCATCCACAATGGGATAGCCAAAATTGTTTGTTAAAGCCTGTATTATATGACAAAAAGTGATAAAAGTGTGGCCAAAAAATGTTTGTTAAGATGTGTTAAGAGTTTGTTAATTTTAGAGAGTGAGTGGTGGTGCAATGGATGTGTTAAGGGGTGTGTTAAATATATATATATATGTGTGTATATAATAAATAAAATAAATAAATAATTTAGTTTAATAAAAAAATTGAAGCCCAAAATTAAATTTCAAGTAAAAAAAAAAAAAATCCCAACATGTAAAAAAAATAAAATAAAATCCGTTGACCGGGTCAACCCGGAAGACAAAAATACGCGTCCATTTGCTAGCTAAAACACTAGCCGCAATTAACAAATAACTTAACAACTGACGCTAACAAAACTCACTAACACACACTAACACCTCCATTGCAGCCCCAAACACACACCACTGCTAGCCAAAACTTGGCAACTGACACTAATAAACACGTTAGTGTATCCATCATGGATGCTGTTAGGAGTCAAGCTACAGTTGTGCCATGAGGCAGCCCATAAAATTCCTTATGCCTCGCTTGAGAATATGCTAATTTAGTAATTTTTTTGCTATTTGACTAAAATATTGGCTAAAAAAAATTATTATGTTTGTGATGACTTTTTGGTTTTTTAAGAAAAGATGTGCAAAAAGTAGAGAGAAAATAAAATATTTGACTTTTTGGTATGAGTTGTTGACTTTTTGACTAATTTAGTAATTTTTTGACTTTTTAACTAAAAGAGAGGGTTCCCAAACGAGGCCTTAGCCATGCTGTAGACAATTTTTTTTGAACAACAGTACGGTAGGCAATTTGAAATGGTACAAATTAATGGTTTTATAAAAAAACTATTTATTAAAATAGCGTATGCTCAAAGTGAGTAATTAAAGAAAAGCCGTTGACATAAAATTTTAAAAAATTCCACTAAAGGGGAAAAAAAAAATGCTTATTTTCACTTTTCAAAAAACACTTTTCAGAAAATTATATTTTCTTATATTCCGTATTTTTTATTTTTACTGAATTTTTTTAATATTTTAAGTAATTTTTTTTACTTTTTAGACACATCTAATATAAATACACAAAAAAAGTTAAAGAATTGTAAAAAAAATCTTTTAAAAATTCATTAAATACCAAAAATATAAAAAAATACAAGAATTCAATACATTTTTTTATATTTTTATGTATTTATTAATTTTTTAAAATATTTTTTCACAATTTTTTTACTTTTTAGATATATCTAAGTAAGGTGTATCTAAAAAAGTAAAAAAAAATGTTTAAAATTTTAAAAATATTCACTAAAATAAAAAAACCTGAAAATCAAAAAAGTCAATTTTAAAAAAACTTAATCAAGAAAATTCAAATCAACCACGCTGAATTTTTTTAGTCTTTACCAAACTGAGCATTAAAGTGAACTCAAGTCAATAGTTAAGTTAACCACAGGGGCATAAGGGTAACCAGAGTTTGGATTCTTTCCAAAATTTGTATAATAAAATTCCAACTTTACCCTCTCAAAACACATCTAAAGTGTAAACAACTATGCTGCCGGCGACCCAATTCGGTACTTTCACAGTTCATCACACTTTCTTCCCTTCACCAAAAACAAGACCACTACCAATCGCACTCACCGCATGCACGGACTCATCAAAACAAACACCCATTTTACTCTCTCTCTCTCTCTCTCTACAGGTACAGCTCCGAGGTTCTGAAGAGGAGAGAGTCACTCTTTCTCTATCTACACTCTCTCTACTACGGTAATGGTCGCCAAGTTTCGTTTTTTCTCGCATTTTTAATTTTTTTTTTGTGTGCATTTTGGGCATTTTTTTGGAGCTAGGGTTTTAGTGTTGTGTAGATTCTGGGTTGTGATTACTGGTTTCTTACTCGCATTCAGTCTATGAATACATAGACGTGTATCCAAGTCGCGAAATTAGGGTTTGGACTTGGTGATTTTATGTTTGCATTCACTAATTTATTCGCTGAATTAGGGATTTTATTTTAACTGGGTAATATTGTTTGTTTCTATATTTGGTTTCTGGGTTGGTTTCTGAATCTTTAATTTATAGTACATTCATTTGCCGAAACTAGGGTTTAAAGAGCTACTTCATCATGTGCTTTGGTCACAATGTGGTGCGTTTGTTGCTGAGAAAATGTGGGAAAAGTAGAATAAATTTTCATTTTTTTGGACCAAAGGATATGAAAACCTCTGCGGAAACGAACCTTGTGGGTCTATTCAGCTTGCTGTGTTTTTTGTTTTGAAAAAATTTCAAAGAGGATAACTCCAAAAAAAAAAAAAACCCTTATTTTTCGGCTATCAAACGGAGGGTTTGGAAATCTGCGTTAAGTAGGGTGCTTCTTTTGGGAATTTAATTGTAGTAGAGCTGAGGCTTGAAGAGTAATGAGATTTGTTGTTGTGCTTATGTTATTATATGAACCAGAATCACGCAGATTTACAGATGAATTTCTTCTGTATTTGTAACTGTTTTTTCTTGCTTTGTTAATTGCAATGCAAGTGAAAACTTCATTTTAAGCAAACCAGTTCGAACCCCCTTTTTTGTTAAATTTCCCCCCAATTTCATGTAGTTTTGTTGTTTCTTATTTGTGGCAGGCATTCGATTTGAGTTTTTGTTTATGATAGGCATGCTGTAAAAGAGATGGAAGAAAGTCCCTCATCAACAGTTTGGGGTGGGAAGATAACTGGAATCAAGTTTGGTTTGGCTACTTGTCAGGAAATTGTAAGCATAATCTATTTTTTGGCGTTATTTGTTCAGCTTGCATAATTCAGTTTATAAAAGGGGTTAGTGGAATTGTTTGATTGTCACTAGGGATTTTGAAACTTTTTTTTTTGCTTCTTTTCTTTTTGGTTTGAATAAAGAATTCCTATCTTATCCTGTTTTTGAAACTCATGTTGTTAGGGTGGGGCTTGGTAATGCCCTGTTTTCTGTCTATCCATGTTTTTGTTCTTTTGTCTTTGTTTTTGCATAAAACAAAATAAAAAACAATATTTGTTTCATCATACATGTGTTTTTAAAATATAAAACGAGATTAAGAAACCATGTTCAGTGAGTGGAGGGAGGAGGTAGTGGTCTGAGGGATGACGCAGGGGATAGGGAATGAAAACTTGTTTTGAAAGTAATATTTTTTCTTCAGATTTCGAAATTGAAAATTGTTGCCTTTTTTTTGGAAACTAAAACAGTTCTCAGATGTGTTTTTTCATTTATAGTTTTAAAAATTCTTAAAAAAAAAAACTGGGCCCTAGAAGATTTGAGTCCTAATATTGTTCCAGACTATTTTAGATCTTGTGATGGATGTAAACCTCCTTCTGAACAAATTGTCCTACAATTTGCATTTGATTAAGTGCAACTTTGGATCTTGTGGCCATTCTGGTTGAATAAGTTGGTATGATTCTTTTTATTTATTTTTTGTTAGTGCACATCATCCAATAGTGATTTCCCTATAAGCCATGCTAGTCAGCTTTCAAATCCGTTCCTTGGTTTGCCGCTTGAATCTGGAAAATGTGAATCATGTGGTGCTGCGGAACCCGGGACATGCGAAGGTATTTTTCATGTTTTAATCCTTTTTATTTTCTGATTACACTGAGAAGTTTGAATGGTCATGACCGCTGGACACATTGAAATATTGCTAAAGTTTTGTTCATTTTTTTACCTTTCAGGTCACTTTGGGTATATAGAATTACCAATTCCAGTATATCATCCTTCCCATGTGAGCGAACTAAAGCGGTTGTTGAGCCTGGTTTGCTTTAAGTGCTTGAAGTTGAGAAGTGGGAAGGTAATGGATATGTTTATAGAAGGCTCCACGTAAAATCTATTTGTCATAAGTAATTAAATTCTTTTGCTTTCTTGATTGAGAGGGTAGCAGATTATTATGTTGTGTTATGGCAAGAATTTGAAGCTCTCAGTGATTATAGATCATTTTGCCATAATATATCCTATATTTGATTATTTAATAAAGGAAGTTGGTAGACATTTGAGTGTGGTCACATATGTGGTGGCCCTTTGAGTTTCAAATTCTTTATATATCTCACTAATCCATCTAGAATTTTTCTCCCGTGCTGGTCATGCTTTAATCCCTTGTATTCGATATGATTTTGCTCATTGGGTTTTTTTCACTTTCAGTTTCAGGTCAAGAACATTGGTATACTTGAAAGGGCTTTGACCTCATGTTGTGAGGTGAGCATTGAATTATCAAGTGATTGCTTTGAAAGTTATGTGTTTATATTGTTTGAAATGTGTAATATGTGTGCTTATTTGGTCTTACAATATCATATTTTTTTTTTTGTTTCTCACCAAATCTCACCATTTTTAGTAAGAAATGAAGCCTATAAAATAAGATAGTTCACTTTCTCACAATTTCTTATCATTTCTCACCTAACTTATAAATCAAACATGAGAAAAGTTTTATCTTTCTCTTCATTTCTTATCATTTCTCAGCAATTCAGACAATCCAAATGGAGCTTAAAACCTTTCACGAAGAATTCAAATTGAATATGCCTTTTTAGCGAGTTAATACACCTTTAGTTGATTGATCCTTTTTTTTAAGAGAATGATGCATCCATGTAATTAACTTATGGTCACATGATGGGTTCTTTTTTGTCCTTTTCCATTAATCATCCTTAGATGATAACGACATCCCTGTTTTGCTTCTTGTTACATATTTTGGTTAATTCATTTGCTCATATGACCTCATTGAAGAAGGAGCCATTTTCGTTGTTACTATTCTGTACTGTTAGATAAAATAAGGGTTGCTTGTCTAGGTCTTGACCTTGGTATCAGTCCATAATGATCAAAGTTGAATTGTGAACCTATTAATGAAGCAAATGCACTGAAGCTGCAAATAGTACCATAGAGAAGGGTCCATACTTGAGATAGGATATGTAGATATGAAAAAGAAATCTTAAATATGCAATATCTTTCATGAAAAGATGAGAAGGATCATCCAACTTGTGTTCAAGACTGTTGACATCGTCCATGAGGGTGGAGGGGGTGTACAGCAGCGAGTGAAGGTCACATAAAGGGGGAGAAATCTTCAACATTACCTCCAACTATTGGGGTTTGATGGCCCTAGGTTGGCTTTGATAGTTTCAAGAGCCTCAAAACCCAGGAGAGGCAAGGTTTTTCTTAGAAGGTTTGGTGGTCAAAAATGGTTGGAGTGTAGGAGTTTTGTTTAGGTTGTTAATTAGAGGTGGGAGATTTTGCGACTAAGGGTAGGCAAATTCTTTGTATCCCACAATTAGATTTTGATAATGGGTGGTAAGGTGATAAGGGAGTTCGACCTAGAAGGGGGGTTGAAGAGGTCATTATGAAAAGTCTTATGTAGGTAGGGGTGCAACTCGGGAGGTCTTAACCTGAGCAACCGATGGCCAACCCAAATTTTTAGAGCTTGGGCAACATTTTTTTCAACTTGGTGCAGGCTTGGGTAGCAATTTAGAAGTCCGAATTAACTTTGGGTTGGGCTTGGGCTTGGTTAGAGGCTTTGGACAGCCCGAAACCCAAATTTGATATTTGATTATATAAAAAAGTTAAATATATCCAAGGGGTTGGCTTGGTGGCAAGGTCTTGGGGGTGTGCTCCCTCCTAAGCTCAAGGATCGAAACTTTTTAGGTGCTAACAACTTCTTGGGGCCATTGGATTGGAGGAAATCTCTTGAATTAATTGTGGTGCACTTGTGGGAAACTCCTTGCCAAGGGCCTGTGCATCCTTGAGGATTAATCGGATTTTTTTCGGACACCCCAGTGCCAATCAAAAAAAAAAAAGAAGAAGAAGCTAAATATATCCATTAATTATTAGCCGCTAGGGCTATTAATTTGGACCGTTTGATCTATATCTTATATACTACGTTACAACAGTCATTAGTCTCAAACAAACCCTATTTCTAGTGAGGCTCATAGTGGCGGAGAGGGATAACCTCTTGATTCTTTCCTCTCGCCTCTCAATTTCTTGGCAATGGCAATGGCAAATGTTGAGGTAGTAGTGATGCCATAGCAGACGTGACATCATCATAGAGGCGACATCACTGCAACATGCCACCGCAATTGCCTCTTCGATAGTTGTTTGTGACACCACCACATCGATTCCATCACTATCTCTTGGGCTCTCTCTCGAAAGAATGAGAAAAAATCCAAGCTTTGTGGAACCAAGCCGAATCATGAAAACGCGGTTCGGTTCAGAACCACGATTATTATAAATTTTGTCTACGTTCAAAATATGACCAGAACATGCTCAAACATCAAATTAAAAAAGAAAAATGAATTTTTTTTTAGAAAAATATTCTTATATTTATCCTTGCAAATTTTTTTAAGCAAAAAAAAAAAAAAAAAAGGCTCAAACATCAAATGCCATTATTTTACAAACACTAATTGTTTAACTGATCGTTTTGAACTAGTTCTACAATTATACATGAGCAAACTTGCAAGTGTAGAAGCTTAACAGCTTATGAATATATATAGGCACTAATAAGGTACTCAAGTATCTACAGTAAATAACAAATTATATATATATATGTATATATCTGAACGGTCCGTTCCGGTTTGGTTCCAAACCGGAATAATAACTGTAAAATCACGGACCAAACATAAAATATGTTTTGCCTATATTAAAAACCAAGACCGAATCGTGCTCTAAGAAAACCAAACCAAACCTAACAGTGAGGTTTGTTCTGGATCAAACCAGTTTTCATTTTTTTTTTTGGTTTTTGTGCTCAGCTCTACTTCTCTGGGTGGAGATGGTACTGAGAGTGGAGTTTTGAAGCTCTAAGGTAGAGTTCATATGGGGAGTAGAAGGAAGAAGTCTTGGTGTTTGGTTCCTTTGTTTATCATGTGGATTATTTGGAGGGAGGAATATTTGAACTTCTGCTGGTATAGAAGTTTCTTTTTTGAGGTTGTAGAGTAAAGTTTTTTCTATCTTGATTAGTTGGTTACCCAGGACCATTGACTTCTGGGACAAGTCAGTCTCAAATTTTGGATATTGTAAAGATCTTGGAATAAATTTTTGGTGTATAGCTTCTTATACCTTATAAGTGGGTGGCAGCCCCTTGGTGCCTTAATAGAGTACCTAAATTATAAAGAAAAAGAAAAGAGAAAGGCATAGGATATGTATCGGCTTCTCCGTTGCTTCCCAGAAGAGTTATTGGCTTAACAATGGAAAAGCACTTTTTGGACCTACCCATCCCAGGAGACAATGCAAGAATTTATCATCCAATGATAATATGGCAAGCAGCTAATATAATCAATATGCTTGTTTTAGTTAAAGATGATCAGGAAAAAACTTGTATTGTTGATAGTGAATCCTCTGATTGCTTGGAAGCACACTTCTTATCCGTGAAGATCCTCTCATGTTTCTCATCCTCCATTTCATCCAAACAGTCGAAAATAATTTCCATTTCATTCATAAACTTGCCACTGCTACCACTTAAAAATAAGGAAAGCTGCTTCGTTTATAGGTGTAATTCAAGCCTCCCTTCTGGCATAAGGAATGAGTGGCCATGGTGAGCAGGATGGCAAAGGAAATGGTGCATGATATATGCATTTAAAACTTACTAAGCAGTGGTTGCTTTCACTTTTCGTTGTCAAAGTATAAATATAAAATTTTTAGTCATCTCTTTGTCCATTTTATGCACTTATATCATGTTCTTTTGGGGAAGAATTGCTGGTGAATGCAAATGTGTTGATTTACGTGATGGTGTCCTCTGTACTCAAAGTTCTGTATATGATTGCATAAATTATGTTGTGCTATAATGACGTGCGAAGGTCAAATTTAAGTATCTGTTTTGACTTTTGTGAGTGTATGCATGTATATTTGGTGAGAGCTAATTTTGATTCCTGCCTTGGACTTTATTTGCTTGTCAAAAAATTTTAAGGGAAACCTCTGTTTGAAGAATTTGATATTTTTTCCATCTTTTCTTGCTAATTTTTTTGATAAAGTGAAAATATTCTCCTAATATTGTGGGAAGGGCTTAATTTTCTTTCTGCTTCTTTTTCTTCACTATCTCTTTCTGTTAGTTGCTGTCTTTTCCATATGCAATAGTCGAGTAATGAGCAGTGAGTGAATAGTAATTTGTCTCATTAATATGAATTAATTAACCCTTAATTGTGAAGGCAATCAAACCAAGCAGTTGACTAAAGTAAAATTTGTTTAAAATACTTTATGCTAATGAGGAAGGGATAATCACATGATCTAGTCAATGTCATTGTTTGGAACTTAATAAAACCTTTAAGCAGAAGTAATCTTTTGGATTCTGTATTTAAATGGTACCATTTGAAAGCCTCATTTATAAAATTCTTACTTGTATATATATATAAAAAATCCTTTGTGAAGAAGTAATCTTTTCGATCCTGAAGTCAAATGGTACCATTTGAAAACAAGGCGAGGGAAAATTGTGCAATGTGGTGGTTTTACTTTTAACACGTGTTTGTTTTATTTCCTTTTAATTTTGTAGGAGGCTGCTCAAATTTCTATCCACGAGGCTAAAACAGATGATGGAGCATGTTACTTGGAGTTGAAACTACCATCTAAGTCGAGATACCGAGATGGCTGCTGGAATTTTTTAGAAAGATATGGTTACAGATATGGTGATAACTATTGCCGACCTCTTCTTGCTTCTGAGGTTTGGCTTTGTTGTTGTTATTTCCAATTAACCTTCATACTTGTTGCAGTGTTCATTGGTGGCCTACTTTCTTCCTTTTTCTTTTTAAGGATCGTTTATCTTTCTTTTTTGTTTTGGTTTTTTGAGTTTTATTCAGTCTTATTTGTAACTTTACGTTCCTAGTCTTGTTTTAGGCTCACTTTAGTGCTTTTCACACTTGCTGAACATGTATTATTGTATTCTTCTCGAATTATTTGTTGTTGCTGTGGTGGTCGTTCGTTAAATTGTGGGCAATATTTAAAGGTCTTCTGCTGGCTGAGAATTTTTGATCTTGGCAATGTGATTGTTGATACTGACTTGGAGTCCATAATTTCACTAATCAGTCATGAGCTATGTTACATGGATTCTTCAAAATAAATCAAGTGCTCATGTTGGACACTTGATACCTAGATGAAGGTATGTGATGTGTCCGATACTTTAGCGATCATATCCATCAATTAATTTTGTTTTGTAATTGTAATGAACATTTTTATTTTATGTATTTTTGTTGCATATTTGCTAGCTATAAAATGAGTAAGGTGCATTTTTTGACGCACTATGATGTTCAAATTAGATTAAGAATAGAAAAAAGATGATAATTTTTTGTTGTGTTCATATGTCCTTCAGTTAGAGATTTGGTGGGTATTCTAGATATGCACCTGCAACAGACATTCGTACCCCAAGTTAATGTATCATTGCTCTTGAGGATCTATATTTTCACCCTATGTCGATGTTAAATCTCAGCTTTGCTTACCTGCGTACTGCAAATTAGAGATGTATAATACAAGATCGTGTTGCCAATCAGAGTTTCTGGTGTGATGTTGTGTAAGGACCTCTCTGTTGGCCTGCAGGTAGAAGCTTCATGCCTATATGCTGCAGGTTTTATGCATAGGTTGGTGGTTTTAAGTTTCTTCTTAGCATTTTGCCCTGTTGTAACCTGAGGTAAAAAGGGGCAAAGCTGGAAAAATCTCAGGCATATTGCTACTTCTAGTTTTAGGGAAATGTTTCTACTACTATTTCAAAACTCCTTTTGACGTGAAGACAACAACAATTTGATGATCGTAAGTTTTTCGGAAGTATGCAGATGGAGAGATGGCAGGAAAGGTGTAGGGATAGGGATTCTGTTAAACATTAAATCAGAGAGAAAATACTTGGCATGCACCACTTTTCCTGATTGCTGCAGTCTGCAGAACCTCTGATTATGTATATTTTCAATAGGCAAGTTGAATACTTGTCAAAACTTACCATGGACTTCCCAGAGACCCCTCCTCTATTTATTAATTTTAAATTTTTGTTTAGAGATATGAGAGCAGTGCGCAATTTTTATTGAGTTTTTGTTTGCTTGTTTTTCATTTCTTGGAGGACTCCTTGTTCTCCTTCTCTTTTTTACTTTTGTGTGTGTGTGTGTGTTTCATAGAAGTTCTTTTGTGCCGATAAAAAAGAAGAAGAAAAAGACAGTTTGTTTGCTTTGAACTTTGATAGTCAATTCTTTTTATAGATATGTATGCATTTTGGTGATCATATGAGAATTTAGGTGTGTTAAGGAATAAATAATGAAGTTATCCGTCACTTTAACAACTCTTTATAAAAACTTAAGCTTTTAGATGAGAGAGTGGTGAGCAATTTAATAAAGTATACAAGGTAATAGAGTAGACAAGGTCCTATGCTAAAATCTCATTGCCTACATGCTGAACACTTCTAGTGTTTGTACCTCTCAGAAATAAAATGTTAAGTTACTCGTCGCTCCAAGATCTTAATATTTTAGATAATATGGTGGTCATCATTTTAGTAAGGTGTTTGAACCATTAGTCTCATGTCAGTAGCTTCTGTTTTCTCGGTCTAATATTTGATTTTGTAATTTCCCTTTATATGGTGAATAAGAAGAACAGCATATGGGCTTCTATTCATAATAATGTATTTATATGCGTGTATATATAGGGAAAGCAACAACCATATCGGCTCGAACATGAGCACAGGGGTTTTGGGGACTTGTAGAAACAACATCTTGATCTATTGGCTTAAACTCTTGAAGTTTGAACTTATTGTGTGATATTGTTAACTGTTTCTGTTTCTAATAGATCCCAGATGCTCCCAAACCCCGTCCCCACTTGCACCCCCAATTTTTTTCCTAAAGAAGATTGTATCTTTTTATTCAATTGTGTTCTTTGATTATTCATTTTCATTTTGAAATTCTAAAATTCTTGGGTTTGGCCTATTGTGTAAGTATTGTAGTTTGAAGTCTTTAATGGGCTCTTCTAAAGTCAGGAAAATTGAATTGTTGATTTAATCAAATGATGTGGAATGTAAGATGATGAAGTAGAACATAAGAGGGATTCACCAATGGCAACCTCCTTGAGAAAGGGTTTGGTGGATTACTTTTTCATTTTTGAGATTCTTAATTTGGAGATGAAATGGATAAATTTCATAATTATGTCTGGGGTTTATTGTAGCAAGGGGTTCAATTGCATAAATAGGAAACACTCAACCTCAGTTTGTAGAATACTGGTTATCAAAGCCACCAAATCATGCTTAGTACTTGATCAGTTCATTAGTAAAAATGCCATTGTATTGTGAACAAACATGCTTTTTGTGAATTGAATTGCATTGGCAAAGGGCATCGTTTTGTGTTCTTCTGAAATGATGCATATTAGATCCTAAGGTTTAGGCTGTTAAATTCGCCTTAATCATTTCTGGGGTCTATTCATTGACATATCACTCATTGGGTTTTCTGGATAGATTTTTTTATTTAATGAAATTTTAAGATGTATTCTTTTTTCTTCTGCATTTTCTGACAAAGGTGGTATATGCTTCTGGAAACAATGGTGTGTATTGGTGAGCCTTTACAGAACTTTTTTAACCAGTGCTGTGGTTATAATTGGCTAGAGCATAGGATGCATTCAGTTTACAAAAAATTGATTTATACTAATATGGCTGTGATTTCTGAAATCTTGTGTTCAAGCTTATTGCTATCTCAGAAATGATGTTGTTTGTTTTTATTCAGTTATCTTGTTTTATTTAGTGGGATTTTGGAATCACAGGTGCCCTTCGTGTTGTTTGCCATAATTTCTGGTTTATAAATTGCTCATAAATGCATGGAACTTTTTTCGTCCTGTTTAATATTGTTTGCCTTCTTTTAATTTAATTTTTCTTTTTCTTTTTTTACAAAAATGACCAGGTGATGATAATTCTGAAAAAATTACCTTCTGAGACTAAGAAGAAGCTTGCTGGGAAAGGTTACTTCCCTCAAGATGGCTATATCTTGCAATATCTACCAGTCCCTCCAAACTGCTTGTCTGTGCCAGATGTGTCTGATGGAATTACTGTCATGTCTTCGGTTAGGCATTCTTGCTATCTGATTTCATGGCCTAACTCTTCTGTTTTTTATGAGTTGCATTGAAATAATTTTTATTTTCATATTGCTTTCCAATTCCAGGATCTTTCTATCACAATGCTTAAGAAAATTCTGAAGCAAGTTGAGATTATCAAAAGTTCTAGGTCTGGGACACCAAATTTTGAATCACATGAAGTTGAAGCGAATGATTTGCAAGCAGCAGTTGCACAGTACCTTCAAGTCAGGGGTACTGCCAAGGTACTTAAATTCCTTGACATGGTCTTGTTTTTTACTGGGGTACTGAAGTAAGTGAAAGAGGCTGCAGCCAGAGCCCCTTAATTATTTATTCCCAACATAAAAAATGAAGAAGAGAAAAAAAAAAAAAGAACCTGTAATGAGGGTTTGAGATTTAGCATGTGAAACTTCCTCTGTAGCAGTCTGGGACTTGTCTTTGTCTGAATTACTATGTCAGCTTTGGCTGTAGCCCAGTGTAGTGACAGATGCAGGAATGATGCTTAGGCAATGCACATGAGATGATTCAGTTCAAGTTAATACCAGTGTTGTAAAAGGCGAAGTAGGTGCAGTGAGGTGCAGCTTGTGCAACTTGTACAAGCCCAGGCGAGGCGCATTCAAAGAGACGCAGTGAGGTGCGCACCTTAAGCGCTTAAGACGCAAGGCGCAAAAAAAGCGGACTTTATTATTATTTTTCTCTTCTTTCTTCATTTTTTTCTTCTCTTGTTCTCCTCTTCTTTTTTTTCTTCTTCTTCTCCAGTTGCTGGGTTTGATTTCCACCCCCCTGTTTCTTCGTTTCTTCTTCTCCAGGTGCTTTTATTTTATTTTTTCTTCTTTCTTCCTTTTGTCTTCTCTCTTTTTTATCTTCTTTTCTTCCCCTTCCAGATTGCAGTTTGCTTCTCTTCTCCTTCATCTTCTCTGATTTTCTGCCCCGGTTTCCTCGTCTTTTCTTCTGGTTTACTGCTATCTTTCAAAGATGTTCCAAATTATCTTCAGCCCCTTGCTGCACTGTCAAGATAAACTTCTCCTCTTCTTTTTTGTTTGTCCTACTTCGTTTTAGTGGTTGTAAGTTTTGAATTCTCTATTTTGTTTATGTTGATGTCCAAATTATTAGTCTATGTTTATTTATCTATTTTTTATTGAAAGGTGTGCCTCGCTTCAATGAAGCATGCGCCTCGCTTTGCGCCTAAGCGCCAAGAAACCTTCGGTGCCTTGGTGCACCTTGAGCCTTAAAAACACTGGTTAATACCAAACATCTAACAAAGCCCACATTTATCTAATCAAATTTGTGTACAATCTTCGCACAAACTATGTCTATAATTAAATTTACATGCAGCTTACAGTGCCTCAATGGTGACATTTTCTGACTCCAAACTAACAAAATTTAGAATGGCTCAAGAATTTATAGAACTTACTGATCAAAGATCAAGTTCAGAAGCTTCCTGGGTAATCAATCTATTGGGGTAAAATTGAAACAAGTATTTGTGTACAGTATGTGAGCTTTTACAACACAAGCACTATTTGAAGTTATCCCATGTTGAATATACAAATTACTTTTAGTGCCATAATGCTATGATGATTACATCTATGTACCATGTTTTGTTTACCATTTCGTGTGACACCACTGTATTAATTTAATAGATCTCATCAATCATGTCTGTTGCTAATTCAAAGGAAGTTTGGCTGACCCTTAGTGGGGGCACTTTATTGCTTTGAGGATTTGAGAGAAAAACTAATTAAAAATTATACAGAATTATCTGAGAATGATGATCCATTTTATGTACATTGCATTGCTTATTTTAATAGATCTCATCAATCATGTCCATTGCATTGCTTATTTGAATTATCTGAGAATGATGATCTGTTTTAGAAGATGGTGTTTTGTGTAGTTGATGCTGGTTTACTATTTACTTGGGTGACATTTGTTCTTTATTGAGAATATGATTGATAATCTAGTCAAACCTTTGGCAATTAAATTGTGCAAATGTTCATGAACAACTGTTGTTTTCTTGTCTTTCCGTGCATATTTCTTCTACAAGGCATCTCGTGACATGGATACACGATTTGGGATTAACAAAGAGCAAAACGATTCTACTACTAAAGCATGGCTTGAGAAGATGAAAACCCTATTTATCAGAAAGGGTTGTGGATTCTCCTCACGGAGTGTTATTACAGGTGATGCATATAAAGGAGTCAATGAGATTGGACTGCCTTTTGAAATTGCTCAACGGATAACATTTGAGGAGAGAGTTACTCAATATAACATGCAGTATCTGCAGAAGCTGGTTGATGAAAAGTTGTGTTTAACCTATAGGGATGGTTTGTCAACCTACTCGCTGAGGGAAGGTTCGAAGGGGCATACTTTTTTAAGACCTGGTCAAGTGGTACATCGACGGATAATGGATGGGGATATTGTTTTCATCAATAGACCTCCGACAACGCATAAACATTCCCTGCAAGCTTTGTCGGTTTATGTTCACGATGACCATACAGTCAAGATCAACCCTCTTATATGTGGGCCACTTAGTGCTGATTTTGATGGGGACTGTGTCCATATATTTTATCCTCAATCCCTCGCTGCCAAATCAGAGGTTTTGGAACTGTTCTCTGTAGAGAAACAGTTGCTTAGTTCTCATAGTGGCAATCTCAACTTGCAGCTGGCCACTGATTCATTGTTGTCTCTAAAGATTTTGTTTAAGAACTACTTCTTGGATAGAGCAGCTGCCCAACAATTAGCGATGTTTGTGTCAAATTCCTTGCCACAACCTGCTTTATTGAAGACTTATACATCCGGCCCTCATTGGACTGCTTTACAGATACTACAGACTGCTCTACCTCGTTGCTTTGACTGTAGTGGGGAGAGACATTTAGTTTGTAAAAGTGAAATATTGAGCATAGATTTTAGTAGAGATGTAATGCAGTCAATTATTAATGACATTGTTAGCTCTATTTGCTTTGAGAAGGGCCCGGATGAGGTTTTGAAGTTCTTTAACTCTTTACAGCCTTTGCTCATGGAAAATTTATTTTCAGAAGGTTTCAGTGTTGGTTTGGAAGATTTTTCCATTTCTAGAGTGGTCTTAGAAAATATCCAGAATGGTATTCAGGATATTTCGCCATTGTTGTATCAGTTGCGGTTGACTTATAATGAACTGGTTGAGTTGCAATTGGAGAATCATTTGCGGCTTCTAAAAGTTCCTGTTGCTAATTTCATTCTGAAGTCATCACAAATGGGTAATGTAATTGACTCCAGGAGTGAATCAGCCATTAGTAAAGTGGTTCAACAAATTGGGTTCTTGGGGTTGCAACTTTCAGATAGGGGGAAATTTTACTCTAGGTCCTTGGTTGGGGAGATGGCTTCTCTTTTCCAGAACAAGCATCCTTTTCGTGCTAAATACCCTTCTGAGGAATATGGGTTGGTGACAAACTGCCTCTTCCATGGATTGGATCCATATCAAGAGATGGTTCATTCTATCTCTGCCAGAGAAGTAATTGTCCGTTCATCTAGAGGGTTGACGGAACCAGGAACCCTATTCAAAAATTTAATGGCCATCCTTCGGGATGTTGTTATCTGTTATGATGACACTGTGAGGAATGTTTGCAGCAATTCAGTTATTCAATTTGATTATGGGGTTAAGCCTGGATCTAAGAGTGCCTTTGCTGCTGGTGAACCAGTTGGTGTATTGGCTGCAACTGCTATGTCGAATCCTGCATATAAGGCAGTTCTTGATTCCTCTCCAAGTAGCAATAACTCATGGGAGATGATGAAGGTAATTGTTTTTAAAATAGTGACAATGATAATTCTGTTTTTCTGTTGATTTCAATTTGGTGCAATTATGTCATTAATTTTGTCTGTTCAGGAGATACTGCTTTGTGCAGTCAATTTCAAGAATGTTCTTTCTGACCGCCGGGTAATATTGTACTTGAATGATTGTGATTGTGGGAGAAAATATTGTAGAGAAAACGCAGCATATCTGGTGAAGAATCAGTTGAAAAAAGTCAGCCTAAAGGATATTGCTGTGGAATTCTTGATTGAGTATGCTCTCTCTTTCTCATTGCATATGTTTGTTATGAATACATATTATCATATATAGTGAATGAATCCTCACCTTTTTGTCTGTGTATGTATTGTTTATTGTATGAGTTTCGTGTATGGTTTTGCGATACATAAAACAAAGATGTCTATCCTTTTATGATAAGTCGAGCCGTCTTATACTTCTATTGCATCCTGTGTGGGACAAAATTCACCTGCTTCAAGCACTAACGAACTAGAAAATAGCTCTTATTATAAGCTGTTGCATGGGATTTTTTTTTTCAATGCCAAATTAGGGTGAGCAGCATTGGAGGATTAGAAATTTCTGGTTATAATAAAAGTTTAGTATTGGGTTTGTGGGCTAGTTATTTAGGATTATAAAGGTTGAATGGCGGGTGTAGTAAGAGTTCCGTGATTGTAGACAAATTTAAGAGAGAAAGAGAAGAGGAAGAAAAGAGAACCTAGCCAATCACACAAAGGGGGCATGCACACCTAAGATGAGATGCATTAGACATCCACAAATAACAGGCTGCAAATGATGTCTTTAATCCATTCCCAAAACAAACGATTAACCACTTATTTATAGAGATTTCAGAGCCCACCCATTTTGTTGTCCATGATGAACTTTGTTAAACTGCCCTGAAATACAGCTGTAGAAAAACATGTAAAAAACAAACCAAATTTGAAAATAACCTATATAGATACATATATATTTATGATACATAATTTAAAAGTAACATATGAATTTTTTTAATAACTCGTTATCCGGCCCATTGGATTGACTAATCTGGGGACCAATCCCACCGTCTACTAACGGGGGCCTCAATTAAAGCCAGGGCAAAGCCCTGTATGGACTGACCCCAAGAAATAGTTTGCATCTCGGAGGTTTCAAACCTGAAACCTTGGAGGGAGCACACCCCAAGTCCCAAGCCAACCTCTTGAAGTTTTGAAAGTAACTTATATAATCATAATAGAAGACGCTACTAAGCCAAAAAATACTCTGCATAAATCTAATAGGACCTGCCATGTAATCGTGCCAACTTCCAAAGTTAATCTCTTCTTTAATTTTAATCTTTCTTGAGCCCAGTGTTGACTAAATCATTACTGTTTTGAGAAAACTAGTCCTCAAGCCAAAAATATTGTGCTTGAATCTAATAGGACTGCCATGAAATTAATACAATTCCAAAGTTTTCCACTTTGTTGATTTTAATCTTTTTTGTGCCTAGTGTTGACTAAATCATTCTTGTTTTGGAGAAAACTAGACCTCAAGTTTTAATGTGATGAAACATAAAAGGGGTTCATCAAACACTATTAAAAAAGTCACTAATTGTTAATTTTCAGTGATAATTTGAAAATTTTTACAAAAAATGTATAAGTTTCAGCGATAGTTTAAATGTCACTAATTTTCAACTTTTAGTGACAGTTTGAAAAATTTGTCACAGAAAGTCACTAATTGTAAGTTTTACGATAGTTTATAAAAAATCGTGACAAAAAAAAGTCACTAATTATCAAATTTTAGCGACATAAGCAAAAAATCGTCACAAAATTATTTTTAACGATGATTTTATTAGGACTTATTTTTAATAGGACTTGATGCGAATTAAATCTAACTATTAGGACCTATTGGTAGTTTACCAAATATAAAATCAATAAACTTGTTAATTGCATTGAGGGACTTAGTTGGAAACGATTCAATTTGATGCTGGCCTTTCCTTTTCAATGAGATTGTAAGGGAGAAATTTGGAGATTAATCTTCTCAAGGGTTGATTATATTTTATCTGGAATGACAATTTCAACAATTGAAAACAATGAGTAGAGGAAATGTCCTTGAATGGACCTACATGAACCACGTGTCATATGACTTTCCTTATATACTCCGTCGGTTTTGTGTAAGCACTGTTCGAAAAGTCATCTCCTCGACATCTTTATGTGCAATATCCTTGTCATTCAACCATAGCTTTCTCTCGAATGATATCAGGAGCTGGTGAGTTATTTGGCTTACTATCTGTTACTGGATACATACAATATGCTGAAATATTGGATAATTGAGAGTTTTGCTTCTTCAACATTATACGTTGAAGGTGGTTTATCAAGCAGTACTTCTGTTGTCTTGTCAGAGAGCTCAGATGTCACATAGCCACGACAAAAGGAACAATAATTGTGGAGCTGTGGCTTGTTCTTTTGATTCTTTAGTCACTAAGGTACATGGATTATTTGATTTTTTCAATTTGGCTCGAACCTCTTTTAGCGAACTATATGGCTGATGTAGGATGATTAGGGACAGCCACTACAATGGGCTTTTGGGGCTGGTTTGACACTGTTATAGGGGCTGTTTTAGGATGCTGTGAACAGTACTTGTGAAAGTGCTGAGATTCAAGAAAGAAGGAAAGAAGAAGGTAGATCTAAGAATCACTCCTAGAATCCTTTAGGCGTCACACCTAGGGTTTGATCGCATCACACAATCCATAAAGAAGCTTAAAAAGCTCTTGAAATTCTCTAAAATGTCAACTCCATTAAATTGTTTGTATTACATGGTTTTATATAGAACTAGAAGATTTTCTAAACCTACTAGAGCCAAAACAAGAAACTACTTCCAAAATCAATTTAAGACCAAATAAGAAACATAAAACTTGACCTGTATGACGACTCATGGGTGAGCCCTTCAACCCATGTTAGCAAATATGAAAATTACTAAAGTACCCCTGACCAAAAAATCCTAGAAATTATAAACATATCATAAAATAAGACTCTAATAGTATTAGAAACATGATTATGTATAGTTCCTATCGGTTTTTCTTTGAAATCACGTCAATTTCCAAATATCAAGGGTTATTTGAGATGATCTAAATAAGTGCACTTTTTGATTTTTTATGAAAAGATGTGCAGAAAAGTAGAGAGATGATGTGACCCAAAAAAGATAAAAAGATAAATAAGTGCACTTTTGTAGTGCACCCCAAACAACCATTGCTCTACTTTGAGCTTCTTATACTCTGCATCAATTGTGCTAGTTGTACTGTTTTAACACTTTCATTTTGATAATCTGATGATGCAACTCTTTTGCTTCACTTTGATTATCCCTTTGAAGTGACCATGTTGGTGGACTAGTTGTTGAATTGATGGTGGTTTGACGGATGGAACAATGCGGCGGCGAAGGCTTAAGCTCTAATTCCAAATTGATGCAGGATAACCACTAACATTAAGCACTAAGGCCCTGTTTGATAGAGCTGTGGAAAAGTGCTTATAGCTTATGCCTTCATAGCTTATAGCTTATAGCTTATAACTATGAATATAAGCTGATTTCTGACTTATAAATTAAGCTTCTCCTGCCACACTCAAAGAATAAGTTGATTTCAGACTTATAAAAAGCTATAAGCTGCATTGTTAAGTTAAACCAAACACATCAAAATAGCTTAAATTAAGCTGAAAGCTGAAATAAGTTGAAAAAAAGCTGTACCAAACAGGGCTAAAGTATTAAATAGCTTCTCTACCATATCTAATGCAATCTCTTTACTTCTACCACCAAAATGGACCGTACAACTTAGAAAACAGTGATTTTTTTGTTTATAGAGAGGATTAGGATTGATTAGTTGGGTTGGTGGTTAATTTATGGTTTAGATGGTGGGTGTAGTAAGAGAAAAATTATAAAAGAAAGAACCTAGGTAATCACACTTGGGGGGCACTCACAACTAAAAGGAGATTCGGTGGTCATCAAATAATAATAGGCCATCATAATCCCAAAGGGTTGGCCTAGTGGCAAGGCCTTGGGTCTTGGGGATGTGTTTCCTCCAAGGTTCAGGGATCAAAACCTTTCAGGTGCTAACAATTCTTTGGAGCCATTGGACTGGGAGAAAACCTTTGAATTAACCGTGGTATACTTGCAGGAAACTCCTTGCCGAGGGCCTGTACGACCTTTGAAATTAGTCAGGCTTTGATTCGGACATTGCAGTGCCAATAATAATAATAATAATAATAATAATAATAATATGCATCTTCATTTCATTATCAAAATAAGCATTTTATCCCTGATTTATTGAGAAGTCAAACTTGGTGGTGGCCAAGTATTGACCAGTCTTGGACGACCTTCCCTTGAGTGTCCTCAGCACTCTAATTATGATCCAAAGCTGAACAACTAAATGCAAAATAACATCCAACCTAGAAGCCCATTTTATAGCTGATGATAAAATCCCCAAATTGCCCCTGGCATAGAAATTAAAGAAAAAGATACAGAAAGCTGACCAAATTTAAAACTAACCTAGATAATCATAAAACAAGACTCTATTAAGCAATAAACTATAATATGCATGATTTCAACGGGACCTGCCATGTAATCATGCGTGTATCCAAATTCCAAAGTTAAATTGCTTATATTAATTTTACATATCCCTTAAGCTTCGTGTTGACTGCAGCACTTTCACTTCTAAAACCCTTGCTTTGTGTTACTCCATAATCATAGACCATTAATGTGTTCCTGACTTTCTTGATTTGGTTTTATGTTATTTTTAATTTCTGTTCAGAAAGTAGTAGATCTATCTTGAATGTTTCTATTTACTATATTTGTTTGTTTATTAAAAAAAAATAAAAATTGAATAGGTAAAAATGAAATGGTTGTATGCAATGGAATTCGTAGGCTTTAATTTCTATTTAAATAAACCCTATGGTGAGAAGATTCCCGTTTCGAAGGATTAATTATTTTTCACATACAAGTGTGATGGCGGAGTTCTGTTTGACTTTACTGTTAATGGAGTTTTTTTGTTGGCAACGTATCCATGGGTAGTTTGATCTGAATTTTGCAACTGTTTACATCTGTGATACCAGCTGGCCTGTCAGAATATGCTTTTATGCCAGATATTTTCTTCAACTTTATTCTTGAACAGTCTGTATTTTGCATGTATATGGCAAGTTCAAGATAACATATTCTTCTATTTCTCCTAAATATTTCCTCAAGTCTATTTTGCTTCTTCATCTGGGAGATGTTGAAGTTGAACTTGGTATTCTCTGTTGTCCTTAACATTGTACCGGATTTCCTATGAGGTTTTTACTTGTTTCTGTTTCATTATTTGTCCCTTAAATGCTTTTTTGCCGTTTCTTTGAATGGCAGTTGCTAAGAAAATAAGTGCTTGACATGGTAGTCAATTTTTGGCGGCTTCCCACTTACAGGTTTAATGGGCAGCAAACAATGCATGGGAGTTCTGAATTTGATGCTAACCTTCTTGGTCATATTCATCTCAATAAGGTTGGTTCACCTCTTTCTAAATGGTAAAGGGATGTTTCCAGTGTTAGTGGCGATTGCTTGCCTAGTAAAGTTGATTGTTTTGTGACTTATTGGTTTAACAGGAACTGTTCCAAGACCTGAACATAAGTGTGCAAGAGGTTTGTGAGAAATGCCAAGAGACTATTGATAGAGTCCGGAAAAAGAAGAAAAAAGTTGGTTATCTCTTCAAGAGAATGAAGTTATCTGCTAGGTTATTCTCTGAACTTTAATTTCTAATTTGTATGACTAGCAAAAATTTCATTATATTTTATTTTTTTTAAAATTTAGTTGTTGCAAAGTAAGCCCCATCTTCGTGTTGGATCATAAATTGTTATCCTGATGTTTGTAATTGATGTAGTAAAGATTGGTGTTGGGCATCACATAACTGGGATGGTGCATATGCCTTTTGATGCTTATTTTGCATTCACATATCATTCTTTCTTATTAGAACAGATCAGGTTTGTCATTTTATGGTGCCGTTGTTGCACATTTGTTGTCAAATTCATGTTTAAAAGTTTTCATTTCATGACATTTACATTATCACATCATGACCTCAATTTCTAAAGTTTCTGAAACTGCAAGTTTTTTTTTTTTTTCTAACTGAAATTGCAATTGAAGAACAATCTAGCCGCTCGAAAGTTCAAATAAAGGAGACACTTTTGTAATTTTCCTGGTTGGTTTATTTAGAAATCATTATTGTAAAGATTCACTTCAGCATCTGCTAGTTTAAGATTCACATGAAACGTATGGCCATCTGTTTATATTACTCAGTTTTTAATTATATTCCATCACTAATTTGTTATTATCTTGCACTAACTATTTATGCTTTAAAATGTAAAGTCACTTCTTTTAGCTGTATTTCTTTCTTGGCAGTGAGGGTTGTTCTTTTGGACATGTTTGTGATATTGACACGCCATGCTTGACATTCTTTTGCCAAGACGCAAATGATCTTCATTTAGAGAAGACTTCTAAAATTCTTGCCGACATAATTTGCCCGGTTTTGTTAGAAACAATTATAAAAGGTATTTTTGTACATTGTCGTTTCTCTTTTTGTTTCTGGAAATGTTTCTCTTTTGTAGTAACTTTTTTTTAAAATTAAATAATTGGGATACCGATTTTACCTGAAGATTGATGGGTTATGATTTTGTATATCCGATAACTATGTTCTCCTTTATTCATGTAGTTTCCATCGTGTTTATAGCTGATCTTCTGGAGCCTATGTAATTTTTCTTGCTTCTGTCAAATAAAATTACATTTACAAGAAGTGGCTAGACCTCACAAAAGTAAACAACTCGTCAAAGCTTATTGTACTGTGTCAGTAGAACAACTCCAATGGTCAAGCCAAAAGGCTTGGCAAAGCCAAGAAATGGCTAGACCTCACACAAGTTCATCTCTAATGGTGCACCAAATCCAGATTTGGCTCAAAGTTTGGCAAAGCTATCTTTTGCCACAACATATTTTCTGTCCAAAACCCAACTGTTTTTCTTACTAGAGTTCACAACTTCACAAATCAAAACTCACAACCAGAATTTCAAAAACTATTGAAGAATCTACAAATTACTAGAACTCAACAATACTAAAATTTATAATTACAAATGTTAAGTTGCATCAATACAGGTTTTTGATAATTTGGTAGGATCCTTACGATTGATAATTTGGTTTGGTGTGGGCATATTTTAGTTAATTGGTGCTGTATGTGTTGTGGTGATGCGGAATCATAGGATCATTTGCTGATTTAGTATCTGGTATCGTTTTTGGGTGCCTGTTTTTTCTACTTTTGGAGTTGCGTGGGTGTAGCAGAAAGGGGTGTTGGAGGTTCTTTGGAGATGGGCTGGGGGTTGGGTTGGGAAGCGTCGTTGCAAGGCTTGGACTTTGGCTCCTTTGTGCCTAATGTGGTTGCTATGGTTGCAGCGGAATCGGCATGTTTTCCAGAGAGTTGTTCATTCTATATCTTGGTTAGAAGACTGGTTTTTGCGAGTTCTGTGTGGTTGGGTGTCCGGGCGTGTAGATCCTGATTTGTTTACGTTTTTAGATTTCCTTGATGATGTGAGTGGCTATTTGTTTTCCCTTTTTTGGGGCTCCTGATTTATGTTTTCTTTAGCATCTTCTTGATGCTCTTTCTTCTATAAATTTTATTTATCAATCGAGGAAAAAAATAAAAAAAAGTGCACCAATAATCACAATTCCATTTTTAAAAAATAAAAAAAACGTTATACTCATCTAGATCAGTGAGAGAGTGAGTGTTTGGTTGATATGGAGTGGAGCATGCAGAAATTAGTTATATAATGGTGATGTTGGTTGTGCCAAAATAGCATGTCACCATTGGAGTGGTATATCTGAAAAAAGGCATTTATTTTGCTGTAGCAGGCCAAAATATGGCTGACCATTGGAGTTGCTCTTATAAGCTGGTTGCTGATCATCATCTTGCCAGATGAATGCCTTTTGTTGCACTTTTGTTTGTGGTAATAGTCCAGTCCTGGATGCACTCCCTAGGAAGTGTTCATGTAGACAACACTATACAAAGTGACTCTGTCCTCTACCATTGGTGAGCGAATTTTATTGGAGAAAAAATGAGGAAGGTATGGTGGTAAGGGCAAAACCTACATAGGGAAGCTACAAGTGTGTATAGAAGCTATATTTTCTGGACTAAGTGCATTCGTTTTTGTATGACCAGGACCTCTGGTGAATGTTGGTTGATGAAAAGACCTGTCGGTGGACAGGGTTCCAGGCAGCAGGCTGTCCTACTGATTTTTAATCTTCTGCAATAGTTTTAATGAATGAGTTGGTTACCCTACAGGATCTGTAGTCTGGCCATCATCTTGATTTGAAACATTATTATTGAATCACCAATTGAATCATAAATCGTTTTGCTAAAATACTGAATTGTGAATTGTATTGAGTCATGAATCATAATATTTATTTTATGTATCGTAATGAAGTTTAACCTCCAAATTGTAAATAACCAATCAACACTAGACTCTCTGTTTCTTCACTTTACTTTTTTAATGAAACAATTTAAAGAGTATTCCACTCACCACCCATGAGTTTTTGACTTTGGGTACCTGGATCCTAGATTAATTTTTTCCCTTTCCCCATAAGCACCTAGATTCTAAAAGTTTCAGAAAACAAGAAAAAATCTCTCCTGCCGCCGACTCTGGTGAACCTAATGGGAAGGGATATAGATAACTTTTTGCATCATATAAAAGATTCATTTACATACATGGGCATTAATTTTTTTTTTTTTTGATTTGAATTGCTTGCTTAATTCACATGAGTTCGGAAATTTGTAATTTGGTTTCGCAAAGAATCATGGATTGTAAGGGTGCTATTAGGAAGAGTTGGTTTTATTAGATGGTGGTATGAAGCTGAATCTGAGCTTTTGTTGCTGTTGTTACATTCTGTTTTGTTTTTGGTTTTGCTCCCCTCCCTCCTTTTCTTTTCTGTTTAATCTTAGTCATGTTTTAGATAAATTTACTGGAGCACGATACTAGGGACTGTTTTGCAGACTTGCAGTGGTATTGCAAGTTTGATGTGGTGGCAAATGAAGCTTAAGGGGATTGTTCCTCAGCTTTCTCTTTATAACGCACTCTAAAGCTCATGCTTTTGGCTGTAACTTTTCTATCAAGCACAATATGAATAATTTTGGAGATGGCGTTCTTTTGTTTAATTTGGTGGGGATAGTTTAAGGTGGTAGTGGTATTGAGGATGGAGGTTGTGGTGGTGGCTCTGAGTAGGAGTGAGATGGCTATAGATAGAGAAGGCAAAGTTATTTCAAGTGGTGGCTTTGGGTGAGGGTGTTGTTGGATGTTGATTCTATGAGAATGTACGGATCTGGGTAGCAGTTTCATCGAAGTGGAAGTTATGGGTTGGGAATAGATGGTGGTGATGGTTGTTTTGGTTGCCTAAGACCAAATCTTTCAAGTTTCTAAGTGAATTGAATGTAGAGGTACTGACATTGTTGAGAGATTGGGTGGTGGTATGGTGGAACTTTGCTTAGTGGCCATGAATGGTGGAGCTTGGCACTGTGGCAATAGAAATAGAGGGGATGGTGGTTTGGTTGTGTCTGGTTAAAGTGAAAGTAGAGAGAGAAGTAACGAAAAATTAGAAGAGGGTGGTGAGTGAAGGAATACAATGGATGGTTGTGGTTATGAAGGTGAATGAGTGCTGGTTTTGGAATAGAGAGACAGTGGAGTGGGAGGGTAAGAGGAGGAAGTGCTATATGGTTTTCCCCATTAATGTGGATATGTTGTGGTTTTCCTATTTAGACGTTTGTCCTTTCTTCTTCTTCTTCTTTTTTCTTAGTATTGGGAAGTGGTAATATAGGTGTTTCACTTAAACAACCTAGTCAATCCATTTCAGCATGAAGATTCTGTTTTCTTGAGCTAATGAGTGGGCAGGTTGCTGCTCATTTTATGAACATATGGTGCAAGTGCTGCCCAATTCTTAAACCGCAGGGGAGGTAAGTGAAATTTACGTTTTCATAGAGGAGGTAAGTGAAATTTACCCTTTCATACATGGTATGTGAACAATAAAGCCCAGGTTAGATGGTTTTAGTTTGTATATTTATCTCAAAAAAAGAGATCACTGATGGAGAATGTGACTACAGAAGTGAGACTCCAAGTTATTAATTAGACTTTGCGCATAGACCTTACTAGAATTCCAGGAGGTGGGTTGGTTGGGGAAAAATAGTTTAGGGTTAATTACATCTTATCCCCTTGTAGTTTGACCTGAAAACACTATACTTTCTCTGGTTCAAAATAAATAACCACCACATGATTTAGACTGAAGTGCAACTTCTCACTCCATAAACAGTTTTTGCAAAAAGTCAATATTACACTTTACTTTTTATCCAAATTTCTTCTGTATTCCACTCTCTCTCTCTCAAAAAATCAAAAATAAAAATGACCCACTCGAATAATCCTCTCTCTATTCTACCACTAGCATAACTCTTACCACCATGAACAATAGCGACTCAAGTCCCACCAGGTCACTATTAACCACGTCCATCACCCAACTAACTCCTAAACAGGCCACCATCGTGGTGCCTGAAACATCAGCCCAAAACACAGATCTCACTGGAAGCCACCCATCTCACACGGCAGACTAGGAAACACATTCAACCATCTTTAACTGGGCACCTGATGAGCTATTTTTCTTTTTTAACAGCACCAACACACACTAACTCACGTCGTTCTACCTCAACAGCCAACACTCAGGCACACATAATACTCGTAGATGTGTATACTCATTGAATATGGCATCTGTGTTTTTTCCCATACAATTTATGTACTCCATGAACATTTCTTGCACAATCTGATAAACTTCTAGTTATGGATGTGCAAAAATAGCTTCTTCATTATTAGCTGGATTATTGGCCCATGAGGTGTTCTTGTTGGGCCAGAGATCTGCCAACTAGGACTCAAATACTTTATTTATTTATCATAAAATAGTTGCACAAGTACTTCGGATATCTTTGAGGCTGTTGTTATAGCCCCTCAAACCTGTAGGATCTTACGAGGTTCTTCTAGGCCGTTTCTTTTCCTCGTAAGAGTCTTTTATATGCATTATTTCACAAATTTAGTGGAAATGAATACTTTATCATTTATTGATAATTCCTAGATATTTTTATTTTAATTTTCTAATGGGACTCTGTTGAATGGATAGGTGACCCGCGGGTTTGCATGGCAAACATCATTTGGATTAGTCCTGACACAACCACTTGGATAAGAAACCCTAGCAAGAGTCAGAAGGGTGAATTGGCTTTGGAAGTTGTCCTGGAGAAAGAGGCTGTTAAGCAGTCTGGGGATGCTTGGAGGACCGTCTTGGACTCATGTCTTCCTGTCATTCATCTGATTGACACGAATCGGTCAATACCCCATGCAATAAAGCAAGTTCAGGAACTGCTCGGAATTTCTTGCGCTTTCGAGCAAGCTGTTCAGGTATTTCTGAAATTCTCTATCAAATTTTTCATCAGCTGGTAATGTCTGGATGGATCTCACCTCTCTCTCTCTCTCTCACACACACACACACACACACACACGCACGCACGCATGCACGCACACACATCAAGCTGCTAAATGTTCCTTTCTAATCTGTTGTTTCTTAAATTGAATCTGTTCACCAGAACAACAGCAAATGGTCTCAGTGGATAATTACATTTTCTTGTCTAATTTTTTGGTCCTTGAGATTAAGGAGTCACTTTTTATCAGATTTTTGAAGCGTGGGTCCAATTTGATCTTCTTGTGATTTTATCCCTTTGTTTTGTGGTTTTGTCTTTCTCTGAAGTCTGAATGCTGTATTTTTGTGTACATTGTTTCTTTTCTGAAGTCTACTTGATATCTCGGGAAATCTGTTTCTTATTGTCTATCTCATTTTGCTGGTCATGGTTGTATCAATGTGGGTAATGGGGAGAATGTGCATTTCTAGGAGGATGTTGGAAGGGGCAAGGATTATTTTGTTCATTATTCTCTGGTTTGTATTGCTTGTCTCTGTCTCTCATCAGGTGTCTATTTGCCTCTATGGTTTCATCCTATATGTCTCTGATCACTTGGAATTTGAATTTCTTTAGAGATCATAATGACAGAGAAAAATGAGTTAGCGTTCTTGTTGTCCATTCTTGATGAGGTTTCTTTGAGGCATTCGGCCATGATAGGAGATTGTGGTCACTTAATTCTTCTGGGCTTTTATTTAGTAATTTTTATTTGATTCAATTATTGATGATCCTAATCTACTTAATTTTTGTCCCTATAAGGCAATTTGGAGTCCAAATGTACCATCGAAGTTAAAGTTTTTGCTTGGTCTTTGGTTTCTAAGAAACTTTATACCTAATATGGTTTAGAGACCTAATTGTCTTTTATCTCCACAGTGGTGTTACGAGCACAAGGAGTGAAAAGACTATTGATCATCTTTTTTTGCATTATCACGTGACTATGAACTTGTGGTGGAAATTATTTCAGTTGCCAGAAATTGATTGGGTTGTTTCATCCTGTTGTGATCAATTGGTTATCATGATTTTAGAGTTTTTGGTTCAAGGAAGAAGTCAATGGCCCTTTGGAGTTTTGTAACTGTTGCAGTGTTGTGGGTATTATGGTTTGAGAGGAACGCACGAGTATTTGAAGATAATTAAGAAGAAATTGGTAGTTTGTGTGATAGAATTTGTTAGTTGACTTCCTTTTGGTGTCAGTATCCGTACCTTTTAATAGAATTCCTTTGTTTCTCATTAATAGGGATTTGAGAGCTGAATACCTGATGTAAGATTGTCTTCTTTTCTCTTATGGAGGATCTCTTTCTTTCCTTTTTTGTATATTCTCCTTTTGTTTATTAATAATATTTTTTTGGTGTCGTCGATCAAAAAAATATTCAAATTCTGATTCTTTGCATTTTGCTCAGTGAAACAGTAAAAGAACTCACATTGGTGATTTGGAATTGAGATAACATGATTTCTTTATTTAAAGTTCAATGTCCTTTAAACTTTTTGAAAATTTTCTAAGTTTTTTGGTTGATTTTGCAGCGCCTCTCAACATCAGTGTCTATGGTTGCAAAAGGTGTGCTTAAAGAGCATCTTATTCTCTTGGCCAGTAGTATGACATGTGCTGGGAATTTGATTGGTTTCAATTCTGGTGGTATAAAAGCATTATCTCGATCACTAAATGTCCAAATACCGTTTACAGAGGCGACATTGTTTGTGAGGAACTTAACTCGTTTTATTGGAACTCAAAAATTATGTTGTACCTATGTTCAGGTTTGATAGTGCACTGCTGTAATCTATCTTGCAATTTTTTTTTTATTTCAATCTCCAGACACCAAGAAAATGCTTTGAAAGGGCTGCTGAAAAGTGTCATGTCGACTCTTTGTCTAGCATAGTTGCCTCCTGTTCTTGGGGCAAACAAGTTGCTGTTGGCACAGGTTCTCGATTTGATGTCCTTTGGGACACGAGAGAGGTATTTTACCCCGTTTTATTGTTATTCCCTCTTGGATTGATTTCTTTGGAAGTTTACATATGTGATATTCAACCAAGATCAGTGGGCTTCTTTACCCACCCTTGTATGGCTGCTTGACAATGTGGTTTTTTGTTGTTAGGTTGGAATGAATCAACAGGATGGAATTGATGTTTATAACTTTCTGCATTTGGTGAGGAGCAGTTCAAAAGAAGCGGAAACAAACAGCGCTTGTCTTGGTGCTGAAATTGATTATATTGAACTGGATAGTGAAATGGTGGATTGGGACCTGTCACCAGAGCATAGCTCTTGTAAGCCTGTCTTTGAAGATAGTTCTGACTTTCCAGATGACTTAGATAATAATCAAGTGGTGGATGGGGGTTGGCCTAGTGAATCTAAGTGGGAGAAAGTTTCATCTGAAAATACCAAGTCCAGTGGGAAGGAGTGGGATGTGGGTAAAAGAGATAATTGGGGGTCAGGGCCTACGGTGTCAAAACCAACTGGTTGGTCCAATTGGGGGGCTGAGACAGTCCAGTCAGAAGATGTAGAACAGGTAACTCAGTCAAAAACTTCTGTTGCTTGGGGTTCTTCCAGTACTGAGGAGAGTAAAGGGCATGAGAATGAGTCACCTGCCAATATTTGGAGTTCTAATAAAAACAATGAGTCCAATGGTAGCAAGGTGTGGGCAGTTGAAAAAAAACAGAATTTGGGGGAGGACACAATGTCAAAGGCCAATGGTTGGGGGTCCAGTAGAGGGGGTTGGGGGGGTAATGCAGTTCAGACAAATGACGTGCCTTCTTCAACAGCACAGAAAACAGAAACTCAGTCAAAAGCTTCCCTTACCTGGGGCTCTTCAAATAGTGATGCTCTGGGTAAAGAATTTCAATCTCCATCAGGAAAGAAGAAAGAGTCACCTTTCAATTCCTGGAAGTCCAGTCAAATTGACGACTCTGGTAAGGGATGGGGGGTTGAAAGAGAAACAAGCTCAAAGCCAAGTGGTTGGTCCACTTGGGGGACTAATAAAGTTGAGATAGACGAAGTGCCCAAAATAAAAGCACAGGAAACAGAATGGGCAGCTCCCTCAAAAACTTCCCTTGACTGGGGCTCTCCGTCAGGAAAGCAAAAAGAGTCACCTTTCAATTCTTGGAAGTCCAGTCAGAATGATGACCGTCATGATGTCAAGGAATGGGGGGTTGAGAAAAAACAAAATTTGGGGGCTGAAAAAACTATCTCAAAGGCAAGTGGGTGGTCCAGTCAGAATGATGACTGCAGTTCTGGGAAGGAATGGGTGCTTGACAAAAAACAAAATTTGGGGGCTGAAAAAGAGGCAAGTGGGTGGTCTGGTTGGGGGGCCAATACAGCGCAGACAGAGGATAAACTCTCTACCAGACCACAAGAAGCGGAACAGCTATCTCAGTCCAAAACATCTGTTGCTTGGGGTTCAGGGGATGAGGGCCCGGGTACAGTTGAACTGCAATCTCAGACAGGACAGCAGAAAGAATCTGCTGGTAATGTCTGGAGTCCCAGTCAAAATGGAACAAATGAACAGTCAAATCAATCAACAAGCATAAATGGTTGGGATTCTGCAAATAGTGGTGGTACCAATGCAAGTGAAAAGGTTCAGTGGGGTCAGGCGAGACGGTTTCCTGCTAAGAGAGAGCAGAATACTGGAGAATGGAGAAACAAGGCAAGTGCTAATTTTACCGCAACCAGACAGCGATTGGATATGTTCACATCAGAGGAACAGGACATTCTTTTGGATGTTGAACCTATTATGCAGTCGATCAGAAGAATAATGCATCAGACTGGGTAACTTCTATGGATCTCTGCTAGTTTTTTAAATGAGAATATTAATTTAAAATTTCCTTTACAATACAAAATTCTGACTGATGTGAATGTGAAATATTCATCTATCGAGTTCAAGAAGATTGCTTAAAGTTCCATTTTGGTGGCATATAATGTTTTTGATGAATTGCAAGTGGTGCTTCTGCAAATAAGAAAACAAACATTTACTTTGTAAGAAGCAAATGGGAATTTTGGAGCTAAATGCCACCATTGCTAACTTGGCAGCAGCATGATTAATTCTCCAGTGCATGATTTGTTTTTGAACTTCTTAAAAAATGCAAGGTTTTTCCGTTGACTGAAATTTTTATTAGAAGAAAGAAAAATAACTTTTATCTATATGACATTTAAATTATGATCTAGTACAACCTGTATTCTGATTGAACGACTTTGTGCAAAGGTACAATGATGGGGATCCGTTGTCTGCTGAAGATCAGTCCTATGTGCTTGACAATGTGTTTGGTCACCATCCAGATAAAGCTGCAAAGATGGGAGCTGGAATTGACTATGTCATGGTATGCTGGTCAATTCTTCTTACCTACTTATTTTGTAATTTGACTTGTAAACTTCATACTACAGTACATTGGATTTTAGATGCTTGTCTATTTTTTATGCTTATGAAATTTAAGCATGATTGTATGCCCAAAAAAAAGTACAAAAAAGATTATTCCTTTAAGCTTTTTAGGCTTACAGTTTTGGAACGTGCTTTTGGTCCCATGGGTTCTACCCTGTCCAAAAACCAAACTTAATGCATTTGAAGTATGAACCTGCAATATTAGGAACACTCCTACTCTTCTGTGACAGCACATACACAGTCACACAGGAAACAACACATTTGGGAACAGTAAACCACTTTACTTTGGAAAGTCTGAAAGGCTGATACCATTGTCCGACTATTTAATGTCTAACACAGTACCTGTTATGTGGTTTTTAGCAAACATGTGTGGGTAGCTTGTCTCTTCACATTTCTTTTTGGTCTAACACAGTACATGTTATGTGGTTTTTAGCAAACATGTGTGGGCATTTATTTTTAGTTCTTTTATCCTACACTGTATGGTTGCACGTCTGTTTAGAGATGAAACTCATGGAGATGCATTGGAGATGCTTGTCTTGAATGTTGTTCTCTATGTTGATATCACAAATTCATTTATGCTTGTCTTGATTTTAGGAGTAGGAAACTCCTACTGGGGTGACGTTTGGGAACATGTTATTTTAGTAACTTTTTGGTTTTTTACGAAAGAAAAATGCTTGGTAGCTCGAAGTTGTGTGGCCCAAATGGCTCGAATGTATCAAAACGACGTCGTTTTGCCCCTAAAACGATGTTGTTTTGAGACATTTGAGCCATTCGGGTCATGAAAATTCGAGTTATCAAACATTGTTTTTTACAAAAAGATGTGTAGATTAGTAGAGAGAGTGATATGATTACTTATAGTGACTTTTTGGCTAAAATATTTTGTTGACAAACGAGGCCTAAGTAGGAAATTTGTAAGAAACCTCTCCCATTGAGGAATAAATTAGCTCCCAGTTGAGATAAAACCTTTCAAACATACAAATCTCAAAAAACAAGAAAAATAACGAAAACTTAATCTGTTACTCTGAATTTACATAATATTTATTTATGTTTAACACATTAATCTAAGCCAAAAAAGAATGTTTGTTAGAATGTATTTATATATTTAGTGTGTAATATATGAACACTCTCATAGGCACTCTCAATAATAGAAACTTCTATATGCTCTTGCAGCTATCCTGCTCCCATCCCTGCCCCCGTCCCCATTTTGTGCAACTAAGGCCTTGGTTGATTTTGTGTTGCCAATTTCATGGGCCCAAATCAAATTGTGGGCTGTTCGGAGTTGGAGAGGATTGGATGGGTGCAAAAGCCTCCAGCCCTTTCATTTTTATTTTTGGGGAGCATGATTCACAAAGGGAAAAAGGGATAAACAAATAATAATAAAAAAATTATAAATAGTGAGAGACAACACTCTTTATTTTTAGAATTTGTCAGCGGTGTGTCTGTATTGTTGCTTCTAGATTTACCATACTTATTTGGATTGGTGTATTTAATTTTTTTAGGAAAATGAAAATATTTTTAGTTTACTCGTTTTTATTTTTATTTTTATTTTTTTAAATTTGTCTTAAAATGGATGAGAACTTTAGGTATGCATTGGCAAGTCATAGTCTCATGGGGGCTCAAGTTGACTTAAATTCACGCTTCAACTATTGCATGTACAACATACGTGATATACTTAAATTGTTGGTAGATGAAATATTAGTATCAATAGAAGTAGATGGAGTACTTCTGGCATATTATATGATCGATGGATAGTAACAGAATTGAAAGGGTAAGTTTGTAGAAAAACTATAGGGCTAGCGATGCTTTATGGGATTGAATGTTGAGCCACTAAGAAATATGTTTATAAAACGAGTGTAGCTGAATGAGGATGATTTTTTGGATGTGGTGAGATTAGAAAAAATAGAACTAAAAATGAATATACTTGTGAAATGATAGGAGGAACACTGGTTGAAGATAAGTTGAGAGAGAACATAGTAAGATGGTTGGTCAAATATAACAAAGGCCAATTTATGTAACGGTAAAGAAGAAAACAAAATATATTAACTTATTTAATTTAACCGAACATGTAGTTCTTAACATTGTAGGATGGCGAAAACGGATTCATTTAGCCGACTCCAGGGGGTTTATTGGTATGATATATGGTAGGGGTAGGAATGGCGTTTTTTCATAACCCTTTGCTCAATGAATCCTTTTCTGTTCTTATTTTTATCTTAGGCTGGCAGAATAAGAACACTTTTCTTCTTTTTTGGGGTGATACATTACAACTGAAATCAATTACTCGTTTTTTGTCTGTTTTTCATTTTTCCAATAATTAAATCCCAACAATTGTTTTGGACAGGTTTGCAAGCACAGCAGTTTCCAGGAAAGCAGGTGCTTCTACATTGTATCAACGGATGGTAACAAGGTAGATTTTTCCTACCGTAAATGTCTAGAGAACTTCATCAAAGGGAAGTACCCTGACAAGGCCGAAGCTTTCAATGGAAAGTATTTTAAGAAACCTCAACCTCGACCTGCTTCTGGTTCTGGTCCTGGTTGGAAGAGGGAACGGAGTGTTGCTCCCGAGGAAGCTTCTGGATCTGAAAATAGGCACAGGGAACGTAGTGTTGCTCCAGAGGAAGCTTCGGGATCTGAAAATAGGGATGTTGAACGTAGTGTTGCTGCAGAAGCTGCTGGATCTGAAAATAAGCAGTAGACCGATGCCTATTCTTGTGATTATTTTGTTTGTATGTTTATGCAGAGAGATTTGTTGGAACTTTCTGCGGTTTCGTTTTTCTAATGTAAAACACTTCCATCATCTGCTTTTTTGATTTGTATATACGAAGCAGATGTCTTGTGGAAACATTTGAACTGAAACCAACCCTAACTGACCTCTGCCTCCTCGTTTCGTAGTTGCGATGTATTTATTTTCTTGTTTAAATACCCCGTTTAGTTTATTTTCTACGCTTATCCTTCATGCGCATTTTTATTTTATTTTATTTTATTTCGTTTTGTTTGTCAAATGTTAATAATTTTCTGTTTTGGAATATAGTGATGCACTATTTCTGTGTTTGGTTTATGATGTCCTTCATAGTTCACTAGCAGGAGGAGCCTCTTTGACATTGATGATCTTTGAACCTGAATCTATGACAAACGCATACAATTCTTAATGTCGCTTTGATGGTTTGATTTTGTGAAGTCTCACTTTGGTTTAATTCATGCATATGATGTGACATTGTTCATGTCATATTTGTACGAGTGGATTTTTTTCAGACTTCATGGATGGGTTTAGTATTTGTCTACTTGTTTTACTTTTATTTTGATTTGTCAATAATGACTTTCTAGATCAAAATTTGAAAAGTTGCATAAATGAACATGTTCATTAATAATTGAAGGGGTTAACCCAATTTTTTGTAGTTTTTGTACTTTCTTTGAGGATTATAGAAGTTTTGAAATTTTTAATGAGTCTATTTTATTTTATTTTATTTTTTTGTAAAGGAAGAGTTCTTGTACTTTTTTTTCTTTCTTTCTTAGTTCTGTAAATATTTTAATAATTAAATTTTGTGATTTGTAAAAGTGCTTAAATTTTTTTTATTTTTTTTTATTATCATGTAGCAAAAGATAAAAAGAGTGTCACAAGTAGTAATTTACAAAAACTGTAAGGAAGGACTATTGTTTGGTTTATTGAAAATTGAGTTTGTTGTTTTTAATGATTTTTAAAAAATATTTTAGATAATTTTTAATTTTTAATTTTTAAATATATTTAATTTAGAGACATTAAAAAGTATATAATATTTGTAAAAAAAAAAATTAAAAAATTTACAAAATATAAAAATTTATTATGTTTTTGAATTTTGTTATGTTTAATGAATTTTTTTAAAAATTTTATACAAAATTAATAATTTCTAAGTTAAGTAGATTTAAAAATTAAAAAAGAAATTATTAAAATAAATAGAAGTATAAATTAAAAAATTATTTTTCAGAACTTCAAATTCTGAATGGTAAGGCGGCGCGGCGTCATCACTTGCAAGCTTTTTAGTGAAAAAAAAAACAAAATCGAAGAAGAAAAGGGAACAATAGGAGAATAATAGGGCCATACACGCTTGTCATTGACGAAAGGTATTAATGAGAGGTAGTGCCGTTGGTACCATATAGAAATTGAGATTAAGTTTTTCATAAATGTGTTGTGAATACCAATTTTAGAGACATCTTATAAAGTATTGACACGCCATGTATGATAAAAAAATAATGAGATAGCTTATTTCTGTGATATTGACACGCCATGTATGATAAAAAAATAGTGAGATAACTTATTTCATATCACAGAGAGAGAGAGTTAGAACTTTCGATAACTTAACTAAAGTTAGAGTTTTAAATAATAAAAAATAAATTATAATGAATTGAATAGGGTTGAATCTATTTTCAAAAGCTAGCTTATTTCATATCATAGAGAGAGAGAGTCGGAATTTTCAATAACTTAACTAAAGTTAGAGTTTTAAATAATAAAAAATAAATTATAATGAATTGAATATGGTTGAATCTATTTTCAAAAGCTACTCAAAAAGCCATTTGTCTTCTTTGAAGATCAAAAACTCAAACCTCAACTCCGTCTTCTCCGGCAAGAAAAAATTGAGACCGTCAAACGTGCGTATAATCTAATGAGTTGTTTGATTACCTTAGTTATTCTCCCTTTCTATTTTTTGAAACAATTTTTAGAATCGCGATATAAATCTATCATTCTCTGTTTGGAACAATTTTGATCAAGTCACAAGTGGGTTTGGAAAGAGCCAAGGATGGATAAATGTTCATCTCAATATCATTTTGTATATTGGATTACAAAATTACTCTCATTCTCTGTTTTGTTTTTTTTTTGTCTTTTTCTTTTCTTTTATTGCTTTGGATTAAAAATTAGAGGGGTGATAGAAAAAGTTAAAGCGAAAAGTGAGTATCAAATACATTTAAAAGAAAAATAAAAAAAAAATGCTATGAACTCATCCTTAGGAACTCATAATTTACCTCGAATGTGTTTGTGTAGTGGAGATTAAATTGATGAATTATAAGGTCTATGGGTAAATTGAATTTAAACAAGAGGGATTTGGTGATAGACCCCTCATATGCTCTCTCTATCGCTCTATCTCTCTATTTCTCTATTTTTTTTTCTCTCTTTCTCTCTATCATTTTTAGTGTATTTCTCTATTAAATAGATCTCAAATCTGAGGTCTTGGGGGCTAAGGATAACGATGGTGGTTGCCTGTGGTACAGTGGCATCGAATGGCGCTGGTGGTTGAGATGCTATTGGTGAAACGGTGGTGGCAGTGAGGGTGACAAACAGCACTGATGGTTGAGATGGTGTTGGTGGTGGAAACAATGGTAGTCGTGGTAGTAGAGATGGTAATGGTGGTGTAGACGGTGGTGGCGGTGGGGAGAGCTCTTAGAAAGAGATAGAGAAAGAAAGAGCTGAGAGAGAGATGACAAACTGATGGAGGGAAAGAAGAGAAAGATAGAGTGTGTGCGTGTGAAGAAGTAAATTTGTCACACAAAATATAAATCTAAAATTTTTATCCTTTATACAAGACTTTATAATTATGAGGGGTTTTGAAAGTATAATTTTTTTTTGAGTCCTTTTAACAAGAAAAGGAAGGTAAGAGGGGTTTATGACCAAATTTCCCAATTGATTTATTGTTTTGAGTAAATTCTGGATTGATAAAGGTTGGTTTGTAATGTTGTTTAAAAATTGAAAATAAAATAGTTTTTTTTTTAATTTTTTATTTTATTATTAGAAATCGAAAATAAAAGAGGTTGATCAAATTTATTTTTCTAAATGCGATCTAGGTTATACTGTACAATTTTAATTTTGAATCATTTGAATAAGTATAGATATAATAGAAACACAAATCAAATCCACTCAGTTAATGGTGAACGATGATTTCATTTGTTGGTGAATGATGATTTCATTTGTGATGTATGTTCATTATTTTTTTTATTGAATTAAATGTGAGAATAGACATTCTAATTGAATTTTGATTCTAATAAACCTTACACTACCAAACAAAGACAACACACAACATGAGGTTCAAAAATTTTATAAAGATATAAAGTCTATTTTATTCATTACTTTCTTTTATATTATTTTTTAACTAGTACATGAATTTGAATAATGTTAATTTTGTATTATAGATTTCATATGACAGGCACATCAAGTGAAGGGATTGATATTGTATTTTTTGATAACTGTTTAGAAGAAGAATATTTTATGGATTCAGAATTAGGGGGTGATTTGAACAATGCAAAGAAAATAAAAAACACCAACCTATCAAGTCTTCTTTATGTGACAATCCTTTAGAGCCATGTGAAGGCATGATTTTTGATGAACTAGAAGATGCTATGACTTGTTGCAAAGCATATGCAAGGAGAAAAGGTTTTGACATTCGAAAAATTCACACTCGACTATCTAGTAAAGATAAGTCATTGATTGGAGTAGAACTTGCTTGTACTAGAGAAGGATACCGTCGACCAAGTTATCAAAAGAAAAATAAGAATATGTAACTCGTCCTCTGACCATGATTGGATGTAAAGTAATGATGCGTTTGAGAAAAGATGAAGGGAAATGGGTTGTAAGTAAATTTGTAACTGAACATAATCATGATATGTGCTCTCTGAAAAGTACACTTTTACTTCGAGGACATAGAAAAATGACTCTTGCTTAGAAAAATCTCATTGATATGTTAATGAAGCTGGTGTACCCACTAGAAAGATAACGTCAGTGTTGAGTCAAGAATCTGGTAGTGATTGTAATGGTGGTTCTGTTACAATGGATACTCAAAATTATTTGGGAAGTAAAAGAAGAAAACTTCTGAAAGATGGAGATGCACAAAGAATGTACAATTACTTTATAAAGAGTCAATTAGAGAACCTAGACTTTACTTATGCAGTTCAAGTGGATGAAAATCATTGCATGGGAAATTGTTTTTGTGCCGATGCAAGGTCAAGGTTGGCTTACCAACACGGGGATGTAATCACATTTGATGCTACGTACTTAACTAATCACTATGGTATGCCCTTTGTTCCTTTTACAGGTGTTAACCACCACTACCAATCAAATATGTTTGGATGTGCTTTACTTTTGAATGAGACGACAAAGTCTTACTTATGGTTGTTAAAAACTTGGCTTGAAACAATGGGTGGGCACAATCCTGCTGTTGTTATTATTGATGATGACAAAGCCATGGCTAAGGCAATTTCATAAGTATTGCCTAATAGTATTAACTGTTTGTGCATGTGGCATATCTTACAAAAAGTTCTTGAACATTTGGCTCATGTTTATAACTAGTATTCCTCATTTCAAGGAGAATTCACTATTGGATTCATGACATGGTCACAATAGAAGAGTTTGAAAATGAATGAGATGCATTGGTTTGCAAATATGAGTTAAGGGAAAATTAATGGTTGAAAGACTTGTACATGCAGTGTGAAAAATGGGTACCAAGTTATTTGAGGACAACGTTTTGTGCCAAGATGTCAACAACACAAAGAAACAAGAGCATGAACAAAATTTTCAAGTATTTTGTCCATTCTAGTACATTGGTTAGTGACTTTGTCCATCAATATGAGAAAGCATTGGATAGAAGATACAAGAAGGAAAAAGAAAAAGATGTTAAAAAAAGAACAACCAAAGCAATTTTAAAGACATTACAAAATGGAGGCAGAGGCAGGAGAAGTGTACACAAGGAAAATATTTTTGTTGTTTCAAGAGGAACTATTTTCAAGTCAAAAACATAAAGCATCTAAATATCTTGAGGAAGGAACAATGAAAACATACAAGGTAATGACAAATGGGAAAGAAAAGCAAATCTATGAAGTAGTATTTATGGTGTTGAAAAGAAAGCTACTTGTTCGTGTCATATGTTTGAATTTGTTGGAATTCTTTGCAGACACATTCTTACTATCTTTGTTAAAAAGTCTCTTGTTGATTATCTCCCTGAACAATATGTTTTTTGAATATGGACAATAAATGTGAAGGATCATGCTGCACATGAAAATTTGATTGATGTAGCACAAGAAGGCAAACAAATTTCTTCTACAGTGATGAGAAATGGTTTGATGATAGAGTTTTTGAAAGTTATTGAAGAAGGGTAGAAATCACAAAAGAAACATGATTATCTTGCCCTTGCTTTGCAAAAGACACATTGTGAACTTTTAGCTATGGATGATGATAGGTAATGAAACTGAAAATGATGATAATTCAGGAAATGAAATATTACTTGGAGGCGCAAGTTTTGTCCAATATAGAATTCACTTTGCAAGATCCCCTACCTGTTGCTTCAAAGGGGCGACCCAAATCGCTTAGACAAAAACATCCTAAAGAGAATCATGTGGGCAAAAAGCGAAAATGTAGCATTTGCAAGCAAACAGGGCATATCAGGACCAGTTGTCATCGACAAAACCAACCAAGGTGATTTATATTATTGCCTTATTCTTCTTCTTCTTTTACTTAGTAAGTTAAATTTTATGTAATTTTAAGTTATAGTTTTTTTTTTCCCTCTTTCAAAGATAATGCCAATAAGTTTGTCGCTTACCAATCGAATATTTCATTAGGTAATTTAAAAGTTCCATGAATTTTTGTTTCTTCTCATATATGATTAGTTGTTTCTCATATATGAATTTTTTGTTTCTTGAATTTTTTCAAATGAAGGACTCCATGCCAATAACTTTGGTTCTTCCATGTCCTCAATTTACTGTGTCTTAAGATCCTAAGCCTTCTACATTCATGATATTAATTTTTTAATTTAGTAATAGAACTTTAAAATTTCAAATTTAATCAATTTACAATTTCATTGATTTTCTAATTTCTTTAATGAGTATTCTTATTACAGGATCTAATGATGGAGGCCGGAAAAAACATATACAAGTGAAAGCATCGAAACAACATAGGATTGATTTTGGCTTTCTGATGAACATGATAAAAATAGCCATTTTGATGCAATTGGTATTGAGTAATGACAACCAACTAGTAGATGTTTAATATTATTTGAGTGTGATAACTATTAATAACTAGTGCCACTTTGAGTCTTTTTTGAGTTCAATTAACTATGATATTGGTAATTTTTATAATTGAATTTAGTTAACAACACTGCTACACACCCCCACTGGGGGTCAACCCCCAGTGACGTGGCGGGCCTCCATTGGCCAGTTTTCTATTTTTTTTTTCTTTTCTTCCAATCCTGTAGTGCCACGTGGCACTGGGGGTCGGTGGGGGTGGGGTTTACTAGGGTCCGGCGCATTTTTGTTTAGTTAATATGAAATGCATTACTTGGAGTATACATGATTGATGAATGATTTTATTAGCATTTATTTATGAAGCTGGAGAGAGTTACTAGATTCAAGAGAATTCACATGAATTTCGTCTAGTAGCTAGAACAAAAAAAACAGGTACATAGGTGGAGTTCCATCTATTATTTCGGACAAAAATTTTCATCCCCCATTTACAACTTGCTCCTAAAAAATTCACAATACATCTAAAAATTCCCACCCCCCATTTACATCACTTTTGTTGCAAGCTCTCATGAAACAGTAATTTCACCAAATATATATATAATCAAAGTTTCAAGTGGATTATTACAGCACCTTGAGTGTGCCTTTGGTGTCAATGCTCACAGTAAGATTTAGCCAGCAGCACTAAAATTTGATTTTTTGAAAATAAAAATTTTATTGATGAAATCTTATATACAAAAGGATACTAAGACAAACATAAAAAAAAAAAAAGGGCTAAAAAATAGCACTGTAGGCAAAAAAGAAAGAGAAAAAAAAAGAAGCAAAAACAAAATGAAAACAAAACAGAGAAAAAAATTTAACAAAAAAAAGCCAGGAAACACTAGTCACATAATTGAACTCTAAAGAAAAACTAGATCATTCCTATTCCTGAGACTTGAGCAAACAAGACTTGAGTAAAAAATAGACCAAAAATCCGCGTGAGTAGGTGTATTAAAGAAAGAAAACGCCAATAACTAAAACTTTTCCAAGCAACAAATGGAATCAAATTAATATTTAATTTTTTTAATCAAAAAATAAAAATAAACTACTTTGGAGGATCAAGAGCAAATTTCAACTGAGCAAATCATGGAATCTATCGAACTCGTCAAACTCGATCCTTGCTTGGCCACCATGGCCGAAATCCTAATCCCATGAGCAGCGTTTTCTAAAACGCATCCTCACCACATCAGTACCAATATCACTATCCTCGATCAGACATATGGCTTCAAGTCCTTGACGCCATATTACTTGTATTTTTTTTACTGGATTTCCTCTGCTCTGGTTGCGACCTAATCAAAATTGTTCCAGACAGAGAATGATGGATTTATATCACGATTAAGAAAATTGTTTCAAAAAATAGAAAGGGAGAAGAATTGAGGTAATCAAACAACTGACTAGATTATATGCACGTTTGGTGGTCTTGAATTTTTTTTTTTTTTGCCAGAGAGGATGGAGTTGAGGTCTAAGCTTTCGATCGCCAGAGAAGATAAACAGCTTTTTATACAACTTTTGAAAGTAGGTTCAACCTTATTCGATTTATTTTATATTATTTATGTTTGGATTGAGTGATTTGGAGACCAAAGAAAATAAATAGAGAGATATGTATTTCTCTTATTTGTTTGGATAATTAAAGTTAAGAGAAATAGAAAAAAATAGAGAGAAATTCATTTATCTTATAACTCTCATTTTTAATCTTTCCAAAAGTGGAGAGATTGGAAGAGAAAAGAAACCAACAGATTCTTATATTTTCATAATACCAATTTTGTCTCTATAAAAATAAAAGAAATAAAATGATTGACAAAATATAAAAATATTATTTTAGTAATATAACATAAAATAGTTTATTTTCTTTTCTCTTATGAAATCTAACCAAACAAAAAGGAGATAAATCACAATCATTTTTTTCTTTTATTTTTTACTTATTCAAACAAGAATGAGAGAAATTACAATCATTTCATTTCATTTTTTTTCTCTTATAGCTTAAGTAATTATTTCTTTTATTTTCTTTCCTAAGTTCCCAAACATAGTTACATTATTGGAAGCTCCAACTCTCTCTTTATGGTATGAAATAAACTATTCCATTATTTTTTTTTAAGGATAAATTACAAACACATCCCCTGAAGTTTATTTAAATTATAAATTATTTCTTATGGTTTTAGAAATTACATTATGCCCTCTAAGATTTTTAATTTCATAACAAATAAGTTATTTTATTAATAAGTCATCAAGTTAATTAACAATTTTTAATAATGTTAAAATTTTATTTCAATTAATAATTCAGATAATTTTATTATTATATAGGTGAACAGTTAGAAATTTCATTTTTTCCATCAATTCATTAAATAAAAAATTATGACAGAGAGATATTTGTAATTTTCTAAACCACAGGGGCAATTCTTATTTTAAACAAATTTCAAGGTATTTGTAATTTATCCTTTGTTTATTGTACATTGGTAAAATTGGCATTCACGGCACATCCGGGAGAAACTTAGGTCTTATTTGGGAACATGTTATTTTAGTGACTTTTTGAATATTTTGTTAAAATATGAAGGAAAAAAAAACTAGTATGTTTAAAACGATTTTTTAATTTTTTACAAAACAATGTGTAAAAAATAAAAATAATTTTTTTTTTGACTTTTTAATATAATTTATAAGTTTTTTAGTTTTTTTCTTTTTAAAATTTTTTAACTTTTAAACTAAAATAAGCCCATGCCAAACGGGGTATTAATCACATAAAAAATTCTTGAAGAAAAGGGAAATCATTGAGAAATCATTGCCTAGCCTAGCTTTCCCACGGTATTCGTTGACATTCCCTAGAAGAAGAATCGTATAGTATTGTAACTATAACAACAGTGAAATCTGTTGTTCTTTCTTTCTTTCCAGCAGAACAGATACCAACAACCACTCAACTCAAACCCAAACTCATACTCCAAGTCCACTCAAATCATGAGTTTGTGTATAATTCTCTCACTAACAATAGCAGTCCTCTCCGTAGCATTGTATCCTCTGCTCAACTCCACTCAAGCTCCATCATCGTCTTCCTCCTCCTCCTCATCGGTAGTTGCAGATTTGATGGTGACAAATGGGACCATCTACACCAGTGATGCTTCTCTCCCCTTTGCTGATTCCATGGCCCTTAGCTCTGGCCGCCTTCTCCGTCTTGGCAACTTTTCCTCTCTTCAGGTTCTCTTTCTTTTTTAACTCCTTTTGTTTTCTTCGTTTCCCATCTTTCTTTTTCATACCCACTTCTTTCTTCACTCTCGTACAATAACCATTTTCAAAACTAATTTGTCTTGATTGTATTGTATGTACATATATGTCCTGTCATTTTTTCTTTAATCTACCTGTTGGGTTTAACAAACTGCGCACTAGACTCCAGTGTGTGTATGTTGGTTCAAATGCATGCTTGCTTTACTTCTTATATGGTCCTCTATTCATATTCATACTCATTTGGGGGGGTTTGGAAGGGGCCTCCCTGTGGCTTGATTGTGTTAGGATTACTCCAGCCATGTGATAAAAGGTGGGTTTCATATAATTATTTGGGTTAAAATAGTAGACTTCGGAATCTGCTGGAAACCTAATATGTGCCGGATTTGGTTAGCTAATTGTACAGAATTAGGTTTCTTATGGGGTACACTATTATAGGGTTTTTCTGAGAGATTGAAGGGGAAAAAAATAAAGATGTAAGGGGTGAAAGAAAGGGCACCGAGGCGAGCAAGAGCTCAACTACTTTTGAGCATTGGTGGGGTTTGGATAGCGGCGTGATTTTGAGTATTTTGGCCATCTCACATGTATTATTTATTTTATTCATATAGTGGAATCTCTCTCTTGTGGATATAGGCAATTTGGGCCGAACTAAGTAAATTTGTGTATGATTGTTTTTTTGTTTGGTGCGTGCGTGGGTGTGCTTCTGTTCGCATTGGTGGGATGTAAATATTAATCCCAACAGATTGGGGGAGACATTATGTTGTTGGTCTATGCCAATCCCATATGTAGCGCATTATCTTATATTGCTGTTTGTTTCCAGCTTTGTCATGTAAAAACCTGTGTACTTTCTGGCACATTCTAATGAATTTTATTCACTTTTCCCATAATATTCAAATAACAAATCTAAAATACCTTTTTCTTTTTATCTAAGCTTGCCTTGACCTTGTAAATTTGATAACTACTTTCTGCTATGCGTTATGAATTTGAATGCAGGATTTGGCAGGATATGGAACTGAAGTGATCGATTTGGAGGGAAAAGTTGTGGTTCCTGGATTTATTGATTCCCATGTGCACTTGATTTTTGGAGGACTGCAGGTTTGTTCCTCTGAATTTATTTCATTCCTTACTGGTTTTGCTATTCTGTTATCTTTTTGTGTCTATATATAGATGGGATGGTTAGGGGAGGCAATGAGGAGAATGGACCATAGAATCGTTCATGGTCTCAAGAGTCGTATTGCTTCAATTGCCAGCTACTCTATGCTGTAGCTAACCCTTGAATGAAAGCATATTTATGGCATGCAAACAATGAATATATGCTGAGGATATTAGTGGTGGGACACCTTAACCCTGCCCAATCCCACCCAATCCAAACCAATCCAATTCAATTGGGTTTCCAATACTCTTTGCTCCTACCTTGACAAAAACCTCTCTATGCCCCTTCCACTGGGGTTGGATTAGTTACCTGATTACCTTCTCAACCTCTCCAATTGCGATCCCTAGTCTGCCTACTTAACTTCTATAAATTTAGGCATGCTGACAACTTTAACAATTTTTCTTCTTCTTTTGTTTACCATTTTTTGGACAGAGAAGTTGCAATCGGTAATATAAGGAAATTTACATTTTCAAAGAGGGACCATATAGGTGTCTACCTTAATTTATTAGTATACATGAAACCAGGACACCTTCTTGGTCTATTTTTGTTCTCTCTTGTTTCAAGTTGTAGCCTCTTGGCTACAAAATAGCTGCGTAGGAGATAAAAATAACTGCGAGATACTGGGAAATCAATAAAACTGATCAAAAGGAAAAAATAAAAATAAAATCCACGTACAGAACACATGCATTGCTCGTGTTCACCCTGTAGTCTAATGGTTAGCTGCTATTCTTTTCCTTTTGACATTTGTTTTTTCTCTTCTTACTAACTTATGCTTCTTTCTACTCTTAAAGGAGTTGTACTATTGCACTTCCATTAATTGTGATATTGATCTAATTTAGCAAATGAAAACAGATAGTGCGTGTGGAACTCCGAGGTGTGAACAAAAAAGATGAATTTGTCAGAAAGGTCAAGGGTGCAGTTGCAAGTAAGTGCTCTGTAATTATAGGCAGCTCCTCTATGTAAAGATAAAGAGTGTTTGAACAGTTTTTCTGAGGTGAAGACAAAAAAAAAAAAAAAAAAAGGACAGAAATAGGTAACTATTGGTCAAGAATCAATTGAGATGAAATAGATCAAAATGGACAGAAATTATCTGAAGTTCGTAAAAATAGTTGAAACAGGGTGGAATTTTGTTCGGTACAAAACACGACCTCTATGTTATGATTTTCGCCTATAAGGGAATCATTTGGTCAAATTAGGTATGTATTGGAAATGCTTGACAACACTGACTTGTATAACTGGTCCTGCAACTTCTTTCCCACCGGGGGAACCTTTTAATAGCTCAGACAAATCAATGCACAATTCACTTGTGGTATTGTCCTGTTGTAGTTGTCTTAGCAGTATATCGCTTCACTTTGTTGTGAAAAATCTGTAAGTAATGTTCTGTGGCTTATATTTTTACTATCTTCATGTACTTCTCTGGCCAAGGCCGGAAAAAAGATTTGTTGAAACTTGAGGAAATGTTTAAACAAATATAATTTAACAATTTCACACAAGGTGCTCAATTCCTGCAAATCTGCATGTCCATGTACTTGGAGTCAGGCTCACTAGTCAGCCATCTGCTGTAGCAACCTTTGAACCATTTAAACATATATTATCATGGATTGGTTTTTATTCAATCTGTGAGATTATGTGTCAGAAAAGAGAAGCTGGGTAGTAGACCAGGACCAAAAATGATGAGACTTCGTTCCATTAAAAGTTCTTTGGAGTAGTTCACTTTTAACATTCTAGCTTTTAAATATTGTATCAAAATTTTAAATGGCTTTTCATGCTTATCCTTGAAAATAATTTTCTAGATCTTAAACATGGCTCCTGGGTATTGGGCGGTGGATGGAATAATGATAATTGGGGAGGAGAATTACCAATGGCCTCTTGGATTGATGATATTACACGTCACAATCCCGTAAGAAATCTTTACTTCCTTGGAGTTTTTGTTATATGATGCATTATATGTTCTGAAGATACAATAAATGCAGGTCTGGCTGTCAAGGATGGATGGTCACATGGGCTTGGCTAACTCATTGGCACTAAAAATTGCAGAGATTAGTAATTACACAGAAGATCCAAATGGTGGAGCTATCATGAGAACCACTGATGGAGGTAAGTTTTAAAGGTATCTTTGTGCATGAAGGTCCTATATAATTTGTTTAACTACAAAACCATTCTGGCAATTGGACCAACAATTTTTAGCTTCATTCTTGATGCTAACTGTTAATAGAACATAAGCGGCTGTTGAAATTTCTTAACTCAAAGGTCTCAATAAACAAAAAGTATAATAACTACACAATATGTCTCCAGAATATCTACGATATCTACAGAATATACATAATATCTAGAAAATATCTGCAATATTCTCACAAGAGTCGCAAGCTGAAGAGGATAATGCACAAAGTGACAACACAAAATCACAAAACAATAGCCCAGTGAATTGTAGTTTGAGAATGTCAACCAGGACTGATGAATAATGTTATCAATGTATTCAAACATTTATATTTTGGTGCTTTAATATTCCAATCTAGTTGTTGTTTAAACCCAGATGGTATGTCGTACTTCTAGTCTCTGGTAGACAAGTTAATCATGATGTGGTGACTCTTACTGCTAATCACATATAAGTTGCAATTGTGTGTTTACTGAAACAATATTTTCCAGCTGTTTGATAATTCTGCAATCAATCTATTTTTCATTGTCATCTTAATGAAGTGTACTACTTGGTGGCGGTACGTGTTCCATAGTAATTGGTAGCATATATAAATTTCTATTCATGAAATTGATTCCTAGATCTAACATGTTTAAACAAGTTAGTAGCGGAACATTTAATTATTTCTATGGGGGCTGTCACATGTAGAGCCAACCGGGTTGCTGATTGATTCTGCAATGAAGCTCATTTTGTCATGCGTCCCGGAGGTCTCAGTAGATGAAAGGAGGGAAGCTTTGGTAAGAGCCAGCAATCTTGCCTTGATGAGAGGTGTGACAACAGTTGTAGATTTTGGGACATATTTTGCTGGTGCATCGGTAGAGCTTCCGTGGGAAGATTTTTCAGGTTTTGGTTGCAAACTGTTAAGTGATTTTTGGATGTTTTAATTCACCAAGATGATCTGTATTTTCAAATGCTAAAATGATAATAATGGAAAACAATATGCATTTCAAAGTAAGTTTTCAAGAAATATGTGGATTGTGGACTTGCTTGAATGCTATGGAAAGCACAACAAACTCATTTTAAATGCTATGTAAATCATAAAGGAATGATTCAGTTTCCATGGGAATGATTCAGTGTTCATGGGACATCAAAATGCACCACTTGGATATTATGTTCTCCTACAGAATATTGTAGTTAAATCTTTTTACTTCTCAGAAAAATGAATTCCTGTGGGGCAGGAGTAAGCCATTTCATTCCATCACTCATTCTACATTTTTCTGATGATTACAGAAGTGTATAGATGGGCTGACGTTTCTGGACAATTGAAAATCAGGGTTTGCTTATTCTTTCCAATGAATACATGGTCACGCCTACAAGTATGACTTCAGTTAAATTGCTACTCTATGAGACTGCCACTCTTCCTGCTCAATGTTTTGCTTTCGATTGAAGTAAATATGTAATGTAATGGTTTGGTGCATGTGCCCTTAATGATCAGTAGCTTTAGTACAAGTGTTACTACTGTAGGCAGCTTGCTTTCATCAAGGATAATGTCCCTGTATATTTTGTTTGCTAGGAAGCAAGCCCTTCCAATGATGATTAACGACTTGACTAGTTATTAAAATAGTGGGGTGTTCCTGTTGTAGGACAGCAATAAAAAAATTAGACCAGTTGCACCTACAGAATTTATGGTGGGCTATTATGGAAAGCAATTAGGTCTAGGGTTTCAAAGGGTTGTAGCCAAGGTTCTGAAAAGCGGTTGCGATCGCCATAACGGTGGCGGTGGCGCGGTTGCGGTTGTGGAGTGTAAAGGCCGTAGCGTAACGGTTGCGGTAACCGGAACCGTGAATTTTTTTATTTTTCGTACAATTTGAAAAAAACTTACCAATACGCATATTTTTTTTCCATGATCATATTTATTGGGTTTTAAAATAAATATTGATCAATTTTTATAAATTTTTAAGTTTGATCCAATATATTTCATATTTTTAAATCACTATAAACTGAGTTTTTTACATTTTATTTTAATAATTAATGACTTTATATTATACAAAAAATCAATCACTAATTATTATATATAAGATAAACAATGACAAAAGTAAGAGAATAAATAAAAGCCTAAATATATATATATATATTAATCAAGCCAAATAATAATGACCACACTTATTATTATTATTATTATTTTCAAACAATATATAGATAGACACGCACAAAAAAATAGTTGAGTGATAGCAGCTGAATAGAATAGCATAAGTCTTACAATTTCAACAAATCAATAACATGTTCTTCATCTTCCCTATTCTCTCTCTATCTCTTGTTCTTCCATCTTTCTTCTTCTCTCTCTCTCTCTTCTCCCATTTTCAACTTTTTTTTTTTTTTGTGTTTTTTCGAAAGAAGCAATTCGGAACCGTTACGTAACGGTGCGTAATAGACCATTACGGCCGTTACAGTACCGTTACGACCACTATAGCAGCCGCTATGGCCGATACATCTGTGAATCTCAATCACACTGTAAAAGCGGCCGTAACGGGTGGCAGTAACTACCACAACCGTTACGTAATGGCGTTACGTAACGGTTGCGGCCGCTTTTTAAAACCTTGGTTGTAGCTTTTTAAGATGCAATGGTTTTGCCATTGGCTTGATTTAGAATTTAGTGGGTTGTTTGAATTGAAGAGAATTAGCTGCGGGAAATTATGGACTGTGTGTATTTTAGGGTATTGTTTTCATCTAACGGTCAAAATGTAGGGAAAAAGGTTAGGGTTATTAGTAGCATGATAATTGGTAATGAAATGGGGGCTGTTTTGGGGGCAAGTAACCTTTGGTACATCCTTATAAAATAAAATAAAAGGATAAGACTCCATTTTTCATTTGTTCCCCTACCTTGTTTGTTTGTTTCTGCAACGTTTTCTCTGTTCATGTCACACCCTAAATTTTAAATTAGGAACCTTAAGCATGAGGATTAAGGGTTTAGGGTTGTTTAGGATTAAATGAGCTAAAATGGTGAGATCTTCCATTACAAGTTCCTGTTAATTGTGGGCCAATATAAATTATTGAAATCAATTAACCTGTTTTAAAGCCACATTTAACATACAGAGTTTCAACAAGACCTGTTTATATATTACATATTCATAATCCAAGTTTACAAAAGTATTGCATGCCACAGTCTGTTTCCTCCCTACTCAACCCCCAATTCATTACACAAAAGAGAGAGTTGTGTTACAACCTTTTATGTATATACATTGCACTTAACAAACAACTCATGACTTCATAATAACAATATGAACACAGCAAAAAGTCTTCATATCCCTTTACTTGGGTTCTTCTAATGGTGTAGTTGAAAATAAAACACAATAACAGGCTGAGTATATAACTCGGTAGGTGGATTTATAATTCCTATTCAAATTTGCTAGCATATCCAAGAGAAGCACAGAACCTGCGTTACAGCTCAACAAATGTGAATGTAATTGATAGAATAACATGTAAATGTCCTTTTAGGATCTCTTACCCAGGGACAATGACCCCATTAGCTCATAGTCCATTTGGGGGCTCTTACCTAGGGACCATGCTCCGATTAATGCAATGCAGCTTATGTAAATCAAACAATAACTAGCACCATGGCTGTCCACTTACCTTCGGTTCCTGAACAAATGTAACACTATTAATGCATAGCTTTCCAGTTACATTCACAGTTAATAAACATGGGTAGTACACGCCATATGTATTACTTATAGAATTCATGGTTCATACTCTTTAAATTCGTAACAAATATATATTTTATCATGTGTTTTGTTCAAGCGCAATTTACTATTATCAGAGACCTCTCTCTCTCTCTATATATATATACCATGTACTGAAAGTTCTACATGTTTGACTATCTGTAATTTTTATACTGTCTATTTGTTTCTATACTGTCTATTTGTTTCATAGAGATTTCAGTTCGTTTTGGCCTTTTCAATCTACTTGTTGCCTTTGGATCACTATTACAGAATTATCCTTCGTTTTGTTCTCTTAAGGGTTTAATTTCCTTCTTAGGATCTTATCCGTGAAAGTGGTCGTAAGCTGAGCCAATGGCTTTATTTGGGTGGCGTTAAGGCTTTTGCTGATGGATCTTTGGGATCTAATAGTGCACTCTTTTATGAGGTGAGAATGGTGATGTTCTAGGATGCATGAACCATTTAATAGGCTGAGAGCCTTAAATGCGAAATCCAAATGCTACAATCACTTTCCTCTCAGTTTCTGGACATGTTTTCCGGATTAATGTGTATTGTAGACTATATCTTTTGTAAGATAAAACATTTGACTTGGAAAGCTATGCTGATCAAAATGACTAGAACAACTAAAACCTGAAATCATAATCATGGATGTCGTGATAGCACTAGTGTATGTATGAGTCAAAATTTCTATGATTATATCTCAATTATGTTTTTGATTTGCACAAAAATTTAATAATTATTATGGGAACTCTATTATGTTTTGAAGTGTCAAACTTACACCTTTTTCCCTACTCCTTTTTTTTTTATATCTGGATATGTCCAGTTTTTTGTTTTTGTTTTTGTTTTTGTTTTTGTACTTAATGAAAAAAAGGTTGGAGTTGAACCTACGATGTGCGCAAGTGAACTTTGTATTTAACCACTAGTCCACCTGAAGTAGTGATGGTTATGTCTACTATTTATGTTAGGAGTATATATCAGCTGCATATATAAAACTAAAACTTTGTTTTAAAATTTAGTACACGTCCTATGTGTGACTAACACGTCCAGTGTTCACATAGCACTGATACACTTCATTATGAACATAGCTTCTATAGATTGCTTCATGCACATTACTTGTCAGATGTCTATTTGTGTTTTATGACACTGGTATTATATACTCTCTAATTGTTTGTCTAGTCAAAGTATTGTTGACATAAAATATTGTTCATGTATTTCTGTAGCCATATGTTGATGACCCTCACAATAGTGGCCTACAAGTTGCAGATTTTGAAAGTCTATTAAACATGACAGTTGCATCGGACAGATCTGGGCTTCAGGTGCTTCATTTTCTTGATATAGAATCCCTTCATATCTCTCTGTGTAACCATGCATATCGCAATCAATAACTTAAATTTGATGTTCCAGGTTGCCATTCATGCTATAGGTGATAGAGCAAATGATTTGATTCTGGATATGTACAAGTCAGTAGTTTCTACAAATGGGATGAGGGACAGAAGATTTAGGGTAAATTATATTGCTAAAATATGAAGACATTCAGCAGTGAATCTAAATTTATTATGACAAGAAGATTCAATGCAGCATAGTTTTTTTTTTTATTAACACTTGCAGATTGAGCATGCTCAGCATTTGGCAGATGGGACAGTAGCCAGATTTGGTCAAGAAGGAATTGTTGCTTCAGTGCAGGTTCTTGAAGCTCCAATCTTGCATTACCTTTTGATGATTATCTATTAGGAACCATAATATCAACTTTGTTGTAACAATGATTTTAAATGATTTGTCATTAATGATCTGCTGGGTGCGCTTATATGGCATGACTTTCGATAAGTCTCCTCCTTTGCACATGTTATACAGTTTGATTATGTATTTGGTTGGTTTTTTAGATTAGTTTTTTTGGCAATGCCTAGCAGGATACGGTATTCCATTGATGTAGCATATCAATATTCCAAATCTATATCAAAGACGTGGCCACCTTATTCTCTCATTTTTTTCTTTCTTTCTGCATCTGGATGAATTTTCCAGGGTGTGTGGTCTATCTACCACCAACACCACTATCATATTATATACATTAACATAATTTCCAGCACTTTCTGCATCTGGATGAATTTTCCAGGGTGTGTGGTCTATCTATTTTATTTTTCATTTCTGATTGGCTTATGATTCCCAAACTTTAAAATGATTCAGTAATGACATATTTGAAAAAAGCTGAAGACCTCCCTACTATATGATTTATGTCCTCATGAGCTTTAATCCATTTGTCATTCTGTGTGAGGATGTTTTTATTTTGTTGATAATTGAATTCCAACCATTAACAGCCAGATCACTTACTGGATGATGCTGATTCTGCAATAAGAAAGCTTGGGGTAGAAAGGGCTCACAAAGGATCTTATCTATTTCAGTCACTACTAGCTAGCAAGGCACAGCTGGTGTTTGGTTCTGATTGGCCAGTGAGAAATTTTGGACTCTTTCTTGATTGTACTATTCTATTGAAGTTTAGATTTCTTGATTTTACATGTTTTCATATTGTTCATATTGTTGTCATTGTTTCAGTTTGCAGATATTGATCCTGTAAAGAGTGTAAAGACAGCAATGAAAAGAATACCTCCTGGATGGGAGAATGCATGGATTTCATCTGAATGCATCAATTTGAGTGATGCATTAAACGCGTATGCTTCTATTTTCCAGCTCTTATATGATTGATTTCTGTCATTATTTTTCAACTGCTTCTATATGTAAAGATTTAAGTTACGAAAGTTGCCTGGACAGTGTGTAAATAGCAAAACTTGCTTCATCAACTGTCAAAATTTTGGTTTAGTTTTTAGAATCAATTTTTTTGAATTTTTTATGAAAAAATAGAAATTATTTTGATGAAAATAAATAACGAAAAAATATTTTTGAATTTTAAAAATTATTTTTGGCCTAAAAAAGATAAATCGTATAAAAACAATCGAGTAATTTTTATTTTTTATTTTCCAGCAAACTACTTTTAAATATTGATTCTAAAAATTAAACCAAGCAGAGTGTTAGTGTTAAGCAGGCTGCTGGTGCATGTTTTGTGCTGCAAAGCTCACTGTTAAATGAAAAACCATTAGCAGAATTTTAGAGACAAAAACTTGCCATAATGAGATTCGTTGGCACATTTAATTCAAATATTTTACTTTAGTTTTGTTATTGTTTAATGTTTCTGTGGGTGTTAATTTCCGACCACACAACCAAAAGGGAAACTCAGCTGCAGAACACCGGTAGAATAAATTAAGTCCAACAACCTATAGATGAGAATCCGGCGGTGGTTCGTCCACCCAGGGGCACTCCGACGATCAAGTCAGTAATCAATATCTCTCAAAGATAGCAAATTGTGTTTAAACTCACAAGAAAGAACTTACCTCAGACCCACGAGGATGCCTTACTTTTATAGTCCGTTGTGACCTGATCCCATCAGAAGCCTTACTTCAATGGACTCAGGCTCAATGCTTATCCTGGACCCTCATCTAGATAGAGATAAACTCTTTTTGAGCCTTATCTTTATCCAGATTGAGATCCTCCTCTGTTCTAGAACTCTTGTCCCTTATTTGCTTATCTCGGATTTTGGTTTCTTCGCAGACAACCTCGGCCTAGTCGAGATCATTTCGACGCATGACTAAGCCACGTGGCACCTCGGCTAACACTTTGGCGTTACCTTAGCCAGGTGTTGTCATTTACAAAATACGTTCCCACAACTGCCCCTAGGTTCTATTACCTTAGCAACCTGAGGTAATAGAACCTACATTGTTTGTTCATATAGCATGTCGGCTAATAATCCATCCATCTCTCTGACCGAGATTATGACTTGTCGGCTTCAAGTAACCAAGACTCTACTGCCCATTCTATCGAGGACCAATAACCAAGAATCAAGAATCACTCCTTTAGCCGAGGTTTATTGCTTTATTACTTCAAGAATTTCAAGAGTTCTAACTGCGTATGAGCTGTCACGCGCAACCTTTTCAACCGTTTTATACACGTGTCGTTTCCTCATTACTTCGTACCTGATACGCGCTATCAGGGCGCGTCATTTTTGCCCACACCGCTTGACAAGCACGTCGTCCAAGGCATTTCATTTTGTTTTGCCGCCTTTTCGTATTTTTAACAAAAACTCCTCTCTCTCTCTCTCTCTCCCCCCTCCATCTCTTCACTTTTGCAAAATCAATTTCCCTCTTGTTCAAGATTTTCTCTCTACATTCCGCCATTTACAAGTCTCTCAAGCTTCTGTAGCTACTCCGTCCACTACTTCCGGCGAAGCATTCGTTGGTCTGTTCTAGTGACTGTCATCATCTGACTCTGGCAATCATTGCTCCAGCATTGTTTCCTCGGCTACAATCAGTGAGTTCCTAGTTTCTTTGTTAAAATCCACCTACTGATCTGTATATGCTCATTCTCTGCCATGTGCCTATATTGCGTCTGTCGTCATTGAATCCATTCTCATAGTTGTACTCTATTTTTATTTTCCATGTTCTGGTAGTCATGAATCATTTCTTGTTTCTTGAATCTTTGTTGTCGTGAGTTCCTAGTTTCTTTAATTTCAGTCTTCCACTGATCTGTATATGCTCATTCTCTGCCATGTGCCTATATTGCGTCTGTCGTCATTGAATCCATTCTCATAGTTGTACTCTATTTTTATTTTCCATGTTCTGGTAGTCATGAATCATTTCTTGTTTCTTGAATCTTTGTTGTCTTTCGAATTTTGCCACTAGGATGTCAACTGTGTTTGTTTGTTGTGATTCTTACACATTGCCTTGTACTCACCTACTTAATGCTCACTAATTCTGTTTGTTCCATGTGTGCACATCTAATTTTTGGTCTCTACTTTATTCTTGATTTCTGAATCATGTTTATTTTCTGGTCTTCTTGTTTGTTTTTTAGATTCTTGCTTCTATTTCTTGTTTCTGTAGTTCTAGGTTTGGGATTTGCTTTAGAACTTTTACACTTAGGAAAACCGAAACGAATTTCCTTTTAGATCTTCACAATCCTCACCCTAGTGCTCTCTAGGGTTTAGCCGAGGTATTCAGACCCTTTTCAACCACTTTTCCTAGTAATCCAATACTGATTTCCTCAAGCCGACATTATGGGTATTTTTAGGTGGAGGGTAGACACCCCTTCCAAACTAGAGTACTTTAGGCAAGAGTTTTCCATTCCAGCCGACATTCAACTTCGGTTGGCTAGAGAGGATGACTCTATCATGACTGGGAAGGACTACATGCCCTTTCCCGTAGTTTCTATCATTGAAGGCGGAGTCAGGTTCCCCCTTGATGTCCTTTTTAGGAGGGTACTCCGCTATTATAAACTCAATCCCATGCAACTGGTTGTAAATTCCTTTAGGATCATTAATGGCATTGCCATTCTGGCTCGCCGACAGAATGCCAAAATTACCCTCTCTAACATCCAGTATTGCTACACTATGTGTGGCCTCAAAACCAACACTAGCTACACGTACTACCTCAAGCTGAGATCTACACAGTACAAGCTGATAGCCGATATACCAGACTCTAATATGATCGCGACCGATGACTACCTGATTGTCTCAAGCAATTGGGAGTTCACGCCAGACGATGAGCTCTATCCTTTCCCTTGCGCCGAGACGTTTTTAGGGATAATAAGGGTAAGGACTTAGTTCCCCCCCCCCCCAAAGTCCTTTCTTTATTGCCTTACTTAGCAGTCTTTCTATTGATCTGTTCTAATGTTTTCTCTTTGTTCTTGCAGCCCTTCCTCAGCCCAAAAAGAATTTTCGCCAGTACTACATGCCGAGCAAAGACTTGGTTCGCCATCTCGGCTTACCAATTAAGGCACACAAAGCTCCTCTTCTACTTAATTACATCCCTATCTACTGCAGTCCTTTGCCTGACGTTCCCAGAAGAAACCAAACTCCACATTCTGCCATAACTCCTCCAGTTGCTTCATCTCCAAGGCCAGATCAGGCCTCCACGTCCTATCTTGCAGATTAGCCATCCACTTCTGCTCCCCAACTAATTCCTCCTGCCTAACGCCAACACCAACGCTAACGCCGAACTCCTCCTAACGCCCTTGCTGGCAGAACTTGCAGCTGTAGACGCCGAAGTCCGATTTTCTCGACCACCGACCCATCCAACCCTCCCACTACCTTGCCAGCAATTTACTTTGGCACTAGTGTAACTGTTGCCGCAACTGTCAAAGATATAGGCGACAAAAGGTGGTTGCCGAAGACCTTCTTGCTGATATCCCAGGCAGAGTTACCATCCAGTCCTCTTCTCAATCCCAGCCAAGGCAAAAACCCAAAAGGGTTAAAAAGGTAAATGCCAAGGCCACCATCACCCAGCTTCCTTTAGATTCTGAGAAAGACCCGAAAGATTCAGTCCCCATATCCAAGCTTGCTGTCACGACCCGAACCCGTCCCTATGGGTCAAGGCCATAACCGGCCAGTAATCATGAGATTACCTACGGCCTCAAACCAATAAAACTAAACTCATTGAAGTAAAGGGGCCAAACGGAAGCAAAATTTAAAACTTTGTCCATAGAGTTGTGCTTATATGCACACCATAACATTCCAAACATTTATATGTTAACAACTCACATCAAAATATGTACTAACACAGAACACTGTACATACAGGATCATACAAGTTTAAGTCAGTCGAACCCAAGACTTATATACAAAAGTAGTCCAATGCTTTCGCCAACATAACAAAACTATGAACAAAAGACAAAAGCGCAGACAGTCTCGTGCGTGAGATGTTTGGGCTGACTCCTCAAAACTTTGACTGTTTCTCACAATTTCACCGAAGCTGGTTCTGGACGTCCCTTAGCTCACCTACATGTACATGAATGAGCGTGAGCGAAAGCCCAGTGAATAATATCAATAAGGAAGATATATAAGCAATCTTTGAAACAGTTACAGCAGACGGCCTTTGGCCCAATCACTTGTATCAATCAGCCTTCGGCCCAATCGTATATGTCATTCGGCCTTCGGCCCAATCATTGATGTCAATCGGCCTTCGGCCCAATCATTTATGTTGTTAAAACCTATCACCTACTTCACCCACTTAAACCTACTCCACTAAACCTAACCCACTACACCACTACCACCTCCACTTCACCTCTAAACCTAACCCACTAAATCCACATACTCTCCGTTGTCCACTATTCAAATTAATGAACTTACAAAACTTACGTACAAGTAAACAGTTGGACAATAACATATCTTAAATATCTTGTTAAGAGATTACTCACAGTGATCGGTTGGTTGGTTTGCCCTGGAGCTCGACCCTACACATTCCATGAACACAAAAGGGTCACAAACAATTCAATCCGCTCTAAATCCACATTTTCTTCTTTAGGCTTCATTCTTATCTCTTTAACTCAATTACAATGCTCAATGTATGCTTAAGAGTACTTAGAAGTGAAAGAGAACAGAAAACGAAACACAGAACGTCTTTTCAAAATTTCAAAAAACAGGGTCCCCGCTCGAGCGTGGACTTCCCTGCTCGAGCGGACCCATGAGGTCTGCAAAAGTTCTGGTTGCATCAATTTCACACTCGAGCGCGAACTCGGCCGCTCGAGCTGAAGATCTGTCTACATAGCTCCCCGCTCAAGCGGAAGCCATGTCTGCAAAATATGCTGGGAGCTCGTATTTTACGCTCGAGTGGCGGTTTCCCCGCTCGAGCGGACATCAAGAATTCTGGGTTTTCCAGAATTTGTTCTTGAGCTCAATCCGACCTCCAAAGGTTCCAAACTCAAAATTTTTGGCTCAAACTTCAAATATATTTATGCTATCATGATACAAACACCAATTTGCATCAATATGGAGCTCAATTTCATATATCAAACACATGCATGTCCCAATTGACACCAAACTCATTTTCAATATGCAAATTCATGCATTCAAAGCTCCTATTCTTATAAGTTGTACATACATGTGATGTACTACCCTTATTCACAACCTAGATGATGCAAATGGTGTTCACTCTCATGAAACTCAACAAAAACATACTTGCATGTATGATTTAACACTTATTTTTCCATATTCAACTTAATACATGCTTGATTATGCAAAATCATGGTGATCCTATGCATGCATGTGCATTTTAACTTCAAATTCATCAACTAAAGCACAACTCTTGTTATTGATCATCAATTAATCTTTAATTTACGAATTATAAATTCAAATTCATGAATTTACTCACCTAGGAGCTTTAATCCTCCAAATTAAGGTTAATTCTTGAGCTAGCCTTCAATTTATTCAAGCTTCTTGAGCAAATCTCAAATTATTTCTCTCTCCCTCTCTCTAGCTGGCCCTCTCTCTATTTTAGAGCTCAAGATTAGCCAAAATGCAACAAAGGAGGAGAATTGAGGGTGTAGTGCCCTTATACAACAAATCCCACTAATTCAATATAATAATAATAAATAATTAGGCACTGATTCAACAATTTAATCAATTTAATCTGGTTCGAATCCATTTTTCAATTGCACTTCATCGTAGGCTCTAAAAATTATGCCAATCACAATGGCGTAATCAAATTCGATTTCTGTGGCCGATAAGGCCTTCGATTTAATTTCCAAAGCAGATAATCAAACAGATATTCCTACGGTGAACAGATAGAAATTCAAAACCACATATTTTCACATAATGGCACACAAAATCATATTAAACACATAATCATACTCATATTAAGGACCAATTAACATAATACAGAACATGGGTATTACACTTGCCGAAGCTGAGAAGAGGCATGCTGAGGTTGAAGCATCCGACCCTCCGTTATTCAAGAAGCCGAGGTCTGAGGGCGCTGAAGGCTCGAGTTCTTCTCACTCCAAGGAGCCCTGGTCCCTTGTGCTTATGGTTGGGGATCGTCCCATGTCGGCTGATGATAGTGTGATAGATAGCATCCAAGTCGGCGTTGCTCTCTCCACGGCTATTCTCCTACCAGCCGATATGGTTCGAATGTCCCAGATCACTGAATACAAGAACTTTGCGCTCATGATGCCATTTTGTTCTGGTAAGTCCTTAACCTCAGGTGTTTTCTCATTCGATTTTTTCATCTTTATATTTGTACTAAGTCAGGAAGTTTTTCTAACTTGTCCTTTTTTCTGCAGGCCATTCAACATGTTCATTCTTTTGTAGTTAAAGCCGAGGAGGTGAAGAAGGAATTAACGCGCAAGACCAATGAGTCTACCAAACTTCTTTCTTCACTGAATCGGGCCGAGGCGCATGCTCGACAATTTATGGACCAGGCAAAGGCTACTTAGGCTGCTTAAACTCTAGTCGAAGAAAAGGTTGAAGTCGTAGAAGTTGTCGCCGAAGTCGCAAATGCTAAGGCCAAAGAGGTTGAAGCTAAGACGGCCCAAGCCGAGGCTGAATTGATGGAGGCCATTAAGGTTGAAGTCGTAGAAGCTGTCGCCGAAGTCGCAAATGCTAAGGCCAAAGAGGTTGAAGCTAAGACGACCCAAGCCGAGGCTGAATTGATGGAGGCCATTGCCACAAAAGAAGCCGAGATGAAGGCTGCTAATGAGAAGGCCTATGCCGAGGGGGCTACCGACGTTCGCGATGATTACAAAAAACAAGTGAGTTTGGCCCGCAACGAGGGCTACTACCTCGGCTGGATGGATGGCCGCTCTAAAAAAGCTATCTGTCCTCGAGGACTCTTCCCTCCGTGACATTAGCTAGCTTGCCGTTCCATTCCCTCCCTATCCAGTAGAGTTCAAGAAAGAAGGCGATGAAAAAGATGCCGAGGTCAAGGAAGCAGTTGAGGTTGGGGTCACTGCTGGGGATAAGTCTCTCATTTTGAATGATCAAGTCCTAGACTTGACTTAGGATGAGGAGGTGGAGGTCTCCAAAAGTGCCTCTCCCAAGGCCAGTCCTAAGACTAAGGTTAATGTCACGCCCCAAGCTCTGTGACAACGCCGCACACTCATATAAGTGAGCATGCAAGGCTAAGAATCCAATCACATAACCCATAAAATAAAATACTCAAATTAAATCCTTAATTGTCATAATGCCAGAATCCATAAAAATAAATAGTTCTCATATGAAAATGCCCACAAAATCCACTAATTTAATCCACTAACAAAACAATAATCCAAGTACTTAAATCATGGTCCTACTCTCGGCACTCTCACATGTAAAAAAAAAGATCCCGCGCAGCTCTACTCTTCAGAATCTGAAAAAAAAAATAAGGGTAAGCTAGATAGCCCAGTAAATAACCAAACACAATATAAACGTCTCACCTCTCTCTCGTCCTCGCTCTTCATCTTCACTAGGTAAGTCCTCACGGTCTTTCTCTCTCTGTCACACGCACATACACACACTTGTAATTAAACAATATAACTTGAGGATATTGATAAAAATAGTTTGTAAAGTACAAAACTTGAAATTAAGATTTAAGTTTGCAAGATTTTGATGATAATTGTGTATTTATTTTGGTTGAATTTTGATGACTTCTTGATTCAATTCAAGTTTGGGCTGAAATTATGAACATAAAGAGCTGAGTGAGATTAACTTCACTATCTCAAATGGGTTTTGGTAAATCTAACAACCTAACCTACTAGGCCCTCCTTGTAGGTTTTATAGTTGGGCAATCCTGCAAAGCTACTTAACGGTCCTCAGCTAGGATTTATTCTAAGTTTCACTGAAAGGGTTCACTTACCCACTAGTTGATTTTGTCCATTTGAATAACCAACTACTCACCTAAAGGAACCTTTAATTGCTGTTAGTAGAATTTCTATTTAGCATGATCGTCAGTGTCTTAACACAAATTTAACAAACAAAAGACTAGACAATTGTTTCAGGTTCTAATGCTTAGACAAATTTAAAGACTTATTTGAAACTACAAAAATGTGAAGAAATTGCAAAGAAAAGAACTAGAAGGGAATTTTATTGATAACATTCTAAAGTACACTAAAATCGAAAGAAAATACATTAAAAAGTACAATTACTTTCCTATTCTATGTCTACAAAATTTATGATTTGGATAAGAAAAGGTCCATGTTCTCTAATTTTTCCCTTCTTTTTATAATCGTCTTCATTGTTAATGGCTAACTACCGCCCTCAACTATTAGCTATGAAAGGTTTTTTTTTTTTTTCATTTATCATTGACCACCATACTTTCTTCTAATTACCACTACTTTCTTCAATTTTTCAAGAGTTTATCACTTGTCACTTTGTTGTTTTCTCTTTGTAATTGCTAGTAATTACATAGACTACATCAATATATTTATTTAATCATATATGCCCATAAAATCATCTATTGATATATTAACACTAAAATCATAGATAGGAATACAATAAAATAAATCTTACCTAAGTGATGAATAAAGCAAAACCACCACTCTTATGAATCCTCCCTCTTCCTTGGTTTGGGTTTCTTTTCTTTAATTTTAAACTTTTCCAAACCCTTGCTTGCTGCCTTCACCTTCAACTCTTCCAAACCCTTTCTGCAGCACAAGCCTCTCTTCTCTTTTTCTTTTCTTTTTTCTTTTACCTTCTCAAACCCTAGCCGCCTATGGAGCAATTCACAGCCTCTGTTTTGTTTGTTCTCCAAGACTTAAAGCCACAATAGGTGGGCTTATTAACCTAATTTCGCAAAGTTACAAAATTACCCATCTAAGTAATAGGAAATATAATGCCATCTCATAACTAATTCTTTGATATTAATAAATGACCCATATAAATTAATTTAATTACTAATCTATCCAATAAAATAATCATATTTAAAACTTGGGTATTACAGTTAAAATCGCCGAGAAGCGTTTAGAAGATACATTGCTGGAGATTGACGCTGAGATAGCGGCGAAGAAAAGTGCTTCATTGGCGCCCGAGGTCGAAACACTCCGGCACCATTGCCAAAGACTCTAGTACTTAGATTTTTTTCCTTTTTCTTTGAACTGTCTTCTTTTTAAAAAGTTGTAATCTTTTTGTGTTGAACAATGTTAGTTTCATTTTGGTCGACATGCTCACTGCCTTGTAACTTGAACAAGTTTCTTTTTTTCCAGGCCGAAGTGCCTTTTTGTTTTTGAACAAGTTTCTTCTTCTGAATACATGCTTTACTATTTCTTCTAAGCGTTAGATGCTTCTCTCTTTAAGTTTTATCTGTCTTCACTGTCTTGTATGTTTCCATACTTAGAATATTTTTGTACTTCTCTTAATTACAATTTTACTTGTATGCTCACTTCGGGTTTGCACAGCTCGGATCAACTTTATCTTGGGTGCACCATTAGTTGGTCATCTCGAATGAAATTACCTCGGAGTTTACCTTTTACTGTGATCTCGGCTAATGGGCACCCTACAAAAATTATTCAACAAGTACTGCTTCCTTACTTGTACTTGCTGTCTTTTATCAATACTTCATTCTTTTAACCCTTCCAAGTTTTGGCAAACTGTTTGGTTATCTTGGGTAATAAATACCTTGGGTAACCCCTCATCTGGTTACCTCGACTGACTCCAACTTGTAAATTCTTTAAAAAAATTTAACAAGTGTCAAGCATATTCTTGCTTCCTGTCCCTTAATGTGAACCTAAGTATCACTTATGTTCACATTAAGCATTCATCTCTGACTTTGCTGAAGTTTGAATCCAATAATTTTTAGCCAAGGTTCTCTACCTCGGTGTCTCTGTTAATCTGATTAGTTTGGACTTGGTTCAACTCTGCCATCATAGCAAGTCTAAGTTATTTATCATGTTTCCTTCGAAAATATCGCCAACTTAGTTCAACTCTATCATTTGGTAAGTATAATTCAACTCTACACATGATAGGTCTAAGTTACTCGTCATGTTTCATTCAGAAACATCACCGACTTAGTTCAACTCTATCATTTGGTAAGTATAATTCAACTCTACCAGATGATAAGTCTAAGTTATTCGTCATGTTCTATTCGGAAACATCACAAACTTAGTTCAACTCTACCATAGGCAAGTTGAATTCAACTCTACCATATGGCAAGTCTAAGTTATTCATCATGTTTCATTCGGAAACATCGCCAACTTAGTTTAACTCTATCATTTGGTAAGTATAATTCAACTCTACTAGATGATAAGTCTAAGTTATTCGTCATGCTCTATTCGGAAACATCGCAAACTTAGTTCAACTCTACCATAGGCAAGTAGAATTCAACTCTACCATATGACAAGTCTAAGTTATTCGTTATGTTTCATTCAGAAACATCGTCATAAGACTGCTCAGCCTTATTGCATAAACTTCAACAGGAATAAAAACAAAATCCAGCTAGCGTTTTATTATAACGTCGGCTAATAATTACATAAATCTCAAAAAAATAAAAACTAATGATAGAAAAACTTCAGATTGCAAGTGTTCTAGGGTTGTGGCAACTCTTTGCCATCAATATTTTCAAGCCGATATGCCCAATTGTTGGCAACAGAGATGATTCTATAAAGCCTCTCCCAATTTGGGCCAAGTTTGCCCTCCCTAGGATCTTTCTTGTTGCGAACGATTTTTCTCAGGACGAGGTTCCTAACCTTGAACTCTCTTGGTTGACCTTTTTGTTGTAAGCCTTAGAAGCTAAATTACTGCTGGTATGTCCCCAATCGAATTGTTGCTCTTTCTATTCTTTCTTTCAATAGATCTAGATCTCGAGCTAAGAATGCCTCGTTGGTCCCATTCTCCACTCCCTGGGTTCTGATTCCAAGGATGCCGACCGCTAGTGGGATGACTACTTCAGTGCCATATGCGATGGTAAAAGGGGACTTCTTAGTTGATCTTCTCGGCGTGGTTTGATATGCCCACAGAACAGTGGGCAATTCTTCCACCCACTTGCCCTTAGCTACTTCTAGCCTCTTTTTAATCCCATTCAAGATGGTCTTGTTGGATGCTTCTGCCTGACCATTGCTTTGAGGGAAACTAGGAGTAGAGTAATAATTTTTTTTATCTTGTACTTTGTACAAAAGTTCTTAATTAGCTTACTGTCAAACTGGGTGCTATTATCTACTACTATAGCCTTTAGGATCCCAAACCTGGTTATGATGTTCTTCCAGATGAAATTCTTTACATCAATGTCTTGAATCTTTGCAAGAGGTTCAATCTCTACCCATTTTGTAAAGTAGTCTGTGGCTACTAATAAGAATTTTTTTTGTCCAGTTGCCTAGGGCAGTGGTCCCACCAAGTCCATGCCCAACTGGACAAATGGCTAAGGACTGGACACTGGGTTCAGATTTGTTGCTAGTTGATGTATCAAAGGTGCAAATCTTTGACACTTCTCACACTTCCTGACATAGGCTTCAGCATCCTTTTGCATGTATAGCCACCAGTATCCCTAGGAGATGGCTTTATGAGCAAGTGACCTGCCCCCGACATGACTTCTACAAACTCCGTCATGGATCTCATATAAAAAGTCCTTTACTTGAA